TAGAATTTATACTGTGAATAAAAGTAATATGCAGCATTTATTGATTTACAGTATAATTTACCATAGCCCGTGATGGGCACTCTAGTCAATATTGCCTTGGACTCTAGTCTGTCTCGAGTCACAGTTGTTATCTCCAACATTTCAATCAACAGTTACAGAGAATTATCTCTTATCTCAGAGAAGAGAAACCATGGAGCATTAGAGAGGTTCAAGCTGTCCCTAACCTCTGTCTACACCGGGTAGGTTCTGGAGGGACTCCTGTATCTCCTGCAGGGTCCTGGACAGAGGGGTCATGGCCACTAGTTTGGACAGGTCCTGCTCACTCAGACAGGGGGCTGTGCTCTGTAGGTGTACTGGTACAAAGAAATCAGAAGATAAGTCGGAAGTTAATACACAACACTGCAAAGTCCTATTTTTGTGTGGGAGTAGTTGCATGTTGACCGAGTTAAAGAAATACTGTGTTGAAAAGCATTAAAGTAATTCAGGTTGAATAAACAAAACCGCTGTTCCTAGACGTGACCTGACTATGGTGTCTGTGTCTCCTCACTTCATAACTTAACACTATATGCTGAATTTACAGTGGACCGAGGTTACATATTCTCGCAATATATCTGGCTCTTCTAATCATTCACAGCTGGTGAATGAGACCACAGGTGTAGATGAGGGAAAACATTTGAACAGTGTCTATATCCTACCTAGATCATGAGGTGGTAGTCCTATCTCATGGCCTGATGCAGGTTTGGTCATGTTGGCTGAGGAAAACTAAAAACAGAAATAATATGATGAGTTATTAGTCGATGAGTTAGAAATCATCTGGGTTTACTATTCACAATATCCACATCCCATATTCCATTAGATTGTCAAAGACAACCTTTGGATTTAAATACAGGTATGCTTGTGAATGGTAGTGGTCCTCTGTAGCTCAGTTGGTAGAGCATGGCGCCTGCATTGCCAGGATAGTTGGTTCGATTCCCTGGACCACCCATACATTAAAAACGTATGCACGCTTTGGATAAAAGCGTCTGCTAAATGGCATATATTATTATTACATTATAATGGGGTGCTTGTCTGATACTAAGCCTTAGTTGCTACACTCAGTGGCCAGTTTATTAGGTACACCCATCTAGTACCTGGTCGGACCCCCCTTTGCCTCCAGAACACCCTGAATTCTTTGGGCATGGAAACATTGCTCAACTGGTATCAAGGGACCTAACGTGTGCCTGGAAAATATTCCCCACACCATTACACCACCAGCCTGTTTCGTTGACACCAGGCAGGATGGGGCCATGGACTCATGCTGTGTCACGCCCTGGCTCTGGGGACTCTTAAATGTTGAGCCAGGGTGTGGATTTGCTATGTTTAGTTTTTCTATGTTTTTGTTCTAGATCGTTTGATCTATGTTGGCCAGGGTGGTTCCCAATCAGAGGCAGCTGTAGCTCGTTGTCTCTGATTGGGGACCATACTTAGGCAGCCTGTTTTGCACTAGTCTTTGTGGGATCTTGATCCGTAAAGGTTTGTTGTGTTATAACCTCAAGACTTCACGTATCGTTTGTTTGTTGTTTTTGTCGTTAAGTACGTTAAATAAAAGTATGTACGCTTATCACGCTGCGCCTTGGTCCGTGTTTTCAGTCAACGATCGTGACAGAAGATCCCACCATAAGAGGACCAAGCAGCGTGCCCAGGAGGAGAAGATGGCGATGTCGCAGGTGGGCAAATGGTGGTCTTGGGAGGAGATATTCGCGGGGAAAGGGCCATGGGCAAAGGTGAATGCCCAGGCAGGAGAGGAGACTGTGGAGGCGCGCTCTACAGAGAGGAGCAGCGGCAACGCAGAGGGTACCGGCCGGGGAGGAAGCCCGAGAGACAGCTCCAAGAATTTTTTTTGGGGGGGCTAAAAGGGTGGTTGGCGGAGCCACGTACTGTGCCGGAACACTCGCGGCACAGTCCTGTACGTCCTGTGCTAGCACCACGCACGTGTCGTGCTAAGGTGGGCATGCAGCCAGGACGGGGTGTGCCGGCTCAACGCTCGTGGCCTCCAGTACCCCTCCTCAGTCCCGTATATCCTGCGCCAGTGCCACGTGCTGTAGCGCCAGTACGAGTGCACAGCCCTGTACGTCCTGTGCTGATGCCTCACACATATTGTGTGGAAATAGGCATTCAGCCAGGACGGGTTGTGTCAGCTCTCCGCTCCAGACCTCCAGTCCGCCTCCACAGTCCGGCCCGGTCCGTTCCGGGCTCCCCGCACCAAGCCAATGGTGTGTGTTTCCAGTCCAGCCCGGCCTGTTCCTGCTCCCCGCACCAAGACAGTGGTGCGTGTTCCCAGTCCAGCCCGGCCTGTTCCTTCTCCCCGCACCAAGCCAGTGGTACGCGTCGCCAGCCCGGTCCGGCCTGTGCCTGCTCCCCGCACCAAGCCAGTGGTGCGCGTCGCCAGCCCGGTCCGGCCTGTTCCTGCCCCCCGCACCAAGCCAGTGGTGCACGTCGCTAGCCCGGTCCGGCCTGTTCCTGCTCCCCGCACCAAGCCTGTGGTGCGCGTCGTCAGCCCGGTCCGGCCCGTTCCTGCTCCCCGCACCAAGCCAGTGGTGCGCGTCGTCAGCCCGGTCCAGCCTGTTCCTGCTCCCCGCGCCAAGCCAGTGGTGCGCGTCGCCAGCCCGGTCCGGCCTGTTCCTGCTCCCCGCACCAAGCCAGTGGTGCGTGTCGCCAGCCTGGTCCGGCCTGTTCCTGCTCCCCGCACCAAGCCTGTGGTGCGCGTCGTCAGCCTGGTCCGGCCCGTTCCTGCTCCCCGCACCAAGCCAGTGGTGCGTGTCGCCAGCCTGGTCCGGCCTGTTCCTGCTCCCCGCACCAAGCCTGTGGTGCGCGTCGTCAGCCTGGTCCGGCCCGTTCCTGCTCCCCGCACCAAGCCAGTGGTGCGCGTCGTCAGCCCGGTCCAGCCCGTTCCTGCTCCCCGCGCCAAGCCAGTGGTGCGCGTCATCAGCCCGGTCCGGCCCGTTCCTGCTCCCAGCGCCAAGGCAGTGGTGCGCGTCGTCAGCCCGGTCCGGCCTGTTCCTGCTCCCCGCACCAAGCCAGTGGTGCGTGTGTCCAGTCCGGCACGGCCCGTGCCTGTTCCACCGGTGCCTAGTCCGGCACCAGTCAGCTGCTCCACTCCGGAGCCAGAGCAATCTCTCCACAGGGGTCCGGTCCAACTCCAGTCAGCGGATCCACTCCGGAGCCAGAGCAATCCGCTCCACCGGTGTCCAGTCCAGCTCCGGCCAGCGGGGCCAGACCAGATCAGGGGCGCAACGGGGGGGTGGAGAGAGAGTGGTGGTCACGCCCGGAGCCGGATCCGCCTCCGAGGCGTAATACCCACCCGGCCCCTACCCTCTTGTGTTTGTGTGGCGCGGTCGCAGTCCGCGCCTTTGGGGGGGGGGGGGGTACTGTCACGCCCTGGCTCTGGGGACTCTTAAATGTTGAGCCAGGGTGTGGATTTGCTATGTTTAGTTTTTCTATGTTTTTGTTCTAGATCGTTTGATCTATGTTGGCCAGGGTGGTTCCCAATCAGAGGCAGCTGTAGCTCGTTGTCTCTGATTGGGGCCCATACTTAGGCAGCCTGTTTTGCACTAGTCTTTGTGGGATCTTGATCTGTAAAGGTTTGTTGTGTTATAACCTCAGGACTTCACGTATCATTTGTTTGTTGTTTTTGTCGTTAAGTACGTTAAATAAAAGTATGTACGCTTATCACGCTGCGCCTTGGTCCGTGTCTTCAGTCAACGACCGTGACATGCTGCTTACGCCAAATCCTGACTCTGCCATCAGCAGGACGCAACAGGAACCAGGATTTGTCAGACCAATGTTTTTCCACTCCTAAATTGTCCAGTGTTGGTGATCATTTACATTTTTATATTTTAGTCATTTAGCAGACACTCTTATCCAGAGCGACTTACAGTTAGTGAGTGCATACATTTTCATACTGGACCCCCGTGGGAAACGAACCCCCAACCCTGGCGTTGCAAGCGCCATGCTCTACCAACTGCCCACTGGAGCTGCTTCTTCTTGTTTCTAGCTGATAGGAGTGGAACCCGGTGTGGTCTTCTGTTGCAATAACCTATCCGTGACAAGGACCGACGAGTTGTGCGTTCCGAGATACCGTTCTGCACACCACTGTTGTACTGCACTGTTATTTGCCTGTTTGTGGCCCGCCTGTTAGCTTGCGCGATTCTTGCCATTCTCCTTCAACCTCTCATCAACAAACAGTTTTTCGCCCACAGGACTGACTCTGACTGAATGTTTTTTGTTTGTCGCACCATTCTCTGTAAACCCTAGACACTCATGAGTGAAAAGCCCAGGAGGCCAGCCGTTTCTGAGATACTGGATCCGGTGCACCTGGCACCGACGATCATACCACACTCAGTCGCTTTAGGTCACTCGTTTTGCCCATTCTAACGTTCAATCAAACAGTAACTGAAAGTCTCAATGCCTGTCTACCTGCTTTATATAGCAAGCCACGGCCACGTGAACTGGGTGGTGTACCTAATAAACGGGCCACCGAGTGTATATATAACCTCTGGAAGTGATAACCATTTACCTGTGTGTAGCCAGTGTGCAGCTCACACTCCCTGGTGTCTGTGTGGCAGTGTGCTGCGGTCATGTCCTGCTGCTGCCAGCCCTCTCCACACAGTCTGTACAGGACTGCCTCCAAAGCTCTGACTACAGCTCCCATCAGCACCACTGACGGCTCTGATGACAGGTCAAAGGTTGGGATTCAGATCATCTCTGAGACATCGTTATCTCTGAGACATAGCATTGTGTAGGCAGATGATTTTACAGTACAACAGTGAATACATGTCTTATTGGCCACTGATTGACATCATTAAGTCGTACTTTTTGTTGATTGGATATGTCCATCCCCGTCTGCATCCGTATTGGTGTATGGATCATTCTGCAAGGCCTCACGTTCCAATAGCTCTTTTAACAGACTCAACTTTTTGGGTTCCATGTTCTCCAGAACATCCTAATACAACATAAAAACACTAGTTATGCCGTTCAAAGGACTGATAGGTCTGATGTCTGTATGTATATGTTCTGTTACTTTACAGATTCTAGGAGGACTATTTCTAGACCTGGGTTGAAATACTACTTGAAATAATTTAAAATACTTCATCTGTGTTTAATTGAGCATGGCTGTTGCAATGGAACCAATAGAAAAGTCCCAAAAGTGCTAACCTTGCCCACCTGGCCCTTCAGGCAGGCTAAAGTATTTGAAAGATTTCAAATAGTAGTTGAACCCAGGTCTGCTACTTTCTCCCCTCCTATATCTTTCGTACCCTCAGGGCATCTGTCTGTTGGCAGATATTTCGGTAGAACTCTTGGGTGTCCTTGCGGTGCCTGGCCAGCTGAGACGCCAAATGCAGGTTCTGATCCTCCAGCTTGTCGTAGAGAGTTTTCACATTGAATTCCTCCAGCTCAAACTTCCCAGTCATGTATCCTTGGGTAGCATTTGTGGAAACAGTGGATAATAATAACAATAATAACTTGAAATTCCAGCGCAAGACTACTGATCATTTCATTGATCTAGAGGGAAATAACCTCACTTCTACATTATCATGGTTTAGCTATGTTGTCATCCAAGGAGTTGGATTTTGGTATAAAATGGATAATCGATTCAAAATGGAAATGGCAGAGCAAAATACTCCTGAACCCATTACCCATGGTATTTCAGTGTCTATAATATGTGGGTACAATCAAAAACTTCAACTATTCATCTAGTGGGGTAAATAACCTTGTACGTGACTGTATATGTATCATGAGTGGTTGTGAAATTGCAGTGCAGATGGCCATTAACCCATCATGACTATGAACCTATCATCATTAATGCAGTGGGTAATCTGAGTTGGTCACCTCCTCCACGGCAGACTGAAGGCTCCTCAGCCTCGGCCCCCTCTCCCACTCCCCTGCAACCCAGCACCCCCTGGCCATTCAGGCTGAGACACAAACAAAAGATAGAAGTCAATCACTGTAGATAGTGGCTTTTCAGAAGGAGGTTTTCAGAGGGGAGTTTCACTTGCACAGCAAGGTGTCCCTGGTCAGATGGATGGAGTTAACTTGATTTGGAAAAACAACAGTCCTGTTGCATGAAGCACCTGAGGACTTCTCAGCCATGCTCACCATCAGAATTGAATGGGTCATGCCACAGGACTGCTGATTTCTAAGGGACATGCTGCAGTGCAAATCAAATACACCTCTGAAAATACAATTCAGAGAACCCATTATCTGCCATGATTGACTTCTGAGAAGAGAGCTGTTAGTAGAGCCATTACCTGCTATCTACCAACTCTCAATCATAACTGTGGTAAGATCAGATATCAGATAAATGGCTGGCACACTTCTTGAAAGCTATTAGCCAAGCTAATAAAATAAACCAGTATTGATCGTTTGGTTGCGTCTGGCTGACCTTTCTCCACTGTAGACGTATTCCACTGGAAGGATGGGCTCTCCCAGGCTCCGCCACTTAGGCCTCAGTTTGCCATGGCACACCAACTTGGCCTGACTGGGCTTCAGAACCAGAGCTGTGGTGGTGAGCACCAGGATCAGCACAAGCAGGAGACTCAGGACACCTACAGTGAGGAGATTCAATAGTCACTCATTCCATGTCAATTCAGCAAGCCATGACACACACTATTTCAGATTGTTCTAAAGGTTTTTGTTGAAATATTATTTGATCTCTGAGAAATTAAGCTACTTGATTGCACCCGAATTGGAACAATCTGAGATGGTTGGCATCGAAATTCTCTTTCTTGTGCTTGTTTGAAGTGAAACGACCCTAAATTCAAATTCAATTAAAATAACTGTATATTCCTGTGGAGGAACTGACATACACATGGCTACAATATGTAGTGTAAAAAGTGTCATGACATATGACAGAGAGGTGCACAGAGATTGGTAACCAGTTGTGCTCTATAGCAGGGTTTCCCAAACTCGGTCTTGGGCGCCCCCTGGGTGCACATTTAGGTTTTTGCCCCACCACTACACAGCTGATTCAAATAATAAAACGATTGATGATGAGTTGGTTACTTGAATCAGCTGTGTAGTGCTAGGGCAAAAAACTAAACATGCACCCAGGAGGGGCCCCAGGACCGAGTTTGGGAAACCCTGCTCTATAGAACCTTTTTGTGTTGTTGGCGTTCAGGTTTACTGGTTTTAAGAGACAAGGCACAACTTAACTTGTTCTTAGTCTATTCAGACCCTTGGATCGATTGAGCATATTTTTGATACCTAGTTCTCTCTTGCTGTATGACAAACTGCTCATGAATTGGTTCTCAATGACATGGAGAAATGGAACACAGAGAGGAAAATAAATTGTTAACCAATCAATTCAAAGAAAAACAGGAGGGTTATATGCACATGACCAATCGATTCACACCTAAGAATCAGTCTGTGATTCTCTACTATTGTACTGTGCCTTGATTTCTCTCTCTGTGTTTAAGTATTGTTATTGATTACATACCCTTTCAGATGTGAATGGTCAGTGGCTGCATCCCAAATGGCACCCTATTCCCTATATAGAGCACTACTTTTGACCAGAGCCCTTTGGGCCCTAAGTAGTGTCCTAATGGTGTTTTTTCCATAGGTGTCACTCCAGTCCTTTTGGGGTTCAAGCACTAGTGATATTTTGGGAACTGTGTTTCCATCACCCAGGGTGATTATTGGTACTTGAAAAGAGACGTGTCTACAACCTCTGAATATTCAAAACAGTTGCATTGTGAGAAGGTGTTGACCATTGAACAAATGCACCTTAACTAGGGAATAGGGTGCCATTTGAAATACACACAGAATGTACCTCACCTACGATGGCGCCCCAGTCAGGCAGCAGGTTGAGCCGGTGTTGTTTGATGACCCCGTGCTTGACCAGTTGGGCGGGGGTCATGGGCTGGAAAACGGCTACAGTGGGGTCACACTCTGTCCCTCTCTCACTGACCACTACCACTAGACTCCACACTGGAACGGCATTGTCCAGGAACACATACTTCCCTGTCTCCGAGAACACGTGTGCAAATCTAATGCGAAAAGAAGAAAAATTACTTACACTCATAGAAAAAAGGTTTCAAAAGGGTTCTTCGGCTGTCCCCATAGGATAACCCTTTTTGGTTCCAGGTAGAACCCTTTTGGGTTCCATGTAGAACCCTCTGTGGAAAGGGTTATACATTGAACCCAAAATGGTTCTTCATGGAACCAAAGGGGTTCTACCTGGAACCAAAAGGGGTGCTTCAAAGGGTTCTCCTTTCAAGGTTCTAGATAGCACCTTTTTTTCTATGAGTGTATGTAGTGCACTACTTTTGCCCAGAGCCCAATCACATACTTCCCTGTCTCAGAGAACATGTGGGCATATACAGTGGGGAGAACAAGTATTTGATACACTGCCGATTTTGCAGGTTTTCCTACTTACAAAGCATGTAGAGGTCTGTAATTTTTATCGTAGGTACACTTCAACTGTGAGAGACGGAATCTAAAATAAAAATCCAGAAAATCACATTGTATGATTTTTAAGTAATTAATTTGCATTTTATTGCATGACATAAGTATTTGATACATCAGAAAAGAAGAACTTAATATTTGGTACAGAAACTTTTGTTTGCAATTACAGAGATCATACGTTACCTGTAGGTCTTGACCAGGTTTGCACACACTGCAGCAGGGATTTTGGCACACTCCTCCATACAGACCTTCTCCAGATCCTTCAGGTTTCGGGGCTGTCGCTGGGCAATACAGACTTTCAGCTCCCTCCAAAGATTTTCTATTGGATTCAGGTCTGGAGACTGGCTAGGCCACTCCAGGACCTTGAGAGGCTTCTTACGGAGCCAGTACTTAGTTGCCCTGGCTTTGTGTTTCGGGTCGTTGTCATGCTGGAAGACCCAGCCACGACCCATCTTCAATGCTCTTACTGAGGGAAGGAGGTTGTTGGCCAAGATCTCGCGATACATGGCCCCATCCATCCTCCCCTCAATACGGTGCAGTCGTCCTGTCCCCTTTGCAGAAAAGCATCCCCAAAGAATGATGTTTCCACCTCCATGCTTCACAGTTGGGATGGTGTTCTTGGGGTTGTACTCATCCTTCTTCTTCCTCCAAACACGACGAGTGGAGTTTAGACCAAAAAGCTCTATTTTTGTCTCATCAGACCACATGACCTTCTCCCATTCCTCCTCTGGATCATCCAGATGGTCATTGGCAAACTTCAGATGGGCCTGGACATGCGCTGGCTTGAGCAGGGGGACCTTGCGTGCGCTGCAGGATTTTAATCCATGACGGCGTAGTGTGTTACTAATGGTTTTCTTTGAGACTGTGGTTCCAGCTCTCTTCAGGTCATTGACCAGGTCCTGCCGTGTAGTTCTGGGCTGATCCCTCACCTTCCTCATGATCATTGATGCCCCACGAGGTGAGATCTTGCATGGAGCCCCAGACCGAGGGTGATTGACCGTCATCTTGAACTTCTTCCATTTTCTAATAATTGCGCCAACAGTTGTTGCCTTCTCACCAAGCTGCTTGCCTATTGTCCTGTAGCCCATCCCAGCCTTGTGCAGGTCTACAATTTTATCCCTGATGTCCTTACACAGCTCTCTGGTCTTGGCCATTGTGGAGAGGTTGGAGTCTGTTTGATTGAGTGTGTGGACAGGTGTCTTTTATACAGATAACGAGTTCAAACAGGTGCAGTTAATACAGGTAATGAGTGGAGAACAGGAGGGCTTCTTAAAGAAAAACTAACAGGTCTGTGAGAGCCATAATTCTTACTGGTTGGTAGGTGATCAAATACTTATACCATGCAATAAAATGCAAATCAATTTCTTAAAAATCATACAATGTGATTTTCTGGATTTTTGTTTTAGATTGCGTCTCTCACAGTTGAAGTGTACCTATGATAAAAATTACAGACCTCTACATGCTTTGTAAGTAGGAAAACCTGCAAAATCGGCAGTGTATCAAATACTTGTTCTCCCCACTGTATATGGTAAAAGAAGAGTCACTAAGAAAATGGCATCTTATTCCCTATGTATTCCCTATATAGTGCACTACTTTGGGCTATATAGGGAATAGGTGCCATTTTGGTCGCAACCACAATGAGAGAACAGATGCTTTAGATTGGTAATGTGAATCTAATGTGACCTAACTGAAGACTAAAGACCATAAGGTACCTTCATACCTGGTAGAGTTGAACTGAGTATGCTTCATGAGTCGCTCTAGCCGCCGGAACGCCCCAAAATCCCAGCTAGGGTTGCTATTGAAGAGATGGTCTTTCTGATACACTGGGAAGTGGCTGAGGTGACGGTCTGGGTTCAAAATGAATTGTAATAAAATATGAATGTCTCAAAACAGAATAGTTAAAGGGATAGTTCACTTTCTTGAAGTTTACCGTAAGATGATACAATTCGTTTCCACTAGCATTGTTACATGTTCCAAAAATGCTAGCCAGGAGATTATGGACGTTGCTAAATACCCAGCAAACAAACTCAAAAGCGGATTGGATGAAACAACTACATCCTAAAAAAATATGCAAAAACTTCAAACAAGTGAACTATCCCTTTAAGTTAGAGCCCAAGGGAAGGTTTGAAATACAGGTTGAAAGAATGACATACCAGTGTAGTTGATGGTGAGCTGGAAGATGAGCATGTCATTGGAGGAGAGGCATGCTATGGGGTTGGGGATACGAGGGAGGACATTGGAGTGTAGAAGTTCTGCCTTGGATTCTAGATCCCTCCTCTTCCTTGATCGCCTGTCAATAAATTCGATTGGCTCTGCTGCAGGCAAATAAGGAACTATTGAAAATATACAGTTTTACTTTAAGAAATGGCTTAGATACATATAACAGAAACTGATGTAATTCAATCAAACCCAATTACCTGTCAGGGCCATTTCAATAACATTTCGGTCCATCAGAATCCAACCGAATACACCTTCAGAATCAAATTGAACAAAGTGGATGTTTCCAATGTTCTTCACATGGACGTCTGGTCCCAAAACATCCATCATTTTCTACAGGAAAGAAAGGATACATGTCATTAAGGATCTAATGATAATAGGAGTAAATGGATAATTATTATTATTGTATTTGTCTGCTATATTACTGTGTAAATAATGGATGTGAATCCATACCGGCATTGGGGTCAATTCCATGTAAATTCAGGAAGTAAACTGAAATTCAATTTCCTATTCCAATTTTCCCCAATGCTCTTCTATGAGGAAACATTTGGAATTGGAATTTCAGTCTACTTCCTGAATTGACTGAATTGAAAAGGAATTGACCCCAACTCTGATCCATACTATGTTTCTTCACCACAAGCTTTAATAGTCAAGTCACCACACTGCAGCTATCTCTGTATCCATACTGTATGTGCTGAGGCTAACTCTAGTTTTCAAACATTACCACGTGCCATACATGTCATGCCATCACAACAACAGCAGAGTTGGCTATAGCACATACAGTATGGCTTCGAAGCTCCTGAAGCCATCTTGGGCACAGTCATGTGATGGAGGTCAGGTCCCCTGAGTGTGTGACTTCTCAGAAAGTTCCAGATGGATAGGGCCTTAAGGCTGTACAGTAAGCATGCGGTGGTGGCTGGTGGTGGTGGTGCTCACTCTGCTCCACGCTCGGCTTTCATCTGGCTCTTTGATCCCCAGCAGCAGCTGTCCATCTGGGGAGAGCCTGGCAGAGATGTGTGGCAGTCGGGACAGACACGAGGTGTTGCACAGCTCCTCTGCTGATACGTAGTGCTCACAGTGGCAGCTGATGAGGAGAGAGAGACTTTAAGCTACTGAGTTGGAAGTAGGAGGGATTTATAGTATATAGGCTACTATATATCATGGCATAGATTAATATAAAATAGATCTGCTTATAAACAAATACGAGCGAACAGACCCTTTTATCCAACGTGACTTACAGGGAGGGCATACATAGTAAGTATATGTGATCGCTGCGGGAATTGAACCAACGACCTTGTGTTGCGAGCGCCACACTCTTACCAACTTGTAACATTGAACAATATTCCAGTTAATTCAATAGACCAGAGATAGTTTTGAATAAGCAAACAGTAAATACAACAGAAATATTGAACGGTACAAATTGGACATGTGGTCCTCTGTAGCTCAGTTGGTGATGGCGCTCGCAATGCCAGGATGGTGGGTTCGATTCCCAGGACCACCCATACATAAACATGTATGCACACATGACTGAAAGTCGCTTTGGATAAAAGTGTCTGCTAATTGGCATATATTATATTATATTACATTGACTGTTGTGTTGACAGAGTACTCACATGCCCATCTCCACATCCAGACTCCCTCCCTGCGGTCCACAGGTGACGTTACAGGAGTGGTGAGAAGGAGAGACACACTCTCTGGACGCAGCCAGACGCACCTGTCCCGCACTGCAGCGCTTGTTCACCTACAGTCCAGAGACCAGAGAGGGTTTCTACTCTTATTCCCTCCATTAGTGCAGTAGGAGACAAACATGCACTCACAAGGAACAGTTCTAAAACATGACAAGTGTCATGTATGGTTACATCTGTATCCGAGCAGCCAAACACAGATGCATTCGACTACACTGATTGCTGAATCTAACCTCAGGCTGGCAGTCCAGTTCACTGTCAGAGCTGGAGCTCTTGAAATCCAGATCGTTGTAGAAAATAAAGCCAGTTCGACACAGACAGGAGCCGTCTGAGTGCTGGAAAGCACGGTTCTTCCCAACGCAGGTGCAGGAAGAGGCCCCTGTGGTATAGTAAAAGTCAAGCTGTGATACTTAGGCTGCATTTACACAGGCAGCCCAATTCTGATATTTTGTCCAATTATTGGTAATTAGTGGTAAAAAAAGATCAGAATTGGGCTGTCTGTGTAATCGAAGCACACTTTCAAACTGAGATGAGGCGACATCAAATGTGTTTTGGACAATCATGTCACATGACCTTTATTTAAAGCTTTATCAAACTGTCCCCTTTTCTTTTTATGTAAGATGGTGCAGCATTATCCTCAAATAAAGGTTATCGAAGGGGTTCGAAAAGTTTCTGTTGCCTCGTTGCCCTAAACAAGTACCTGAAGAAACTTTGATATGACATATCTCCTTTTGTTACAGTTTTTATTTGATGTGGGAGCAACCAGCACTTTTTAAAAGAGACAGGATTCACCCTAAACGCAGGGGTTCCAGAATTATTTCCAGCAAACTGTTTTAGAGACCGATAGTGTTCCAGTCCTCCCTTTCATAATTAGTAACAGAGGACATGAAAAGCATATTACATTATACAGTATATTTAAAAGTATGTGGACAAATTTGTGGATTCGGCTATTTCAGCCCCACCTGTTGCTGACAGGTGTATATAATCGAATACACAGCCATGCAATCTCCATAGACAAACATTGATAGTAGAATGGCCTTATTGAAGAGCTCAGTGACTTTCAACGTGGCACCGTCATACAATGCCACCTTTCCAACAAGTCAGTTCGTCAAATTTCTGCCCTGCTAGAGCTGCCCCGGTCAACTGTAAGTACTGTTATTGTGAAGTGGAAACATCTAGGAGCAACAACGGCTCAGCCGCGAAGTGGTAGGCCACACAAGCTCACAGAACGGGACCGCAGAGTGCTGAAGTGTGTAGCGTGTAAAACTTGTCTGTCCTCAATAACTGTTTGTTGGGAGCCTCATGAAATGGGTTTCTATGACCGAGCAGCAGAACACAAGCCTAAGATCACCATGCGCAATGCCAAGCGTCGGCAAGAGTGGTGTAAAGCTCGCCGCCATTGGACTCTGGAGCAGTGGAAACGCATGGCCTTAATTATGTTACACAAAAAATGCACACGTACACACAAACACAAACAGAAAAAGGGTCAGGAGTTGTTCCTGGTCTGGTCATGTGATCAGGAAAAACTCCCGGCCCTTAGTGTAGTGCACCTGTTTGATCAGACCTTGGGGTGCAGTAGAGGAGCTTCCGCAGGGGAAACAGGCTCTCTGGGCAGCCAGATGGTTGAAGGTATCAGGCGGACATGGGTAGCAGTCCTCCAGGTGTTCAGCGTTGGAGAGATTACCAAAAGAACCAGGGGGGCAAGGGACAGGACTGGATGAGCCCAGTGGACACACATAGCCCAGGGGACAGGGGTTGCTGTGGTAGTGCTCTGTCCCTGATGGACAGAAAATATCGGACAGCTTTATGGTTAGGAAGCATTTGAAATCAAGAAAGATGAAAAGTGTGATGGATGGATGGATGGATGGATGAATGAATGGATGAAGAAAGAAGAATGGATGGATAACTAAATGTTAGGCTTGAAGATTGGATAGATGTATGGATGGAAGGAGGACGACGGTATGATGGATGGATGATGGTGGTTGGTTGGATTCATTTAAGTAGGCAAGAAGGTATTAGTCTCGTACAAACCATCCTGATCTCACAAGCTTACATTCTGTTTCGCTACACGGTAGCTAGGGATGGTTCGTACGAGGCTAAGAAGGTATAGATGGATCGATAAAACTTTGAAAGATGGGTGGATCGGTGAAAATTGGAAGGATGCATGAATGAAGGTTCGAAGAATGAACGAATGGATAAAAGAGGGTTGGAAAGATGGATATATTGTGGAAAGGATAGCTAAATCTTGCTAAAGCAATCACACTAAACTAAAAGTAGCACAAACAGCTAACCTGGAGGGCAGTGGTACCCTGGTGGGCAGGTGAGGCAGTGAGGTTGGGGGGACAGCCGAGGTCGGTAGGTCCCTGCCTCACACAGCCCACAGCTGCTGTCCTGGAAGGCTCTGGGGCCACTGGTGTTAAGGGGCACGGAGCCCCCCTCACATGACAGCATGGCAGAGCTGTTGGCAGGACAGTAGTAGGGAAACATACAACTGTGGAATGACCAATGATCATATTTTCAATGTTATCTTCAAAGTAAATCTATGATGTCATAGCTTAGATTTAATATAAATGTTACTGTTTCTTGTCATGTTAAGGACCATAATGAATATGCCTATGAACTGGGGTAAGTATCACTTTTGAGTTAGGCCTACTCACACTTGGTTTGGTGTGTTGTAAGTGTGAGATCCCTCTGGACAGAGGTAGCCTTCAGGACAAATTTCAGGCTCTGCAGTCTGGGGCCCACAGTAGGAGCCAGCCTTACACAGCCTCTCTGAGACCGCACCTGACCAACATACATGCACGCACACACACGCACAACACACACACACACACACACACACACACACACACACAATTACTAGATCAGGAAAAACTCGGAGCCCTCATAATTATTAGGGCCTAGGTTTTTCCTTTGTCAGGTTGTTTGGCCTGGAGTTTTTCCAAGTCAGGTCCCACATGGTCAGGAAAAACTCCTGGCCCTAAGACATACTATTCCTCCATACATCCTCACCTACCAGGGGGACACTGGTACGAGGCTCTACAGGAGATTCCAGCAATGTTGGGCTGCCCTGTGGACATGGGGTCTGGGCAGTAGGTGCCCCCTGCACACGGCTCACACTGACTGGCAGCTGCTGCCCCTGGCAGGGGCCTCATGGTACCCGCCGGGCATAGGATGGGTAGACCAGTGCCACTGCACCAGTAGCCCGGGGGACAGGGGTAGCCAGAGTAATCTGTAAGACCTGAAAAAACAACCCAGGGAGAGCAAGCACTGTAAAAGTCTGCTGGTGATTTGAGCCTAATGATTACATTACAGCTTTATTAAAATGCAAATCAATGGGGTTGGAAGATAATTGTAGTTCTAATAGTATGCGGTTTGTCAAGGAAAGTTAATGGATTACTTTAGTTATGTGTAAATCCACAGGGTACTCATTTGTCTTGCCTCAGGAAAATGTGTTTCAGATTCCCCTTATTATAGCTCATTACCCACCTCTGCTCTCCTATTTCAGGACATAAACGAATGTTGTCTTTCACGAAGGAACTTCAGAATCAATGATAGAAGAATGCATTATTGTGTCTAACAGAAACTTGTCTTCTGCTTTACTCCAACCCCTCCGAAATACATACACATGCAGAGGTTGGTGAGGTTGGAGCAGGGCAACCACACTATGGCGCCCATTGAGCAGTTTAGGGTTTCAGTGGCTTGCTCAAGGCAAAATGGCAGGAGATGCCATGTAGGACCAGATTTTTTCCCCTGTCAGACATTTGCCCTGACAAATGTTTTCCTTGTTAGACATTCTTTCCCGCTCAGACATTTTTTCCCTGTCCAACCGGCAACCCTCCGGATGCTTGCCCGCTTTTCTAACCTCTAGGCGGCAGGTAGCTTAGTGGTTAAGAGCATTGTCCCAGTAACCGAAAGGTCGCTGGTTCTAATCCCCGCGCCGACTAGGTGAAAAATCTGTCGATGTGCCCTTGAGCAAGGCACTTAACCCTAATTGCTCCTGTAAGTCGCTCTGGATAAGATAAAAGACTAAAATGTAAATGTAGGCTTCCTGCCGCCCCAATGGCACAGTAATAGTATTGTAAGATATTGAAGTCTAAGGGGTTTCAGTCTGACCTGTAGAGTTACAATAGGATCCAGGAGGACAGGGGTGGCAGTCCCCCTTGCTGGCTGCCCCGGGGGTGGATCTGTAGGTGAATAATGGACATTCCCTGGGTCCAGTCCCTCCCTCGTAGTCACCACCAGCCACCCCATCACAGTAGTGACCAGAAGGACACAGATGCAGGACAGGGTCACCTGTAGAAGAGTTCAATGGAATTCTAAAAATGTGGACTAAATACTAATGGTGTCTCACAGATGTGGGTTCAAATACTATTTGAAATCATTTAAAATTATTGAGCTGCATGTTGCAATGGAACCAATATAAAAGTCCCAAAAGTAGTTGAAAGATCACAAATATTATTTGAACCTAGGTCTAGTGTCTCATAGTCTCATGTCTTTGAATTCCAATGTTTTGATTAAAATGGGAAGAAGGAATAAGCATCATAAGGCATCATTATTATTAGGTGTTATAATTACCTTTTTTGCACCAGTGCTGTGGTGGACATGGCCAGACAATCGTGGATATTGGCTGCTCCAGGTGAAACTCTGATAGTGTTTTCAGGGCAGATTTCAGGCTTCTCTGAACCTTCTGGGCAGTAGAATCCTGAGACAACAAAGACTCCCAATCATTACACATTAAAATCGATACTCAGACCTGTATGACCAAGTAATGTAACAACAAACATCGAACACAGGAACTCCAAAATCATAATCCCAAATCTCTCATATCCAATAAACGGCCAATAAATGTCGCCCCTGTAATCTTGGACTTTGAAATAAAACATTGTATGTTATCCTGTTTTTGAACGACTCATAAAAAGTGACCCACCTGCTGGACAGGGGCCGGCACACTGCATCCCCCATTCACACTGGCTCCAGGAGTGAGGACCCTGTGGTGTGAACTCAGAGCTGCCGGACATACACAGATACCCTGCTGCACAACGGCCCTGTATCTTACCAGCCCTACAGTTAGAATAGTTACAGTACATTATTAATGACTAGGGTCCGTATCCACAAAGCATCTCAGAGTAGGAATGCTGATCTAGGATCTGTCCATATAAATCTTATCCATTATGATCTAAAAGGCTAAACTAATCCTAGATCAGCGCTCCTACTCTGAGACGCTTTGTGGCACAGAGGATCTTACCACAACCTTACCTATGACTTTGAATTAAGTTAATTGAATCCCTTTGGGGAAAATATGCTTTGCGTCTGCCGTCAAACAAGCAGTTCATTACTATACATGAAGGGCCGGTTTCCCAAACACAGTCAAATAACTCAACATTCAGCTCTATTTCAAAATATACCCTTTTCCAAGAATAACCGTGCTGTCGATGCGTTCCACGTAAGCACTCGTGGCAACATTGCTCAGGCTACTAAGCAAAGACTAGTAACATAATACAACTTAAAATATGCTATTCTGTTATTTTTAAATACATTTTCTTATTTCCATAATGTTTCTTAAGACCTACCAAAACAAAATACTAATGGATTTCTTTGTGATTGTGGTGTTTTAGTGTTTTTTTTTTTACATATAGCCTTCAGTAACATAAATTAATGAAAATGCTATTAGTTGGTTTTGTATGTTTTTTTGTATTCTAATGTTACCTAAGACCTTCATAAACACCACCAAATGAGTATTCTACTGATAGCCAGTGGTGTAAAGTAACTAAGTAAAAATACTTTGAAGTACTACTTAAGTAGTGTTTTGGGGTATCTGTACTTTACTATTTACATTTTTGACTACTTTTACTTTTACTACATTCCTAAAGAAAATCTGTATTTTTTACTCCCATACATTTTCCTGTACACCCAAAAGTATTAGTTACATTTCGAATGCTCAGGCAGGACAGAATTATGGTCCAATTTACGCACCTATTAATATAACGCGTTATCATACCTACTGCCTCTGATCTGGCGGACTTACTAAACACAAATACTGCATTTGTCAATTATGTCTGAATGTGCCCTTGGCTATCCGTAAATAAAAATAAAATAAAAAACAATCATGCCATCTGATTTACTTAATGTAAGGAATTTGATGTATAGCATTTACTTTTTACTTTTACTCAAGTATGACAATTTAGTATTTTTCCCACCACTGCACTTAAGTATATTTAAAACCAGATGCTTTTAGACTATTACTCAAGTATTATTTTACTGGGTGACTTTCACTAAAGTCATTTTCTATTAAGGTAACCTTACTTTTACTTAAGTATGACAATTGAGTACTTTTTCCACCACTGCCGATAGCATACTGTATATGAAATGTATTTATTAGACAGTTAAAATATAATAATATGCTAATTGGCCCTCTTGAACCATAATCACTGAACCACACATGCTTAAGGGCCTTTCTTATTTGGTACGTAACTGAGAGTTTAATGTGTGACTGTAGAGTGAGGTGTTAATGAGAAGAGAGTGTTCTGTTACCGTACCTGCAGAACCTCCCTGGGAGGCAGGGCAGACACTCCCGCTCTTCCTGTAACCCCTCTAGGTCAGCAGGGGTGAACGTACCGTTGGGGCACGGCTGGGGAACCATTGTGGCTGGTAAAGACAAAGGTGCAAACAGTATGACAGTATGATAAGGTTGCATTTTTGCAGCTGATGTTGATGTTTTTGTTCTGTGTAGGCCTACACACCTAAATCAATTCCTAGTAACACTTGTTGCATGGTAATAACGTTTTCGGATTTGGAATCTGGTAGATATGGGCCAGATGAGTTAACTTAATATTGGTGTGTTAACTAATTCCTAGAGTCCCTCCTGATCCTGAGACCTGACAAGGAAAAACTGAACTCTTGTAATATTGAACCCTTGCCAAAGTTAATTCAGAGTCCTTGGGTTCATATCTAGGTCCAAGAGTTTTTCCTGGTATGATCATATAGTCAGGAAAAACTCCTGGACCTACATATAACCAATATCTGTGTACCTGCAGGGCAGAAGGAGTGAGGGGGGCAGGGCCAGGGGTCTCCAACAATAGCCTCCTCACAGTAGAAGCCAGGGCGGCAGGGGATGCAGGAGTCAGAGCCTGGGTTGGGCTGGTACTCTCCTGTAGGACAGGGCAGGGCCAGGGGAGAGCCCTCTGGACAGTAGTGACCCTGGGTAGGGAGACATTTCAGTAGTCTCAGAGCCGGTCCCAAATCGCACCCTAGACCTTCTCTTAGCACTAACCCTTCAGTGTTTGCAGATCTGAAGGATCTGGAAAGGTATAGTCTCACGTAGCCATACCTTCAAATCACGTTGTTGTCACGCCACTCCTTTGGAGGTCTGGAGAATTTTGTATTAGCCGAAACGGCTAGAATGGCACGCTGGCTTCCAGTGGCTGCATTTTGATTGGATGTTACATTTCAAGTACATTCCTCCCAGCAGTGTTATGTTCGTCACTGTTTTCCTACCAATCGAGTTGATGAAGGCAAAACAACTCTCTACCTGTCTAACTACAGGTTATGAAAAAAGTTTAGTGTATCGAGTGTGGCCGACAGTCTGCCATTTATTGAAATTGTAAGTCACCACAAACACGGCATTCATCAACATACACTGAGTGTACAAAACATTAGGAACACCTGCTCTATCCATGACATAGACTGACCAGGTGAATCCAGGTGAAAGCTATGATCCCTTATTGATGTCACTTGTTGAATCCACTTCAATTAGTGTAGATGCGACAGGTTAAAGAAGGATTGTTAAGCATTGTGACAATTGAGACATGGATTGTGTATGTATACCATTCAGACAAATTGAGGCTGTTCTGAGGGCAAAAGGGGGTGCAACTCAATATTGGGAAGTTCCTAATATTTTATACACTCAGTGTATTTTGATGGGGTTTTAATCAGCGAATCACCATATTGTTCCTTACAGATTTATAAAACATTGAAGGGTTAGGCCAAATGGAGGATTAGGGAGCAATTTGGGATTCTCTCTGGTGGGTGTTGTACATTTTAAACGGATGAGCTAAGTTCGTCAAATTGATTTGGTGCAGAGGATGTGATTGAGTGGTAGCACAATCGAACCCGGAGACTGGGGTTGCCCCCGCGTCCATCACTCTTACTCTCTCCTCCTCATCCATCTACCCCTGTTTCTAGAACTGTCTACAAAAAAATCATTTGATCCCTTGGAAAAGTCATAAATAAATCCTATCGATTACCATTATTATTCATTACTATAGGACCACAGATATACAAACACGTCGGGAATTGTAGTCGTTCAGAATACTGCAATGTCAAAAATCACATCAAACCACAATAGAAAATATTTTATACATGTCCCGGTTTGATATTGACCATTCCTTTGACCAGTCAGTCCGTACATTTTGAGGTTCAAATCTTTGAGGTTCTACCGTAGTCCAATTGGACAGGAGTGAGGCGAGCAGGACAGGGCTCACCTTAGGGCAGAGGAAGGCATAGGGCGTGGTGGAGGAGAAGTCAAATGGGCAGTAGAAGCCAGCAGCACACAGGCCACTGGGGGAGGCCAGGCCCTCAATGGAACAGTAGTGTCCGGGGGGACAGGGGGAGCAGCTGTCTATGGATAACCCACCTGTTGGATAACAGTAACAAAATAAATTCAGACTCAATTTAGCATTATTCAGATCACATCTTTGAATCAAGGCATTGTGCTGCCATGAGCTAATGAGCATTCAGAACACTGTTGACTCCTGATAAATGCATGCCATTTAGCACTAAAGCAGAACATGCCGATATCAGGAGTGAGTAAAAAAAAAAGGTATGTATCTGATTTGTAACGGCACTTCGTAGTTTACACTAAACCAATATGCAGTTATCAGGAGTCAACTGTATCTAATACAAGAAAAACAACACTAAGGCCAGGATTCAAACCAACGCAGATTAACAACCTGCACACTGCGATGAACCTTTAAAGGCAATTCCCAGATGATCCCTGAGATTGTGTCACCGTGGATGTCAGCTCAAGCATAAATCACCTTTAAAAGTCAATCGTAGTACACAGGTCGTTAATCTGTGTTGGCTTGAATCCCAGCAAGTATCCTTATTATGTTGATGTACAGTACCAGTCAAAAGTTTGGACACACCTACTCATTCAAGGGTTTTTCTTTATTTTTACTATTTTCTACATTGTAGAATAATAGTGAAGACATCAAAACTATGAAATAACACATATGGAATCATGTAGTAACCAAAAAAGTGTTAAACAAATCAAAATATATTTTACATTTGTGATTCTTCAAATAGCCACCCTTTGCCTTGATGACAGCTTTGCACACTCTTGGCATTCTCTCAACCAGCTTCACCTGGAATGCTTTTCCAACAGTCTTGAAGGAGTTCCTACATATGCTGAGCACTTTTTGGCTGCTTTTCCTTCACTCTGCCATTCGACTCATCCCAAACCATCTCAATTGGGTTGAGGTCAGGGGATTGTGGAGGTCAGGGGATTGTGGAGGCCAGGTCATCTGATGCAGCACTCCATCACACTCCTTCTTGGTAAAATAGCCCTTACTCAGCCTGGAGGTGTTGGTGTCCTTTAGTAGTGTTTTTTTTGAAGCAATTCGACCATGAAGGCCTGATTCACACAGTTCCCTCTGAACAGTTGATCTTGAGATGTGTCTGTGACTTGAACTCTGTGAAGCATTTATTTGGGCTGCAATTTCTGAGGCTGGTAACTGTAATGAACTTATCTCTACAGCAGAGGTAACTCTGGGTCTCCCATTCCTGTGGTGGTCCTCATGAGAGACAGTTTCATCATAGGGCTTGATGGTTTTTGCGACTGCACTTCAAGAAACTTTCAAAGTTCTTGAAATGTTCCTTATTGACTGACCTTCATGTCTTAAAGTAATGATGGACTGTCATTTCTCTTTGCTTATTTGAGCTGTTCTTGCTCAAATATGGACATTGGTCTTTTACCAAATAGGGCTAACTTCTGTATACCTCCCCTACCTTGTCACAACACAACTGATTGGCTCAAACGCATTAAGAAGGAAATAAATTCCACAAATTAACTTTTAAGAAGGCACACCTGTTAATTGAAATGCATTCCAGGTGACTACCTCATGAAGCTGGTTGAGAGAATGCCAAGAGTGTGCAAAGCTGTCATCAAGGCAAAAGGTTGCTATTTGAAGAATCGCAAATATAAAATATATTTTGATTTGTTTAACACTTTTTTGGTTACTACATGAGTACATATGTGTTATTTCATAGTTTTGATGTCTTCACTATTATTCTACAATGTAAAAAATAGTAAAAATAAAGAAAAGCCCTTGAATGATTAAGTGTGTCCAAACTTTTGACTGGTAGTGTATCTCTAAGTACCAGTGTGGTTTCGGATGCTGCCTGCAGGACACGGCAGTGGGGAGAGGGTCCCAGACAGGCAATAGTGGCCCACAGGGCAGGGCCCATTCCTGGGAAAGATGGCTGAGCTCTGGGGAGCTGGACCTGGTGCTCCACGCTGGCAGAAGTAGCCCTGCTGGCACTGGCCTGGTAACAACAACCAAACACACATCACAATCACACCAACCTGTTTGCTTTTATACTCTATCCAATCTGCTTCTCCTGCTTGGTTCCTTGCATAACATCTAGTCAATGGCAAGAAATTCAGATTTAATATAGTGATTGGCCCCTTGGGCCAATCACTATAATTTTGTAAATGTCGGATCTCCATGGCAAGACGCATCATTCACCCAAGTTTCGTCAAAATTGGCCCAGTGGTGTCTGAAATATCGCGAGTGACTAACTTTCAAAAGTACACTACTGTATATATACAGAAGTATGTGGACACCCCTTCAAATTAGTGGATTTGGCTATTTCAGCCATACCGTTGCTGACAGTCGGTTGCAACACTCACTACCAAGTTCCAAACTGCCTCTGGAAGCAACTGTTCGTCAGGAGCTTCATGAAATGGGTTTCCATGGCCGAGCAGCTGAACATAAGCCTAAAATCACCATGAGCAATGCCAAGTGTCGGCTGGAGTGGTGTAAAGCTCGCCGGTTTTAAAGTTTGGTGGAGGAGGAATAATGGTCTGGGGCTGTTTTTCATGATTCGGGCTAGGCACCTTCGTTCCAGTGAAGGGAAATCTTAACGCTACAGCATACAATGGCATTCTATTCGATTCTGTGCTTCCAACTTTGATGGCAACAGTTTGGGGAAGGCCCTTTCCTGTTTCAGCATGACAATGCCCCCATGCACAAAGCGAGGTCCATACAGAATGGTTTGTCGAGATCGGTGTGGAAGAACTTGACTGGCCTGCACAGAGCCCTGACCTCAACCCCATCGAACACCTTAGGGATGAATTGGAACGCAGACTGCAAGCCAGGCCTAATCGCCCAACATCATTGCCTGATCGCAGCAATGTTCCAACATCTAGTGGAAAGCCTTCCCAGAAGAGTGGGGGCAGTTATAGCAGAAAAGGGGGGACCAACTCCATTTTAAAGCACATGATTTTGGATCTTCGACGAGCAGGTGTCCACATACCTTTGGTCACGTAGTGTATGTACGAACATACGGAGACAGATTCCATACAGACCCCCCCCCCCCCCCCCCCCAATTATTCCACCAAAAAAAGAGAGAAAAAAAACAACAACATTACCAACATTATTAATTGTCAACTGTCTCTGTATGGAATTACAGTGCCAAAATGTTCACCTTTTGTGAATGGGCGGAGCTTATAGATCCTTATGGGAAACTGGTTTCTCGTGAGGAGATGCATATATCTACACATTTTCATGACCGTAGCTCAAACAGGAGATATGTTTGTTCAAATTCTGATTGGGGAAAATGTAATGGGTTGAGCTTATAGGTCCTCATGGGAAACTTGTTGCTCATGAGGAGATGTATATACACTGAGTGTACAAAACATTAGGAATACCTTCCTAATATTGAGTTGCACCCCCTTTTGCCCTCAGAACAGCCTCAATTTGGTTTGTCAAAATCGGGCCAGTGATGTCTGAAATATAGCGTACAGTGCATTTGGAAAATATTCAGACCCCTAGACTTATTCCACATTTTGTTATGTTACGGCCTTATTCTAAAATGTATTAAATTGTTTTTTTGCCTCATCAATCTACACATAATACCCCATAATGACAAAGCAAAAACAAACAAAAAATAAGGTATGTTTGTGCTTTGTCATTATGGGGTAATTGTGTATAGATTGATGAGTGAAAAAAACGATTTAATCAATTTTAGAATAAGGCTGTAATGTAACAAAATGTGGAAAAAGGGAAGGGGTCTGAATACTTTCCGAATGCACTGTACGTATTAACGTACGTTCGTACGAACGGGCGGTGGAGACAGATCCATAGTACCCCCCCCCCCCAATTTCATTGTGGGTGACAATAACTATCAGCCAAGCAATCGGTCAGATGTTTCATCCACAACAGACAGTAGAGTCAGGAATTGAACCCTGCGCAGTATATACACACTAACAAAAAAGGATTCCAAAAGGGTTCTTCAGCTGTCCCCATAGGAGAACCCTTTTTGGTTCCAGATATAATTCTTTTTGGTTACAGGCAGAACCCTTTTGGGTTCCATGTAGAACACTCTGTGGAAAGGGTTCTACATGGAACCGAAAAGGGTTCTACCTGGAACCAAAAATGATTCTATCTGGAACCAAAATAGGGTTCTCTAATGGAGAAAGCCAAAGAACCCTTTTAGGTTCTAGATAGTACCTTTTTTTCTAAGAGTGTAGTACTGTTACTACAGATCTATTCTTTGCTATTGTATTCTCTGACTAGACCTTGTGGTAGTGAGGTGCCAGGCACGCTGCAGTAGAGCCCAGAGGGGCAGGGCCTGCATGCAGAGGGGGAGGGGGCTCCTGTCTGTTCACTGAGGGTCCCAACAGGACAGGGCAGAGGTAACACACACCCGGCAGGACAGAAATGACCTGGGTGGGAAAAGGAGAGAATCGGAAAATGCCTGCTGTGAATAAGTGCATTCACTTACAGTATACTAGTGAATCTATAAAGTAACTGGCAATAAAATGTGTTGCATATAATATGAATTATATTGAAATGTATTGAAATTCATTAATTCCCATTAAGACGCAATTTCTACATTTAATTTGAGAAGTATTAGTTATATTACATTATATAATATTATGATATAATTTTTATAATCACCAGCAGGGCAGAGAGAGGGCTCTTGGGTGGCAGAGGAGGGACACATGGTGCCATTAGGGCAGGTGAGGCAGTGTGCAGCGCCAGGGGCAGGACTGTAGGTGCCAGGCTCACAGGGTACCTCTGAAGCTGTGCCAACAGGACAGCGATGCCCTGTGGGGCACAGGTAACCATGGAGACCATCAGAGGGGTGGGCACTGGAGCTACCACCTAGACACACATACCTAGATAAGGAGAGAAAGAGTCAACCACAAACTGTACAGTGTAGATATATACAATAGATAGACAGGAAATGCTTATCTCAATCTGTATCTCTTGATTGGCTGATTTGAGTCTGTTTTGTTCATTTCTCTAACAGCAATGAGCACAAGAGGAACAGAAAGTCAGTGAGCATTTTCTAAGTCGTTTCCTTTCCGCTGTTTCCAGGTCAGTTGAGATAGAGAGATACTGCCAGATGAACTACATAAATTGTATCAGTTTTAGATGCATTTTGGTCAGGCATTAGCCGAGGGCTCCTCATTAGGAGATGAGCAGCATGTGTTTATATTACCCAGCGCTACACGGGACGGCGTCCGAGGTCAGCGCCAGCGCAGGCCTGTCACAGAAGTGCCCAGGGGGGCAAGGCTGGCACTCCTCTACGCCCCTCAGTCCCAGGGAAGCTGGAGAGAGAGCCCGGTGGGCACGGAAGAGGGTAGCCAGTGCCAGCTGGACAGTAGTGGCCACGGGGGCACAGATTATTACTGGTGGAATTCCGCTGGAAAACAACCCAATGAAGAAACATGAATTCCTTGTGTACTGTTTGATTTTGATCAACTCCATCACATTGTGGGGAGTTGTGATGTTTTATGGTAAAGGTGTGGTAAAATGTCCCTTTGTAGGGTACTTGTGTATGACATGCACAGAAAGAGTAAACATATCAAAAGATAACGACCGCTGTTTGTGCATCCTCATTCAATATTACTACAAAGGTACCTCGTATTCAGTAGCATTGGGTGTGATGGCACCAGGAGGACAGTGGTATCCTGCCTGGCAAGGCCCCGTTGTATGGGAGAGCCCAGGGAGGGCACAGAACATCCCTGTGGACATACGACAGTACATTTCAAATGACACCCTATTCCCCCATATAGTGCACTACGTTGGCTCTGGTCAAAAGAAGTGCATTAGATAGGGTATAAGATTATGTCATTTGAAATGCGAAAAATATGTTTTACCGGAATGTTGAAACCCTAATCGGTGATAATGCATACTGTATATCTGTGTAAGCCTGACCTGCAGGGCATGGCAGACAGTGGTCCAGGCTGGAGGCTCCAGGCTTGCTCTGCACTGTGCCAGGGGGACAAGGGAACCTCACACCCACGGCCAACCCAGGAGGACAGTAGTGACCAAGAGGACAGAGCACTGGATGCACCACCCCTTCTCCTGCTCCACACATGACATGAGAAACATTACACAGAATCTTGCTAATGTATGGAGTGGAAGTGTTTGGGAATTCCACCACAGAGTGGAAGAGTTGGGGTCAATTTCAACCAAAATTCTATGTCCAATGCAAAATATAGTATTTAAACTGGAATTACATGGCCCCAAACCTGGTGGAAATACCACAGTTAATAATTTAACTGACATGAAATAAATCATCAGATATAATTAAATGTTAAACTAATTACTGATCTTAAGGTTTTAAAATGACACTGATAATCATGTTTGAAGTAGAAATCCAACCATCTCACCCACCCTGACAGTAGTAGCCATCAGGACATGTTGTACAGTTGTTCTGGTGACTGTTGCCTGTCACTGAGCTGTGTGTCCCTGCAGGACAGGCCAGGGGGGTCCTAGTTCCTCCTGGACAGAAGCAGCCTGCTGGACACAGGGCCTCCTCAGGACTACTGGAGCCCCAGTCACAGAAGAACCCAGGGGAGCAAGCACCTACAAGGGTTTCCCACCATTAACATGAGGTTGAACATTATTTAAGCGGTACAGACATGACTAGTTTTTTACTTGGTAAAATGATAATTACACAATGATAACCTATTTATTTATTTTTCCTTTATTTAACTAGGCAAGTCAATTAAGAACAAATTCTTATTTACAATGTCGGCCTACACCGGCCAAACCCGGACGACGCTGGGCCAATTGTGCGCCGCCCTATGTGACTCCCAATCACGGCTGGTTGTGATACAGCCTGGAATCGAACCAGGGGTCTATAGTGCACTGAGATGCAGTGCCTTAGACCGCTGCGCCACTCGGGAGCCCAACCTATGAGTTACTTGTTTGTTTCATTGGTATTTATTCAAACAAATGGACATAATTTTCAATCGTGGAAAAATTGGAACCACCTCTGCTCGCCAACTAATTTATATATACAGTACCAGTCAAAAGTTTGGACACACCTACTCATTCAAGGGTTTTTCTTTATTTTTACTATTTTCTACATTGTAGAATAATAGTGAAGACATCAAAACTATGAAATAACACACATGGAATCATTTATTACCCAGAGTTACCTCTGCTGCAGAGGATAAGTTCATTAGAGTTACCAGCCTCAGAAATTGCAGCCCAAATAAATGCTTCACAGAGTTCAAGTAACAGACACATCTCAACATCAACTGTTCAGAGGAGACTGCATGAATCAGGCCTTCATGGTCGAATTGCTGCAAAGAAACCACTACTAAAGGGCACCAATAAGAAGAAGAGACTTGCTTGGGCCAAGAAACATGAGCAATGGACATTAGACTGGTGGAAATCTGTCCTATGGTCTGATGAGTCCAAATGTGAGATTTTTGGTTCCAACCGCCGTGTCTTTGTGAGACGCAGAGTAGGTGAACGGATGATCTCCACATGTGTGGTTCCCACCGTGAAGCATGGAGGAGGAGGCGTTATGGTGTGGGGGTGCTTTGCTGGTGACACTGTCTGTGATTTATTTAGAATTCAAGGCACACTTAACCAGCATGGCTACCACAGCATTCTGCAGCGATACGCCATCCCATCTGGTTTGGGCTTACTGGGACTATCATTTGTTTTTCAACAGGACAATGACCCAACACACCTTCAGGCTGTGTAAAGGATATTTGACCAAGAAGGAGAGTGATGGGTGCTGCATCAGATGACCTGGCCTCCACAATCACCCAACCTCAACCCAATTGAGATGGTTTGGGATGAGTTGGACGGCAGAGTGAAGGAAAAGCAGCCAACAAGCACTCAGCATATGTGGGAACTCCTTCAAGACTGTTGGAAAAGCATTCCAGGTGAAGCTGGTTGAGGGAATACCAAGAGTGTGCAAAGCTGTCATCAAGGCAAAGGGTGGCTACTTTGAAGAATTTAAAATCTAAAATATATTTTGATTTGTTTAACACTTTTTTGGTTACTACATGATTCCATATGTGTTATTTCATAGCTTTGATGTCTTCACTATTATTCTACAATGTAGAAAATAGTAAAAAATAATAATAATAAAAACTTGAATGAGTAGGTGTGTCCAAACTTTTGACTGGTACCATACATATAACAAATGTACACATAGCAAGTAACCATTTGTACTTATCGTAACAACAACAACAAACATCTTAAGGCAAATGCCCTATGGGTCCTACTCACACTTGAGATAAGTTGACTTACCATGGACTTTTTGTTGACTTAAGTCCATGTTTAATTGACTTAAGTCCATGTTAAGTCTACTTCACTCAAGTCTGAATCGGGCCCTCAGAGTGTAGAGACAATAAGCGAGTTCCTCTGTACTGTACCTGCTCTGAGTCCTAGCTGGCAGTATGCCCCAGGGGGGCAGGGTGACCCTGTCCTGTTGTCAGCGGGATTTGGCACTGTGGCCCTGGTAACACAGAGGAACCCAGGAGCACAGGGTCCAGTGGGCTCAACCAGACCCTCTGATCCACAGAACTGGCCCGCCGGACAAACCAAGCACTCCCCTGCAACCGCAGTGAGACAAACGTGTGCATTGGCTCTGACACAACAAAATGCAATTTTATCATAATTGTTTTATTTGTAAAAAAGAAAGAAGAAAAAAAGCAGTCATTCCAAGGGTTATGGCTGATTACCATTTCAAATAAGGTAGATAGTACATGTACGGCCAGTAGTCTTGTCCTGGCTGCTGCATTACCTGACCAGGAAAACCTCTGGGCCCGTTGGGCACTTGTTATAGACTAAAGCTAGGGCTAAGAGTCTTTCCTGGTCAGTTGTTGACTGTGATGAAAAACATATACCATCTACCTCGTTAGGTCCGGAAAAACTCCTGTCCCTAACTATAGTATGTTATTTCTCACCAGGGGATGTGAGACCCATAGTAGGGTTGTAGGTGCCTTTGGGGCAGGGGTAGGGTTGGCTGAATGAGCTTTCTCTGGGGCAGACATAGCCAGCTGGGCAGAGCAGAGGGGTGGTGGGGCCACTGGTGCTGCCAGTGGTGTTGGTGGTCAGGCAGTGAAAGCCAGGGGGACAGGGCTTACACTCCCTCTGGCCCTCCAAGTCCTGGAACCAACCTACAATGTCACAAACAACGTCACATACTGTATGCCGTTTGGTTTTTGTGAACAGATGAGATACAATGTATGGACATTTCACAGAGAAATCTTTCTATACTATGTAACTTACATCCGAATGTCATAATTTGCTGATCGAAACGGATAAGTTCAGTATTTTACAACTGAATGTTAGATGGTTCCTTATCCTGAAAGTAGTCTATGAGCCAGGAGACACAGATTTCTTAAACAGACACTACAAACTAGTAGTAGTAGTAGAGTGATTGGGCATCCGTACAATTTTAAACATTTCATCAGCTCACATTTCTCTGAAGATCATTAAGTTACCATCAGGACATGGCTTGCAGTCATCTCTCTTCTTCCCTCCAGTGTCATTGTGGTGGGTGCCAGCAGGGCAGGATGCAGGCACACTGCTACCACTCTCACAGTAGTGGCCTGGGTTGCAAACACCTCCAAATACACCTGACATGGGGGCAGCACTCTGGGACCCTTCCAAACAGTAGAAACCTACAAATATATGGTAACACTTCAATTGAACGGTACCTACATGAAAACGTCATAACTCATGCATAATGCATTCATACATACATACTGCATTCATAAGCACTACATAAGCAGTTGAACGTGTTATGAGGTCCGACCTTATGTAGGTACCTCTCATACTGAACATGCCATATCACGGTTGCAATATCAAGCAACACAATGAAGTCCTTCAAGTGGAATAATGGATTGAAAATTGAAAAATAATAGTGTAGCGACCTTAACCCAACACCTAGTGATCTCGACAATGGGTTTGGACGTCTTGGTGTGATGGTTAAGTTGTTGACTTGACAGTTACTGGACCCAGGTTCGAGTCCCGGCCGGTGCAACCTTACAAAGTCGCTACGTTTGGTGTCAGAAGTGGGATGGTTCCCATGAGGCCATCAGAGAGGCGTGTACCCGTGAGGGACTTGGCATAGAGAAGCATGGGAACATGCTCTCCCGAAGGAAGGGGGTAATGTAGCGAGCTTAACCCAACACCTAGCGACCTTGTCAACAGGTTCGGACCTCTTGGCTTAACGGTTAAGGTGTTGGCTAGACCCGGGTTTGAGTCCCAGGCGGGGCTTCCCCCCGAATTCGCTACAACCAATACTTAATGCTAAATAAGTGTTAATCTCTCACCTGGCAGACAGGCTCCAGTGACTGCTTTAAGGCCTGGCTCTGCACAATAGAACCCTGGAATACATCTACGACACTGGGAGGGCTCCGTTAGTCCACTTTGCTCACTGCAAGAAAAAATACCCCCTGAACATTAACTAACAAGGCGACAGATCTGGAAAGTTTTACCATCATGGCACTAACTACATTGGCAGGTGGGTACACATTGTTACGGAATACTTAGAACTGTTTTACACTATATGTATATTATAAATACATGTTTTAGTGACAATAATATTGGAAATAATAATAAAATCTGAAATCTATTAAAATTTAACACAAAATGTAAATATGAAATATAATCTGACAATATTTTAATAGCTGCCTTTATTTTGTGTAGATATCACACACAGTGGGTACCTGAATGTGCCTTTAGGGCAGGGCAATGGTACGGAGCTCCCAACAGGACAGTAGAATCCAGGAGGACATGGAGCTCCTGTGATGTTGTCTGAGGGGGATGGTTGAGAGGCGGCCCCAAAACACACAAACCCTGCACTGCACGGACCACTGGGGGAAATTCTCCCTTCAAAGACAGATATTCAGAAAAACGATGTGGTTTTAAGTAAAATATGATTGTGAACTCAAATAAACTGTTAGTGTCATATACTGTATCTAGCATCGTTCCCTGCATGTGCTGTAGCCTAACTCCTATGATATTGTATGGCATGACAATGGACGACAGAAGAGTTGGCTAGAGCACATACAGTTTGTGTACCAAATGATAGCCTGCTATACCCTGCACTAATGGAACCCTATTCCCTATGGGCCCTGGTCAAATGTAGTGCACTACATAGGGAATAGGGTGCCATTTGGGATGCAGACTAGGGACACAGTATGGGATGAGGCTAATATATACCTATTCCTTTACAGTACATCCCCGGATCACACAAAGAGCATTCCGATTCGTCAGCCATTCCTGATAAGCTTCCATAGGTCCCGGATGGACAAGGATGCTGATTGGCTGTTCCACGGGGACAATAGAATCCTCTTCCGCATGGAACCATAAGTGTCCTTCCTGGATTCAGGGTGGATGAAATCAATAAATTAATACAAATTATTTTATAAAGCCCTTTTTTTACATCAGCAGTTTTCACAAAGGGCTTTATAGATACCCATCCTAACACCCCAAAGAGCAAGTTCAACATTTATTCAAAGTTTATTCGCCAGGTACAGAGTACATGTTCTTCTTAGAAAGTAGATGGTCAGGTCTAGTTTTCGATTTACTTTGAAACTCTACTTTGAAACTTTGAATACCTGACTGTGAATAGCCAACTGACGTTGAATTTTGAAGCGTGATAGTGTTGCGCCCTCTATAGTCATCATGGTTATCATCTGATCCTGTTGGTCATCTACAGTGCTATGAAAAAGTATTTGCCCCCTTTCTAATTTTCTCTACTTTTGCATATTTGTGATACTGAATGTTATCAGATCTTCAACCAAAACCTAATATTAGATAAAGGGAACATACAGTGGGGAGAACAAGTATTTGATACACTGCCGATGTTGCAGGTTCTCCTACTTACAAAGCATGTAGAGGTCTGTAATATTTATCATAGGTACACAGACGGAATCTAAAACAAAAATCCAGAAAATCACATTGTATGATTTTTAAGTAATTCATTTGCATTTTATTGCATGACATAAGTATTTGATCACCTACCAACCAGTAAGAATTCTGGCTCTTACAGACCTGTTAGTTTTTCTTTAAGAAGCCCTCCTGTTCTCCACTCATTACCTGTATTAACTGCACCTGTTTTAACTCGTTACCTGTATAAAAGACACCTGTCCACACACTCAATCAAACAGACTCCAACCTCTCCACAATGGCCAAGACCAGAGAGCTGTGTAAGGACATCAGGGATAAAATTGTAGACCTGCACAAGGCTGGGATGGGCTACAGGACATTAAGCAAGCAGCTTGGTGAGAAGGCAACAACTGTTGGCGCAATTATTAGAAAATGGAAGAAGTTCAAGATGATGGTCAATCACCCTCGGTCTGGGGCTCCATGCAAGATCTCACCTCGTGGGGCATCAATGATCATGAGGAAAGTGAGGGATCAGCCCAGAACTACACGGCAGGACCTGGTCAATGACCTGAAGAGAGCTGGGACCACAGTCTCAAAGAAAACCATTAGTAACACACTACGCCGTCATGGATTAAAATCCTGCAGCGCACGCAAGGTCCCCCTGCTCAAGCCAGCGCATGTCCAGGCCCGTCTGAAGTTTTCCAATGACCATCTGGATGATCCAGAGGAGGAATGGGAGAAGGTCATGTGGTCTGATGAGACAAAAATAGAGCTTTTTGGTCTGAACTCCACTCGCTGTGTTTGGAGGAAGAAGAAGGATGAGTACAACCCCAAGAACACCATCCCAACCGTGAAGCATGGAGGTGGAAACATCATTCTTTGGGGATGCTTTTCTGCAAAGGGGACAGGACGACTGCACCGTATTGAGGGGAGGATGGATGGGGCCATGTATCGCGAGATCTTGGCCAACAACCTCCTTCCCTCAGTAAGAGCATTGAAGATGGGTCGTGGCTGGGTCTTCCAGCATGACAACGACCTGAAACACACAGCCAGGGCAACTAAGGAGTGGCTCCGTAAGAAGCATCTCAAGGTCCTGGAGTGGCCTAGCCAGTCTCCAGACCTGAACCCAATAGAAAATCTTTGGAGGGAGCTGAAAGTCCGTATTGCCCAGCGACAGCCCCGAAACCTGAAGGATCTGGAGAAGGTCTGTATGGAAGAGTGGGACAAAATCCCTGCTGCAGTGTGTGCAAACCTGGTCAAGACCTACAGGAAACGTATGATCTCTGTAATTGCAAACAAAGGTTTCTGTACGAAATATTAAGTTCTGCTTTTCTGATGTATCAAATACTTATGTCATGCAATAAAATGCAAATGAATTACTTAAAAATCATACAATGTGATTTTCTGGATTTTTGTTTTAGATTCTGTCCCTCACAGTTGAAGTGTACCTATGATAAAAATTACAGACCTCTACATGCTTTGTAAGTAGGAAAACCTGCAAAATCGGCAGTGTATCAAATACTTGTTCTCCCTACTGTAAGTGAACAAATAACATAACAATTACATATTTATTTCATTTATATCATAAACAAAGTTATGCAACACCCAATTCCCCTGTGTGAAAAAGTAATTTCCCCCTTACACTCAATAACTGGTTGTGCCACCTTTAGCTGCAATGACTTCAACCAAATGCTTCCTGTAGTTGTTGATCAGTCTCTCACGTCGCTGTGGAGGAATTTTGTCCCACTCTTCCATGCAGAACTGCTTTAACTCAGTGACGTGTGGGTTTTCAAGCATGAACTGCTCGTTTCAAGTCCTGCCACAACATCTCAATTGGGATTAAGTCTGGACTTTGACTAGGCCATTCCAAAACTTCCAATTTGTTGCTTTTTAGCAATTCTCATGTAGACTTGATTGTGTGTTTTGGATCATTGTCTTGCTGCATGACCCAGCTGCACTTCAGCTTCAGCTCACAGACGGATGGTCTGACATTCTCCTGTAGAATTCTCTGATACAGAGCATAATTCATGGTTCCTTCTATTAAGGCAAGTCATCCAGGTCCTGAGGCAGCAAAGCATCCCCAAACCATCACACCACCACCACCATGCTTGACCTTTGGTATGATGTTCTTACTGTGGAATGAAGAGTTTGGTTTTCGCCAGGCATTACTGGAACCATGTAGTCCAAAAAGTTATACTTTTGAATCATCTGTCCATAAAACGTTCTTACAAGAGTCTTGATGATCATCCAGGTGCTTTTTGGCAAACTTGAGTCAACTTTTTGGACGAGATGCTTTGCTGCCTCAGGACCTGGAGTTAAAGCAGTTCTGCATGGAAGAGTGGGCCAAAATTCCCCCACAGCGACGTGAGAGACTGATCAACAACTACAGGAAGCATTTGGTTGGAGTCATTGCAGCTAAAGGTGGCACAACCAGTTATTGAGTGTAAGGGGGCAATTACTTTTTCACACAGGGGAATTTATTGTTGCATAACTTTGTTTATGAAATAAATATGTAATTGTTGTGTTATTTGTTCACATATGTTCCCTTTATCTAATATTAGGTTTTGGTTGAAGATCTGATAACATTCAGTATCACAAATATGCAAAAGTAGAGAAAATTAGAAAGGGGGCAAATACTTTTTCATAGCACTGTATGAATGTTTGAACATCTTGAAAACGTTCTGGCCTTAATGGCCACATGTACTCTTACATTTCAACCCGGTACAGCCAGAAGAGGACTGGCCACCCCTCAGAGCCTGGTCGCTCTCTAGGTTTCTTCCTAGGTTCCTGCCTTCTTCCTAGCCACTGTGCTTCTACCTCTGCATTGCTTCTACCTCTACATTTCTATCCCCTGGCCATAAGACTGTTAAATGGCTAGCAACTAGTGCTCTCCCTCTCCCACAGACTATCCACACTGACTCTATGCCCATCCACAGGTCTCTACCCACTCAGACACAACCTACGCTTCTGCTAAAATTATGAATGATTAGATGTATTACTCCATTACTCTGCTGTCCATTGATTATTGATTGCCATTACTATTAGTATCTATCTATTTATCCTGCTACTGGTCACTGTTATTCCTGTTTACATGTATACACTAAGTTTACAAAACATGGACTCTACAAGGTGTCGAAAGCGTCAGGGATACTGGCCCATGTTGACTCCAATGCTTCACACAGTTGTGTCAAGTTGGCTGGATGTCCTTTGGGTGGTGGACCATTCTTGATACACATGGAAACTGTTAAGCGGAAACCCAGCAGCGATGCAGTTCAAACTGGTGCACCTGGCACCTACTACATACCACGTCCAAAGGCACTTAAATCTTTTGTCTTGCCCATTCACCCTCTGAATGGCACACATACTCAATCCATGTCTCAATTGTCTCAAGGCTTAAAAATCCTTCTTTAACCTGTCTCCTCTCCTTCATCTACACTGAATGAAGTTGATTTAACAAGTGACATCAATAAGGGATCATAGCTTTCACCTGGATTCACCTGATCAGTCCATGTCATGGAAAGTTTTGTACACTCAGTCTATATTACCAAAATAAAAAATGATTCATTACTTATTTTACATTTCGGTAGTTAGTGCATTCACCTTAAGGTAGCTAGAGACAACCACATATCACAGTCATATTAAGTCAATGTTTTCCTCAATAAAGCAACTATCAGCAAAGTCAGTGCTAGTGAGAACAGACAAGTGCAAGAAAGGCAAGGTTTTTGTCTTTACTGTCATCTTTTTTCTGAAAGAAAATTGGTTTTCAGATGTTTCAGTAAAATGGGCAGGGACCCAGCTGTCCTGACATGGTCTTAAAATGAGATGCGGGCTGATGTGGGAGAACTTGGGAAAGTGGAACACCTGGCGGGCTAAGGCATTCTGGAAGAGTTTAATGGGTTTGACGGCACAAGCGGGAGCCCAGCCAGCAGAGAGTTGCAGTAGTCCAAATGGGAGATGACAAGTGCAAGGAATAATTCATTTTTTTATTTGGGGGGGTCAAATCAGGTGAAAGTTTATCTCAATCGATATTGACATGACTAAAACCGAATCGAAACTGTGTAGAAATGATAATGGACCTATATTTATAGTCTCTTCACTCTGTCCAGCTTGCTAAAAGTCATTGAAACGAAAGCTAGACAGTCAGAGACCAATCGAAAATTCTAAATGTGATGGATAGAGGACTATTTGTAGCAAATGTTGACAGCAAGGAAATATAATACATTTTAAGTTTGGACCTCCGGACCTCGGTGAAGACCGAATTTGGCCCGCAGGGGAAAAAGAGTTTGACACCCCTGCTGTAGAGCATGAACCTGCAGAAGCAAGGCATTGCTTCTATGTTTGCAGAGAACAACAGGGTGTTGTCCAGGATCACGTCAAGGTTCTTTGCACTCTGAGATTGGGACACAATAGAGTTGCCAACTGTGATGGAGAGGTCTTGGAGCGGGCAGGCCTTCCCCAGAAGGAAGAGCACCTCTGTCTTGTCAAGGTTGAGCTTGAGGTGGTGAACTGACATCCAAGCTGAGATGTCTGCCAGGCATGCAGAGATATGTGTCGCCACCTGGGTGTCAGAAGGAGGGAAGGAAAAAAGGAGCTGAGTGTCATCCGCATAGTAATGACAGGAGAGTCCATGTGAGGATATGACGGAGCTAAGTGACTGGGTGTACAGAGAGAAGAGGAGAGAGCCTAGAACCGAGCCCTGGGGGACACCAGTAGTGAGAACACGTGGTGCAGACACAGATCCTCCCCACGTCATCTGGTAGGAACGACATGCCAGGTAGGATGCAATCCAAAAATGTGCAGAGCCTGTAGATGCCCAGCCCTGAGAGGATGGAGAAGAGGATCTGGTGGTTCATGGTGTCGTAGGTAGTGGATAAGGAGCACCTGAAGAAGGTTATGGAAGTCCAACACTCAGTGGAACTCAACATGAGTTTAAGAAGATTCAGCGGATGTGACACTAGACCCTGATACAGCACACCCCTACCTCATTCTGTCTAAAGATGGGAAACAGGTGAGACTTAGAGACAGGAAAGAATCTCCCTGACAACCCAGTGCAGTTTGACGAGGTTGTCAATGTCCTAGGAAAGGAGGGCTTCTCCTAGATTCTACTATGAGGTGCAGGTGGAGGGTAATACCGAATGGGATCTAGGAGTGGCCAGAGAGTCCATCAACAGGAAAGGGGAAATCTCACTGAGCCCTGACAATGGATACTGGACATTGTGGCTGAGGAATGGAGATGATTATAAGGCTCTCGGGTCCTCCTCTCTCTCAGTCAGAATCCCAAGAAGGTGGGGGTGTTTGTGGATTATGTCATGGGTCAGGTCTCCTATGATGTGGACAACAGGTCTCATATCTAATCCTTCACTGGTCAGACCTTCACTAAGAAACTCTATCCATTATTCTGTCACTGCCTTCATGATAATGGTAAAAACGCAGCCCCATTGCATTGGTCATCACACCTGTCAGTTAAACAGTTAGAGTTTTAATGTTCGTTGATTCATTACAGTTTAAATGCTTTTCTCAGACTTTATTTTGTAGTCTATCCCAATCTGAAGGAAAGTATTTACTATTTTAAACTTTAAAGTATTTTTAAACAAAAAGAGAAATAAAGACAATATCCTTTGAATTAAGATATTTTCAATATACAGTCGTGGTCAAAAGTTTTGAGAATGACACAAGTATTGGTCTTCACAAAGATCGCTGCTTCAGTTTTATGAGATATTTTTGTCAGATGTTACTATGGTATACCGAAGTATAATTACAAGCATTCCATAAGTGTCAAAGGCTTTTATTGACAATTACATTAAGTTTATGCAAAGAGTCAATATTTGCAGTGTTGACCCATCTTTTTCAAGACCTCTGCAATCCGCCCTGGCATGCTGTCAATTAACTTCTGGGCCACATCCTGACTGATGGCAGCCCATTCTTGCATAATCAATGCTTGGAGTTTGTCAGAATTTGTGATTTTTGTTTGTCCACCCGCCTCCCTCACAAGTTCTCAATGGGATTAAGGTCTGGGGAGTTTATGGAGGAGGAGGTGTTATGGTGTGGGGGTGCTTTACTGGTGACACTGTCTGTGATTTATTAAAAATTCAAGGCACTCTTAACCAGCATGGCTACCACAGCATTCTGCAGCGATACGCCATCCCATCAAAATATATTTTGATTTGTTTAACACTTTTTTGGTCACTACATTATTCCATATGTGTTATTTCATAGTTTTGATGTCTTCACTATTATTCTACAATGTAAAAAATAGTACAAATAAAGAAAAACCCTTGAATGAGTAGGTGTGTCCAAACTTTTGACTGGTACTGTATATCTTCTTTTGAATAGGATGCACCTTCTTACCTTCTTCAAGACAGTAGAAGCCAGAAGGACACACCTCACATTGGTGCTGACCCTCACTAGGCTGGTAGCTGCCTGGGACACAGGCTCTCTCTCTCACACTACCCTGAAAGACCAGCAACACACACATTTAATTTGTAATATGACATATTACATAGTCTAATATTAGTATGATATAAGTTGCCACTGTTATCTGTGGAATGAGATTTTCCAAGAAGCAATGTACTGGACATGCATTCTAAGTGGTATGCTAGTACAGTATGGATATAGTAAATTAGACATACTGTATACTACACAAGCCCTGAGGACATTTGCACTAACCTCCTCGCAGAAATGACCAACTCCACACACATGTTGCGACGGTCTATCAGTGCTCTGTCCCCCTGGACAGTAGTAGCCAGCAGCACACTGACCGCTAGGCTCGGCCAAGCCGGTCTGATTGCAGTAATGACCAGGGGGGCAAGGCTGGCAGTCGTCCACTGTGGACCCGCCTGACCGACCTAACAACACGCAGTGGCACCGATCAGTCAGTCAGCATCAGAAAATCACATCAGACTGACGTAACATTTTCTGAGCGTTATAGAACATTGATTATAATAGGATTTGAATTGCCCCATTCCAAAACACAGATTAAATTGTGACCAACCTCTCTGTCATAGTAGCCAGGGTGAGAATGTTTTTAAATTAACTATGTTTTCATATTCCACAGCACCAGTAAACAGCTAGCAGGGTGAGAGCCAGTGGCGTACATAAGGGCATCAGGGTCACGTTCAGTAGGCACGAAAGGGAGGAAAATGGTCCGAAATGGGGAGGTTCTAGAATTTTCACAATAAGAAATGCTCGATAGCAGGGTATGTGAGGACATCAGCATCGACAACAACAACAGAGTGATGTCACTGAACACTGATGAGGATTAGTACAGTACTTCCTGATTGCGTTTGCAACTTATTTCTAAAACCGTGGCCTATCCTCTAATCTTTCACAGTATCTTGACCTATAGGATCCTTGCAGGATATTCAAAGATCTATAAATATCCTGCAATGATCATCATAGTCAATATTTTAACCAGGGATTAATTAACAGTAAAGCAACAGTGTTGTTGTAGCCTGGTCACAGATCTGTTTGTGCTGTATCCAACTCCTAAGCTTGTTGTTGGCTATACAGCATAAACAGATCTCGGACCAGGCTTGTGTTTTTGTTTCTTACCCATCAAGGTTCCAGGGGGGCAGGGTAGAGGGAGAGGTGTGCCCTGGGGGCAGTAGTGTCCAGGGGGGCAGAGTGAGGCGTGAGGGGCTGTGGAACCCCTGGAGCAGAAGTAGCCTGGGGTACAGAGGCCACTGGGGGCATCCAGACCAGTCTGACCACAGTAGGACCCAGTGTCACAGGGCTGAGGGTAGGCCGATCCTACAGGACAGTAGAAACCTATTGGACAGACATACACATATTGTGGTTGATGCTATACATTGGTAGTGGATGAGGTGAGTTTCACCCCCATACAATGTAAAGCACTTTGAAAACCTGGAAAAACACTATATAAATCCAGTACGAGAAAACACACTTTAATCCAACACGGTTAAACAGCAAGCCTGACTATCTACTAAATAAAAAAGCTATCTGTTTTTATATTTATCTGCACAGTTTCTAAGGCTATTGGCATAAATAGAAGCAACCACTAGAGTGCAAGAGTTCACATAGCAGGCAATGCATACCTTTGGGACATACATCGCCTTTGAAGTTAGCACATTTATAAAGTGGGCTCTTGAGATGAGGTGTAGAGTCGGCCAAGGCCTGACCTGACCATGGCCTAGTTACGACATCCATCCAGCTCCCATCTACATCTAAAAATGAAATAACGCAATAAAAATATGTTAAGGCTATAGCCTCCAACTGTAACTCAATTACATTCACCTCCAAGCTCTACAGTCCATCATTTCAGAAGAACCGAGAACCACATTTTGGGTGCGTGCTGGACAGCTTTTAGACAGTCTGTTAGTAGAGACTATAGAGTCCATGACATTGGTTTACCTGTCGGAAGTGGATAGTCGACCAGCAGAAGAAAAACTTAATTTAGGCACAGCGGTCAAAATTAATTAATGGTTAAGGTTAGGTTTGGGAATGAGGGTTAGGTTAAATAGTTTGAAACTCAAACCATTCGATCTTTACAGATGTTTTTTGCGACGAAAACTGCTCAGAAGATCCTCACTCATCTCACTAAAACCGCCGCTCCCAGACATTGCACTGGAAGTCTCTAGCTAAAACACACAGACTTTTATTGATAAAAAGTATTACAGTAAGGTACTTAATTGTTACCCAGAAACAATTTGATATTGACATAAAAACGTCTGCTTTGGGCCTTTAACATTGGGTTAGCGTACCACTGTCCGCCACCATTTTTTTTCTGCCGGTCAAATATACATTGCCTTACCTGTATCTTTACTGTTAGGTGAGCAGGAAGTGTTGTGTAACCAGGAACAAAGGTCTTGGTTAGTAGGATGGAGCTCTATCATGCCACACAGGCAGCTGAGCTGGGAGGAGTTAGCCTGGGGTGTAGCACTGTCTGCACCCCCACTACAGTAGAAACCAGGGGAGCAAGGACCTATAGAGGAGTGTGGCATTAACGTGAACATAAAACATGATATTGCAAATGTGCAAATTAACCTAATTGTATGATATGTAGCCACAGGTTTTTATTTCTGGTCACATGACCACATGATATGAACATGAAAAAGTTGGGGCCCTGGTTTGACGGAAACCGTTTACCGTTTAAGAACCAAACGGAAGCAGACAGAGCAAACAGAACAAAACATGGAAGGACATAGCTACATTTGTCCAATAGAAACTCTCATTTGCTTTTTCCGTTTGGAGTAAACGGTTTCTGTTGGAAAACATTTTACAACATACGAAACATTTTGAAAGAGAATCGGCGTAATGATTACACCCCTGGTGACCTGACCAGGAAAAACTCCAAGCACTAGTTTACATTTAGTCATTAGTTGATATGAGACAGGCAATGTTGAGAGTTTTTCCACACCTGTGGATTGTGAGGAGCCTGGGTTGAGGCAGTATCTTCCTGGGGGACAAGGGTAGCAGTTGGGAGGGGGATGAAGCACCCCTCTCTGGAAGGTAGCTACCCACAGAACAGGGCCTGGGCAACCCACTACCCTCTGGGCAGTAGTGTCCTAGAGGGCAGACATCCCCAAAGGTCTGGGAGACTGGGGCAGGAATAGTAGCTCCACGGGAACAGAAGTGGCCTTTCAGACATACAGGAGTAAAGACAATGAACAGCTAGTCAATAAAAACAGAAACCAAGACTGCCATCACCTAAGGCAGTGGTATTCAAAGTCAGGGTCACGACAGTGGGGTCGCCAAAATTTTAAAACAAATAAAAAATTAAGAGAACAGATTATTGTATGGGACAATATATAAACGTTTTTGAGAAAGATTATTGTATTTATTGGTTTCTTTTCATTTTGATTAGAGATGCAAGTGCAATGAATTTAAGGTTATTTGTCGATGTAAAAATGTAAATTTACAGACTTTAAGGTTGTGTCATTAGATTTGGGGTGGGGTCACGAGAAATTCTGCCGGAAAAAATGGGGTCCCCCAAGCACATGGGCAATAATATATATTAAAAATGTTCTTCATATGTTATAACTGTACAGTGTATCTAACCTGGAGAGCTTCAGAAGTCTGAAATGATGATATTAAAACGTTATTAAAACATTATTGATATGTTATTATCCTGTGTTGACCTGGAGAGCAGGGACCTGAGGGAGAGGTGAGAGAACTGCTGTTGCAGTAGAGCCCAGGAGGGCATGGAGTACAGTCCCTCTGAGATGCCCTCCCCTCAGCCTGACTCACACTGCCAGCTGGGCATTGTGCTGGGACAGAGGTTCCCTCCACACAGTAAAAACCTGGAACAGAAAAGTAAACAGTAAAGCTGACTAGAATAGAATGTTCTTTATTATCAATAAGTATTTTTTACCAATTAAGACCTAACCGCTATGCTAAATGGATGACACATTTCACGTAGTGTGGAATCCTAGCCTGGTCCAGATGAGTTTGTGCCATCTTGCCAACACCGTGACAATGACCAGATCTGAGACCAGGCTATCTGAATGGGCTAGCTGGGCTAGCTAAAAAGGGTGGATCTCCAAGTTAGGATTTGGCCCGAATAGCATAGAAAATAAGACTGTGTGTTAGAAAAGTGTCCTTGAATCATACAGGCATACATGGTAGGCACCTGGTGGGCAGGTCTTGCATGTAGACTGACCAGTCAAAGACTGATAGGTGCCAGGGGCACAGATGACAGGCTCGGCACTTCCATACGGGCACGAATGACCAGACGGGCACTGACATTCTAAACACAGTGCAACAAAACAGGAAACAGAATCAAACGTTATAAATATTAAATTAGGTGTCATGGCAATGCTATTGGATTTTTTTTGCCCCTGCTGGGAGACCCTGTGGACTGCAGGGAGAAGTGGGTGTAATGACTGTGGCAGCATGGAGGAGTTGCATCAGGCTATTTACGAACCTTGCTGATGAGGAAATGGATCCAAGGAAATCGAGAGTGTTTATGCACATTCAATTTGACACAGAAACTAGACAAATGAAAAAGAAAGTCACACTCATCTGTTCTTGAGCGTGCAACTTTATTTTTCATTTGTATAGATTATTTTCCGTTAGTCAGCACCTCACCAATGGAGGAAATAGACAAAAAAGAACACTTTTGGCTAGCACAGAGCTATACTGTAGGTGCTGCATCCAACTCTTAATTTGTTAATTGTCATGCCATACAAACAATGAGTGGACATTATCCCCATTTATCTACAGTAATTCACCCATCCCTGGCTTTCTCTTTCTCTCCCTGGTTGATGAGTACTGTGAGAGGAATGAGACCGCACATAATAACCAGCATGGAGCAAACAATCAAGTTTGTTTTATAAAGCCCTTTTAACATTTGCAGATGACACAAAGTGCTTTACAATTACCCTGCTCAGACCCCAAAGAGCAAGCAAAGCAAAAGCACAGTGGCCAGTAAAAACTAAAAGAAGGGAGGAATCTAGGGAGGAACCAGGCCATCCTCTTCTGGCTGTACCCGGTTTACCTGGTTGATGCCCTGATACAGAGCCTACTGGACAGAACCAACCCTGGGGACAGCGGAGGTCTGTGGTGGTCTGCCCCCACACAGGGCAGTAGAATCCAGACGGACAAGCCTCACAGTCTGCCTCTGATTGACCACCATATCTACCCAGAAAGGTGCCTGGAATAGAAGAAATGGAGAGAGGGTAATCTCGGTTAACTCTGAACTAAAATCTTGCATAATCTGTCCACGAGAGTTTCGAGGGGGGAAATGTTCTAGTATATCTAGTAATTGCGTCTAATTTGATTATTGTTCTACAGAAAGACTATCCTTTTACCAACGAGAGACATAATGTAGCCTGCCAAGAGTCTGTCTTGTATCTGACACAACTTGGAGCACTAAATGGACAGTTCATTCAATCTAGGGTCAGTCGTAGACACTTAACATAAATCATGCTGCCAAAAAAAGAATATCTATTTTTGGTGTAGCATTGTCTAATCTTGTTAAAGGACCACATCACGTGTTATCTAAAGTGACACACACTCACACACACACACACACACTAAATAGAAATAGCATAACATTGCCACATCGATCACGAGTGATTTTCTAATGAGCTGCCTTAAAGACAGCTTTATTGGTACACCTATTAGATTTCATTGCCCTTGGAACTTGTCTGAATCCATTATGTCTTTATTATAGTGTACCTGGGGGGCAGGGTATTGGCTGAGCTGTCCCAATCGGACAGTAGTGGCCTCCTGGACAAATGTCTCCATTGATCTGTCCCAAGACCTCTCCATCACGAGGAGGATATACAGAAGTTGCATTTCCTGTAACCGGGACAACATGTTATGTCATTATCATTAGTGGGGCCTGGAGTTTTACCTGACCCCATGACCCGTCAAAGAAAAAGCCAGGATGCTAGATCTAGCCTATTACTTTAGACCAGAGTTTTTCCTGGTTAGGTCACACATAGTCAAGAAAAACTCCTGGCTCTACTCATATTGTATAAATCTGCCTTTTTCAAACCTCTTCTTGGGGACCGCCAGACATTTCACAATTTTGTTGGAGCCATGAACTAGCACACCTGATTCAAGTACTTATCGCATTATTAATTGTCGCATTATTACTTGTCACATTATGATTTGGCGTGGGGGTTCTGGATCCTATTGGGCAGTAGAACCCGGCGGTGCAGGGACCAGATGGGGAGGCAAGTCCAAAGTCTGCACAGTACTGCCCAGGCACACAGGGCTGGCACGCAGCCACAGATACTGCCCCTGCACAGCAAACACACCAGAACACATGGAGCTCATTTTCATAATAATTGTATATATGACATTAATTAATTGTCATAATTTTCATATAATTCAGGGCTTCCATTGAGTCATATGTAATCAATATGAATGTGTTCATTTTATATGAAAGATAATGACAAACCTATCATTTATAAGGGCCATATACAGCAACCACGCTTACATAAATGTGATACATACAGTACAGGATATATAAAAAAAGACCTTCATGTTGAAATGTCCCCAGTTTAAATGTCACCTTCTAAAGAGCTGAAAGTGCCAGGCGGGCAGAGAAGCATGTGACTGGTACCCAGTGGGCAGTAGGACCCAGCGGTGCATTTCCCACCTGTAGGATCTCCAGCTGGCTGAGAAGTAACAGAACCTTGGATACAAAGGTACCTGGATGAGGGAAGGAGGGAGGGAGATAGAGGGAAAGAGAGAGAGAAAAGAAGAGAGAAAAGAGAGAGAGAGAAAGAATGAGATAGAAACAAGAGAGAAAGGTATAGAGGGAGAGAGTGAATTTAGAGGAAGAAATGGGAACACAATAGTAGAGACAACGCAACATAAATCTCAAGGACCATACATGCTGAACCAGAGATACGATTCAACATGAAAAAATGATTTATAATGCTGCCACCCACCCAGGAGAGCATTGCCCAGTAGGCACTGCCAACCCTGCAGAGCTGCAGTACTTCCCTGGAGGGCAGGGTACACACCCCCTCTTATTAGACGTGCTGGTCTGCCCACTAAACGTGCCAGCTGGGCATGGGTACTCCACACCAGACTGTGTGCCTGGAGAACAAAGAAATCACACACAGATGCCATATAGGTCTAGTGTCATTCTCAGCAATGTGTCTTAGCCACTATGGTATGTGTGGCACTTATTTCAATACAGACAAATAGTATAATGCCCTATATACACTACCTGGTGGGCAGTAGTGTCCCTTTAGACAAGGGGTCGGTGTGTGTGTTCCCGTCACCTCTCCTGTGTTAGGATGTATTGAGCCTTCACAGTAAAACCCTGCTGAACAGGTAAAACATTCTGCCTGTGAAAGGGATGACATAGAATATCATTAACACTCAGTATGCAGTGTATGTAGGGTCTGGAGTTTTTTCTGACCAGACCAGGATTTATTTTAAGCACAGTTAAAACCTACAACTAGGGCCCTGAGTGTTTCCTGGTCAGATTACATGGTCAAGAAAAACTCCTGGCCCTACAAACTGTTCAGCTTTACTAGAATGGTGGTCAAGATGAAATATACTGCTATGAATGTCCTCCTCCCTACCTGCCCAGGTTGGTCCTGGTAAGTCCCTGGGACACAGGGAACCTGGATGGCACTGCCAAGTGGGCACATATGCCCAGCTGAGCAGGTGATAGAGCCAGGGAGGCTGGAGTTGTGTCGGTAAGGGCAGTAGGAGCCAGCCTGGCAGAGATGAGAAGGGAGGGAGAGCCCTCTGCTGGCACAAATGAACCCTGCATTTGAGAGAGAAGACTTCACTGATGCACAATCAAAAAGTAGCCTAACAAAAGTCAATTTGATGCCAGTCAAATATAAATCGCTATTCAAATAACTTTTCTTCCATGAAGAAACTTCATGTGCAGTATATCAGTCAAATATCCATCAGAAAATGTTTCCTCATAAGATAAAGAATAGTGGTCCGTACTTAAAATAAAATGTGTTTGATCAGCACCCACCTGCAGGGCAGGGCAGGCAGTCAGAGAGTTGTGTGTTCCTGGTAGTGTTGCTGTAATATCCTAGAGGACAGGGACGTGGCGCTGCAGCCAAGCCCTCTGGACAGTAGTGACCTTGGGGACACCGGTCACCGGTCACACCGTCTTCAGGTGTCGGCGACACTGCTCCGGAGTGGCAAAGATAGCCAGCGATGCACTGGCCCGATACGGCACTCAGTCCAGGAAAGCCACAGAAAAACCCTGAGAAAAGGAGGTCGGACCAATCAGACCAGGGCCTGTTTTCATCGGATCTTGGATCAGGTCCTCCCTTTCCATGTAATCTTATTCATTATAATCTAGGCAAACTGATCTTAGACCAGGATCACTAGATAGATCTCCTTTTAAAATAGCTATAAACGGGGCAATGGGTGAATGTGACATCCACTTGCACCTCAAACATGTTAAATGTTAAGAAATGTTTAAATAAAAGACTTGTGTAATTCTATCAGTTACTATACCTGTTCAGATGATGTACAGTTGGGGGCATAAAAAAATTAATTTATACAGTCCAGCAAAAATAACCTGGGTTTCAAAATGGAAGTCACTGCACTGCCAGGGGCCTATTTAAGAAAGTATTTCATTATAATGGTTATTGTACAATGTTGTTAGATGATTGCTAATGAATTTGACGCTTGGCGTCACCCTGGGTGAGTTTGTGAAATTAATGGTGTGCATTATCGCAGCACAGGCATCTTGAAAAGTAACTTTTTTATATCTAATACTGTTTGATATATTAAAAGAATTAGAAATAAGATGAAATAGACAATAACAACCAGATAGATATGTGTATCACCTGGGGGGCATGGCAGGCAGTCCTGTGGACTGCCCATTCTAGTGTGTGGGTTGGTAGTCCCAGCAGGGCATGGGTACTGGTACTGGGAGGAGGTACCAGTTGGGCAGTAATGACCCACAGGGCACTCATTAGTTTCATAGAGGGAGCTGTTGCCAGGACAGTAATAACTGGAGAAAAGGAAATAAATACTGTATGTAAGAACCTGTGATCTGATTGATCATAATAGTGTATGCACACACACCCAAAAGAGAACTCGCACACACGCACGCGACACACACACACACACACACATACACTCTTCGGGAATAAAACATGTGGGCATAACAATTTGTCAGATTTCATGATGTACTCCATAAAAGCAGATCTTAGAAAGAGGAACAGGCTCGAAGCTGTAGATATTACATCATAGATATAACAACATGATTCAATAATATTATCTTCACAGCTTTAATCCCATGGGGCCTATGGGCATGTGTGTGCACAGTGAGTGTGTGACCCTGCTAGAGCAGTATTAGAGAGAGGTAGCCCTGAGAGAGCAGTGTGTGTGTGTAACCGTACCCCTGGGGACAGGGGCTGCAGCTGGATCGGCCCTCCTCTACACTGACGGCTCCCTGGGGACACTCTTGCGGAGCTGCAGAACCGTTAGAGCAAAAATAACCTGCGTGTGAGAAACAGAAAACAATGAGTGGAGAGAGAAAGACAGAGAGAGAGAGAGCGAGAGGTAGAGAAAGAGACACAGAGACAGAGAGAGACAGAGATAATAGGGAGAGAGAGAAAGAGAGAGAGAAAAGAGAAGAGAGACGGAGACAACATTCTGGGGAGCCCTTTATATTTGCGAACCCAGAGGAGGAGGTGTGGATTGGTTAGTTACCTCGTGGACACGGCCCTCCTCGGCTGTCTCTGATAGGGCTGTTGGGGACAACTGCTCCACGGCGGCAGTAAAAACCTTCCCAGCATTCCCCTGTAGGCGCTGTTAGCCCAGACGCGTCACAGTAATAACCCGGGGAGCAGGGCTGGCAGCCGTTCTATGGGAGAAGGTAGAGCATAGCAACAACCGCTCAGGCTGCAGTCACTGTGCTGTGGTCTTGGGATGAAATGTCAGGAATATTGAGCGTATTGAGCCTTGGGAAACTAACATACCTGGGAGACTAGTTTGGTCAGGTTGCTGAATGTGCCAATGGGGCAAGGTTGAGGATTGATGGTGCCCCTAGGGCAGTAGTGACCTGCAGGGCATGGCCCTCCACCTGAAGCAAAGACAGTATAGTGAACCATTCATAGACCATGTGTAAGGCCTTAGATGCTTTAGAAACCATTCATAAGCAGATTTCATTATAATGGATGGCAAAAGGGTTATGCCACATTTGGCATATCACCAGACGTAAAGACATTTGCTTATCAAATATTTATAAAGCATATACAGTGCTATGAAAAAGTATTTGCCCCCTTTCTAATTTTCTCTACTTTTGCATATTTGTGATACTGAATGTTATCAGATCTTCAACCAAAACCTAATATTAGATTAAGGGAACATAACATCTTATCCAGAGCGACTTACAGTTTTTCTATTTTTTTTATTTTTTTTCATACTGGCCCCCCGTGGGAATCGAACCCACAACCCTGGCGTTGCAAACTCCATGCTCTACCAACTGAGCTACCTCCCTGCCGGACATTCCCTCCCCTACCCTGGACGACGCTGGGCCAATTGTGCACCGCCCCATTGGTCTCCCGGTTGCGGCCGGCTACAGCAGAGCCTGGATTCGAACCAGGATCTCTAGTGGCACAGCTAGCACTGCGATGCAGTGCCTTAGACCACTGCGCCACTCAGGAGATCCAACAAATAACACAACAATTACATACTTATTTCATTTATTTCATAAACAAAGTTATGCAACACCCAATGAATTCCCAATGAATTCTGCTCTGTATCAGAGAATTCTACAGGAGAATGTCAGACCATCCGTCTGTGAGCTGAAGCTGAAGCGCAGCTGGGTCATGCAGCAAGACAATGATCCAAAACACACAATCAAGTCTACATGAGAATTGCTAAAAAGCAACAAATTGGAAGTTTTGGAATGGCCTAGTCAAAGTCCAGACCTAATCCCAATTGAGATGTTGTGGCAGGACTTGAAATGAGCAGTTCATGCTTGAAAACCTACATGTCACTGAGTTAAAGCAGTTCTGCATGGAAGAGGGGGCCAAAATTCCTCCACAGCGATGTGAGAGACTGATCAACAACTACAGGAAGCATTTGGTTGGAGTCATTGCAGCTAAAGGTGGCACAACCAGTTATTGAGTGTATGGGGGCAATTACTTTTTCACACAGGGGAATTGGGTGTTGCATAACTTTGTTTATGAAACAAATGAAATAAGTATGTAATTGTTGTGTTATTTGTTCACTTATGTTCCCTTTATCTAATATTAGGTTTTGGTTGAAGATCTGATAACATTCAGTATCACAAATATGCAAAAGTAGAGAAAATTAGAAAGGGGGCAAATACTTTTTCATAGCACTGTATATAGTTCTCATGAAGACTTTATGAACATTCTATGAATCCTTTATAAGTTGCAGTCAATTTAATGTGTGACCAGAACCATTATTAGATAGACATTGTCACCTGCAGAGTGAGAGGGAGGCTGTGGAGAGGTGTTTCCGTAGGAGCAGTAATACCCCTCCAGGCACTGTCCTGTGACCGAGGTGCCATTCCTAAGTGGACAGTAATGGCCACCGTCACACTGCCTGCACTGGCTGATGGACGTCAGGCCCAGCTCAGGGCTGTACGTGCCCTCTGGACAAGCTCTCAAGTCATATCCCGTTCCCTCGTGACAGTAAAAACCTAGAGGGTAAAGAAAGAAAGAAAAAAAGATTGGACTTTTCTTGGTGCAAGAGTACGAACCAATGTTCCACTCAATCAAAAGTTCCACTTTTTCCCATCTGTGGGGTGCTGTGATTATATAGATAGTTGCAGATTCTCATATCCTTATCAATGTAGTGTCGTAATGAGAGACATTCAGCCGTATTGTTGTCGAGGGTTTTATCAATGATACCTTATATTAGTATTTCAACGAAAGTTCAAAGATATAAGAATTGCTCTACTGACCTGCAGGACACAGTTGCAGGGTGCCTGACACACAGTACCAGCCAGGGGTACAGGGCTCACATTCAGTTGCATGCGTTCCAATCATGTATGTCCCTGGATCACAGGGCAACGGCTGAGTGGTTCCTACGGGACAATAGTGACCCTCTAGACAGGGTCCGCCTGTGGAGCCATCAGTGGGAGTGGGTGTCACTGCTCTCTCAAGACAATAATATCTGCACAGAAAAGGAAGAATACATGATAACTGAACTACTGAATAAAATAAAAAAACACTATAGCTTTTGTCAGATTATCTACCCTTTTCCCCCTGAGTGTGCCCTTGTCTACTCCCCATGGAAGGATGGTGTAAGAAATATGACTCCCCTTCTTACATCAACCAAATGCTTGGTGTAGTTAGGAAAAAAAGGTCAAACTTAATTTTTTAACTATCCCTTTAAATCCACAAGGGGGAGTAAGGGAATTGGAACTCAGCCTGTGTATAAGTGAGATAGTATTTACTGTATACCCTCCAGTGCAGGGCCCAGTGGGAGCGGTGAGGCTGTTAGAGTCACAATAGAGTCCTCCAGGGCATGGTTGGCACTCTTCCTGGTTCGCCAGGCCTGTACTGTTGGACCAGGTGCCCAAAGGACAGGGCACAGGGGCAGGGGTACCTGCAGAGCAGGTCCAGAGAAATCTCAATGCCTACAATGCCTTAGCAACTGGTGTGTTGTAAAATCCCATCATAAACTGTATACGCAAATCAATTGATTGATTGATGCAGCAGTATACACCATGCAGCGAGATTACTAGTCCGAAACCTCCACTCAGTTTATAACAGTACTGTAATGATCAAACTGGTCAGATGCAGTATTAATACTGAGTATATTATACATAGTCTCTGGCTACTCAAAGCAAAATAACAAGTATTTGAGAGCTACACAGTAGGAGAAGGAACAGAGAGCTACCTGAGGGGCAGTATTGTCCAGCAGGACACAGAAAGCCTGAGAGGCCGTCCACAGGACTGGGGGAGTACGCCCCCTCCCTGCACCAGAAGCCAGCGTTGCAGTAACCTACGTACAATGTTACAAAACATATCATCAGTGTTTGCTTCTTCCTACTGTACAGTACCTGTCACACTGCATTACCAAGCATAGGAGCCAAGCTCTGGTTATGTCACGATGAGTTAACTTAACTTCCAATATATATATACTGTATATATAGCTCCCATCAAACTTTTTTTTTTTTTGCATACAATATAGCTCAGTATTTGTATTATTTATTTTATACAGAATTTTTAGCTATTCATTATCAAGGGTGCCAATAATTATGGACCTGATTGTATAGTTGACGAGAAACTGGGTGAGAAAAAGAGAAGAGTCACAAAAATAGGTGATACATCAATAACCTCTGGCTATATCCCAATTATCTCTCCTCCCAAAGTGTGCACTTGTCCACTTCCCTTTACTGATTATACCAGGAAATGACTGGTATAAGAAATGTAGTGAAAACTCCCACTAGCCCATGCCTCCCCCAATCCAATGCTTTTAGATTGGTGGGAAGCAGTGAACGACTGCACACTTCAGGAGAAAGGAGATCTATCTCACCTGCAGGTTCAGCGAGTCCCATGGTAGGACAGAACTGTCCTGGAGGACAGAGCATGCAGCCAGTCAGGCGGTCTATTCGCTCTCTGGGGTTGAATGAGCCTGGGGGGCAGGGGTTCTGGGTGGCCAAGGCAGTGCCCCGGGGGCAGTAATGTCCTTTAGGGCAGGGCCGAAGCACTGAGGCATTCTCCAGGCCCAACCTCAGGTCACAGTAATAACCTAGATGGAAAGATACAGTGTTGTTTGTGTATTTTAGTGCACAACTTTGATCAATAATTAGCTTGCCAATATCTGTCCTGGGCTTTTTCTGACCATGTGACCTGACTCTGGGTCCTTGTAATTGGCTATAACTAGGGTCCAGAGTTATATAGGTTATAACTAGCGTCCAGAGTTTTTCCTGGTCAGGTCACATAGTAAGGAAAAACTCTGTGCCCTAAGTATGTGGAATGATCCAGAACACAGAACAGTGTACTGTTAACAGAGAGAGAGAGCTCATACAATTACAGTACATACCCTCTTCACAGATATTGCAGGTGGCCTGTTTCTCTCTGTCTTGGAAGGTTCCAGAGGGGCAGGGCTCAGGAACTGCACTTCCATGGGGACAGTAGTGGGCTGCTGGGCAAGCCAGGGCTGTGGCCACCCTCTGACCTGGAGGGCACCAGTAACCTAGAACACCGCGATAGAGACAGAGTTACAATACGACAGTCTCTCTTTCCTCTGGTTACAGTGACAGCCTTTATATTGTGACACTACCTCTTGGCTAGAGATACAGTAACCATCTCAATGGACCCACATGGATAAATAATTAACCAATAAGGCATGAGAATACCTGGTACAAAGGATCAATAAAATATAGCGTAACAATAGGAAGTAGCGTGAAAGGATTTCTACCACTGATGGGAGACCTGAAGGCACGTCTAGCAAGGAGGACAGAGTTAAGCCACACAAGTACAGTTTATGGCCCAATTCCAAATTTACCCATAAACCATACGCTCTTGTGGAGATGCACTTGTGGAGATCCGAGAGAATTTGATTTGTATAAGCAATATGATGAAACTTCCCCCTAGCATATCAGTGAGCAAGTGGAGCTATTACCATATTGCTTACACCTGATTTTCACAAGTGCATAGGGTCTGGGGGTCGATTTAGGATTGAGCCAAAATGAACTCACCCTCGCTACATAGCCCAGTAGGATCCCTCAGGCCTGCAGCAGCGCAGTAAAACCCTGCAGTACAAGCCTGACACTGAGACACATTGGAGAGGCCTGAGACTTGGGAGAAAGTACCAGCAGGACACAGCTCTGGCTCCCCAGAACCTTCACCTGAGAGGAAAAGACAACTTCACTCCACTGCTAGTAAAGACAGATAATGGCTATCAACACGATTCACAGTTGTCATCAAGATGGAGAGGCAATTAAAAAATGATAATAGATTTGATTTGCAAGGGACTTTTCCAGGTGTTCAAAGCCCTTTGCAGTGTATGGGGGGGAGAGAGACTAAATTCTTCCATTGCCAACGCGTAGCAGACATTTTGTGCCAGAAAGCTCTCCACACATCAAGCTCACCACACTTCAGTAGGTGGAAAACGTTTTGAAATCGAGGGAAATGTGGGGTTACTACCTTAAAGTGTCCAATAAGAACACAGATGTGTTTTGACTAATTAAGAACCAGGGTGAGTGCTGCTGTATCAATTACCACAGTAAGTTCCAGGAGGGCAGATGTTGCCAGTCTCTCCGTCAGTGGGTTTGGCCCGAGTGGCTCCCTCTGTGCAATAGAAGCCAGGGGAGCATGGTCCCATGGGCAGGGCCAGACCTATTGGACAACATGAGGAATGAGTATATAACTAACTGTATGAGTGTGTATGCAATTGAAAGCTCTGCTTCATCAGATTACAATCATCCATTAACTATTTACTGAAGAGTTGTATACTGAGTTACCGTTTCAGTTCCAAATTGACTCCCAGGGTTGGTGTCAATTCCATTTCAATTCAGTACGGTATTCTAAATTCTACGCCGGGGTGTAAAACTAATTTTACACCACGGGTCGCATTCGGTCTTCACCGAGGCCCGAAGGGCCGCACTTAAAATGTGTTATATTTCTTGCTGTCAAAATTAGCAAAAAAACATCCTATATCGCTTTTGGAATTTTCAATGCTCGCTGACCCTCTATCTTTCGTTTCGATGACTGTTAGCAAGCTGGACAGAGTGAAGAGACTATAAATGTAGGTCCATTATCATTTCTACACAGTTTCAATTTGGTTTTAGTCATGTCAATTGAGATATTTTCTCTCAGAATAAAATGTACTCAAACCACCCACAGGGGTGTCAGACATAAGGCCCGCATGTGGTGTTCTACTCTAATGAGCAACAAGCTGAAAAAGGAATCTTGATTGGGGTGACACAATAGGGTGTGACACACACACTACCAGAGATGTTGCAGAAGGCCCCTGGAGGGCAGGGCAGAGGCTCAGGGCTTCCTTGGGGGCAGTAGAAGCCCTCCTGACAGCGCCCCCCGGTGGAGGTGGCAGGACACAGGCAGTTGGCGTTAGTGTAGTTGTCCAGGTCAAAGGGCTGGGAGTTCCAGGCAGCGGACACACAGAACCAACCTGGGGGTGATGGAGAAAGGGGCAGAGAGAGTGTGAGAGAGAGAGAGCGAGTGTAAGAGAGAGAGAGAGAGAGAGAGAGAGAGAGAGAGAGCCATACAAGACACAGTATCCTGAATCACTCATATGAAGGGCATAAGGCCAGCAGGTTTTCCTGCCCTAGTTATATTTACGAATACAGCTGCGAGTTATTTCTGGTCAGATCACATGGTATGGGAGAACCCCTGGCCCTAGAGAGAGTCTTTCAGATAATAGAGGCCTATCAACTGACCGGCTTTGCATTCCCCTGAGACAGCGGTCAGTCTCTCCTTCTCACAGTAGTGTCCAGGGGGACAGGGCAGACAGCTGTCCAGGCTCTGGGTCATGGGCTCAGGGTTGTAGTAGCCACGGGGACAGGGGAACTGGGTGGCATGCCGCGTGCCTTGAACACAACACAACATACTATAACACACAACATACTGTAACACACAACACACAACACACTGTAACACACAACATACTGTAACACACAACATACTGTAACACACAACATACTGTAACACACAACACACTGTAACACACAACACAACACCACTGATAATGGCCATACTGTGTGGAATAGACAGATTTTGCAGTTATTTAATGAAATCCCCAAAATAAGCACCACAACCTTAATCCTGACCTATGTGCAGTCACACTAACAAGGTATCCCAACACACTCAGCTTTGACACTTGCTTAACTCTGGCTGGTCCCAACACACTCAACTTGTCAGTCCCTCGTACAAAAAAGGGTTCAGAAACACAGCGCTAGAGTACTGTTGTTGGGTTGGTAATCACTTCAAACAACATGGACTCACCCACTGGTCAACTTGCTTAGGACTCAAACCTTTTCAACCAACCATGTGCTGGAAAACCTTAATAAGACATGAGGATATGGTTTCCTACCATCAGGACAGTAGAAGCCAGGGGGACAGGGGAACAGGGTGTAGTTACTGGTCCTCTCAGGGCAGTAGTAACCAGCGTGGCAGCGGGGGCACTGCGTCTGGCCTGTCAGGCTGGCATACGTGCCAGCTGGGCAGGGCACTGGGATGGCACTGCCAGGGGAGCAGTAATGGGCTGGGGGGCAGAGCCCTCCCCATCTTCCTCCTCCCTCTCTTCCTCCTCTTCCCTCAAACCCTGCACAGGAGATTTCAATTAGAAACAGTGATTAGAGCTGCTAATATTGATCAAATCAATGTGTAATTGGGATGTATTCATTGACTATCATCTAAAACTCTAACTGATCTGATTATATCATTGACTGTAGTCTCGCTTTGCCAAACTCTTGGGTCTAGACACAGAGGCTGTGGGAAGAGACTAGATTGACTGTGATAATGAATGTAAGTAAGTAAGCAAGCAAGCCTTGGACAAGTAAGCCTTGTCCGAGCCAGAACGGCCCATAGGGCAGGAGCCTATCTCCTGATTCTGTAGCGTGAAGCAGCTTGACGCACACAAACACCCCCTGAACAGGACGCTAGTGTATCGCAGGGCCTATGATAATGAATGTGCTCTGATTATAATGTACCCGTGGCTAAGCGGTCCCCCCCTGGGCAGTAGAATCCCTCCTGGCAGGCTCCAGATGGACGGGTTAGCCCCTCGGAACCACAGAACTGTCCTGGAGTACACGGGCTGCAGCCGGAGACCTCTGTCACATGGAGACTACACACAGACACACAGACACACACACATGGACTATTTACTGAGGACATCTCCTCTCCTGAGCAATGCTTATCAATTGTAGACAGCTGGTTATTGTGTAACCTCCAAACTTACATGGTTGGGGTCAATTCCATTTCAATTCAGTTAATCACACACACAAACACGCTGGTTTAAATCCTAGTCACATACATCTATTCATGAATATTGATTATCATTATACAAATGGTTTATAAGTGTTCAAGCCCATCTAGGTGTGTGCCTTTATGTGTCCATATACAAAGACCATAAATAAACAGTTAATAACCTGTTAGAAAAGGTCCCCAGAGGACAGGGTAGAGGTAGACTGGTACCCTCTGGACAGTAATGACCCTTTGGACAGGCTCCCCCCACTCCTGTACTGATGTTCCCATCTGGGTTCCTGAAGTTTAGACCTGGGGACATTAAATGTTATTTGTAGTTATTTTTTTGAGTACTGAGTGAAACGTATTACACTGTAAAATGTATTATTGAAACGTATTAAACCAATACACGGTATACTGTCCTTAAAGAGATACCTTGCACTGTAGCAGTGTTAGTGGTAGGGTACGTTACCTGCTAAACAGAAGTAACCTGCCTGACAAGGCCCAGTTGGTTCAGCCAATCCCCAGTCCTCACAGTACATTCCTGTCGTTGAGAGAAACAAGCAAAAAGTGAGAAGTGGCATCCCACACAAGATTGGCCTTAAGATCATTTTTATGGTTGTGGAAGAAGTTTAGAAGGGTTTTAGAGGCTAGTGTTGAAAAAGTGAGGCTAGTGTAGTAGTAGAAGTAGTGACTGTATTATAAATAGTGTGGGATAGTTGCCGTTAGTGGGATGGTGACAGCAGAAGTAGTAACTGCAGTAGAAATAGTGACTGCAGCCGAGGCAGGGTTTTCATTGAATTCAATAGACAATGCTCTCACCTGCTGGACAAAGCAGGCACTGCTCCAGTTGGCTCTGTCCTGGTTGTTGGCTGTATGTGCCTGGTGGACAGGGCAATACGTCCTCCACCGTGCCCCCCAGACAGTAGAAACCCTTGGGGCAGAGCTGAACACCTTCCCCCTCTAGGCAGTATCTCCCAGGAGGGCACTCCAGACATTCTGTAGCACCTACAGTATACAGGACATTCAAAAGGGAAAAATGCCTAAAATACACTGGTCTTCTGTATTGATTTCACAAGGTGGAGGTTTAGTAGGGTGACAGATATTATTCAGATCAAAACAGAAACAGAAAAAAGGGTCAAGCGCATGTATGCGTACAGTATGGAAGGGATGCCATGGAATCTGGCAATACTATACCTGTAGTGTTTGAGTAGGAGCCATCAGGGCAGTGTAAGGGGGACGTTGAGCCCTTAGGACAGTAATGTCCAATAGGACAAGTGTCCCCTGTCACTCCATCTATCGGCTTTGGGGATTTTGCTCCACCTGAACAGTAAAACCCTGTAATTCACAGAGTTCATGAAACACTGATAGCTAAAAACATACAGTATGCTATAACATAAAGCGTCAATATCCTAGCCATACTAAATGCAGTGCTGTCCCAATTCCATTATATGGCACTGGCCCTGGCGCTGGCCTGGTTAAGACATAGGTAAAAAATGTGTCAGATGTTTTCAGACCTCTAAAGTAGTCTAATGACAGGATAAAACCGCGTCCTACGGCATCGCTTGAAATGTCCATTTAATACCCTCATAATAATATATACCTGCAGCACAAATCCCAGAGGGCTGTGTGAGGGCTGTGGTGTTACAGTAGAGGCCTGGAAGACACGGCCAGCAGGAGGACAGGCCCTGGGTCCCCACTGCATTACTCCAGGTCCCAGCAGGACAGGGGTGTTCATGGGGAAACCTGGTGCCTAGTGGGCAGAAATAGCCCACTGGACACACATCACCAGAGTCTACACCCACCTGGAGAGATCAGATAATACACATTCACATTGACATAAAACGTTTACCTAACGCAATCTGTTCAAAGTACAACCATTCATCATGTCAGACTATGACTTAAAATTATAAGTGTGTGTGCTACCTGTCAAACTTCTTTGCTTTTTACTCTTAATAACTATTTAATCAAACTCTGTATTTAACAAATTTACTAAGGTCTTAGTTTTGTCCTCACACAACTTTTTTAATTCAACTTTTTCACCACGGACGCTTTCTCTGGACATCGATCTGCAGGACCTCCTCAGGCCAAAAACAATAAGCTACGTAACATGATGTCTTCTCATTGCAGTCGCTGTACTCTTAATATACAGGAGAACTATCGCCTTATGGTGAGGATAGCCGAGTTGCAAGCTTGGCTTCAGACGAAATCGTTTTATCTTAAACTGATGATGATAATAGAAGAATCTCTGACTGGCTAAGTAGGCTGTACTGGCAAGCTTAGTGATGATTGAGAGCTGTTTAGGGGTAAAATAGATAAGGAGTGTCTTCAAATTCTAGACTATACTGGTTCTTGTATTATGAGTTTCTTTGACAGATGAGCTAAGGAGCGTTTCTCACTAGATAGGTTGTTATGATACTGGCCTGGCGAAGTGGTAACAAATGGCGCCGAAGAGATGAGAACACCCTGAACAACGGATGGCTAGAAGTTTAAACACGCTCAAGTCTTACTCTAATTGGCCAAGACCAGAGAGTGGGAAGTTCCCTCTGTCAGAGTATTTGGGTATTGTTTCTGGAACATGTGTTAGTTCTCTGGAGTGTCCCTGCGAGCATCACAGAAGACCCGTATATACGAAACATCATATTTACCATGAAGGTTTTTGTTCATAATTTAAAATAACTAGTATACCTAGAAGTCGGTGGTTGACTCTCTTTTGTTCCTATACCAATTTGAATTGACGCAATTTCTAACATTAGGCAAGGGCAATTTAAGTGTTAGGAAAGGATGAAACAGCGTCTGTGCCACCAGTAAATACAGGTAGTAGTGTTAATCCCCCTGCACAGTCCCAGCAGCCGGACCATTTTCTCATGGCTTCAGGAAAGAAATGCTTTCGGCATGGTCAACTGGTGTCACTCATTCAGCCTATAGAAACTTAAAACCGGTTTTACCCACTAAGCAACGAGTCGGAGTCAGAGCCCGAGGCTTCTCAAGTCTCCCCTCCACCCGTTACGTGGTCTGAGCTGCCGAAGCCTCCCACCATTAGCTCTGACAAATTGAAAACTCTAGTCATTGGCGACTCCATTACCCGCAATATTAAACTTAAAAATAATCATCCAGCGATCATACATTGTTTAACAGGGGGCAGGGCTACCGACGTTAAGGCTAATTTGAAGATGGTGCTGGCTGAGGCTAAAACTGCGGAGTGTAGATGGTATAGGGATATTGTTATCCACGTCGGCACCAACGATGTTAGGATGAAACAGTCAGAGGTCACCAAGCGCAACATAACTTAAGCCTGTTACTTTGCTAGAAAGATGTGTTGGCATCGAGTATCCAAGCTAGAGGGGTGCTCTCATCTTATCTATCAACATAGACAGGGCTCTAGCTCCACAATGAGATAGGGTGCAGGCCAGGCAGCAGGCTGTTAGCCAGCCAGCCATCTTAGTGGAGTCTGCCAATAGCACAGTCAGTGTAGTCAGCTCAGCTTTCCCCATTGAGCCCGTGTCTGTGCCTCGATCTAGGTCGGGCAAAACTAAACATGGCGGTGTTCGCTTTAGCAATCTCACTGGAATAAAGACCTCATCCATTCCTGTCATTATTGAAAGAGATTGATAATAATAATAATAATAATAATAATAATCTAAAAATAGGACTACTTAATGTTAGATCCCTCACTTCTAAGGCAGTCATAGTCAATGAACTAATCACTGATCATAATCTTGATGTGATTAGCCTGACTGAAACATGGCTCAAACCTGATGAATTTACTGTGTTAAATGAGGGCTCTCCTCCTGGTTACACTAGTGACCATATCCCCCGTGCATCCCGCAAAGGCGAAAGTGTTGCTAACATTTAGGACAGCAAATTTCAATTTACCCCCCAAAATATGACTGCTTTTTCATGTTTTGAGCTTCTAGTCATGAAATCTATGCAGCCTACTCAATCACTTTGTATAGCTACTGTTTACAGGCCTCCTGGGCCGTATACAGCGTTCCTCACTGAGTTCCCTGAATTCCTATCGGACCTTGTAGTCATGGCAGATAATATTCCCATTTTTGGTGACTTCAATATCCACATGGAAAAGTCCACAGACCCACTTCAAAAGGCTTTCGAAGCCCTCATCGACTCAGTGAGTTTTGTCCAACATGTCTCTGGACCTACGCATTGCCACAGTCATACCCTGGATCTAGTTTTGTCCCATGTAATATATATTGTGTATCTAAATGTTTTTCCTCATAATCCTGGACTATCGGACCACAATCTTATTAAGTTTGCAATCGCAACAAAATAATCTGATCAGGACCCCAAAAAAGAATAATCAAAAGCCGCACTATAAATTCTCAGACAACCTAAAGATTCCTAGATGCCCTTCTAGACTCCCTCCACCTACCCAAGGACGTCAGAGTACAAAAATAATTTAACCACCTAACCGAGGATCTACATTTAACCTTGCAGTCGCACCTCTAAAAACAAAAAAACATTTGTCACAAGAAATTAGCTCCCTGGTATACAGAAAATACCTGAGCCCTGAAGCAATCTTCCAGAAACTTGGAACGGAAATGACGCTCCACCAAACTGGAAGTCTTCCAACTAGCTTGGAAAGACAGTACCGTGCCATCACTGCTGCTCGATCAGCCTACTTAACCAAGTTAATTGAGGAGAATAAAAACAATCCAAAATGTATTTTTGATACTGTCGCCAAGCTAACTAAAAAGCAGCATTCCCCAAGAGAGGATGGCCTTCACTTCAGCCGTGATGAATTCTTGAACTTTTTCGCCGAAAAGATCATGATCATTAGAAAGAAAATTACGGACTCCTTTTTGAATCTGCCTATTTCTCCAAAACTCAGTTGTTCTGAGTCTGAACAGAACTGCCAGGACCTAGGATCAATGAAGACACTCAAGTATTTTAATCCTGTATCTATCCACACATTCACGAAAATAGTCATGGCCTCGAAACCTTCCAGCCTCCTACTGGACCCTATTCCAACTAAACTACTGAAAGAGCTACTTCCTGTGCTTGGCCCTCCTATGTTGAACTTAATAAACAGCTCCCTATCCTCCGGATGTGTACCAAACTCACCAGAAATGGCAGTAATAAAGCCTCTCCTGAAAAAGCCAAACCTTGACCTGGAAAATGTAATAGTACCCGCAAAACAACAGTGAAGAGGCGACTCCGGGATGCTGACCTTCTAGGCAGAGTTGCAAAGAAGTCCAGTGTCTGTGTTCTTTTGCCCATCTTAATCTTTTATTTTTATTGGCCAGTCTGAGATATGGCTTTTTCTTTGCAACTCTGCCTAGAAGGTGAGCATCCCGGAGTTGCCTCTTCACTGTTGACGTTGAGACTGGTTTTACGAGTACTATTTAATGAAGCTGCCAGTTGAGGACCTGTGAGGCGTCTGTTTCTCAAACTAGACACTCTAATGTATTTGTCCTCTTGCTCAGTTGTGCACCGGGGCCTCCCACTCCTCTTTCTATTCTGGTTAGAGCCAGTTTGCCCTGTTCTGTGAAGGGAGTAGTACATAGCGTTGTACGAGATCTTCAGTTTCTTGGCAATTTCTCACATGGAATAGCCTTCATTTCTCAGAACAAGAATAGACTGACGAGTTTCAGAAGAAAGTTCTTTGTTTCTGGCCATTTTGAGCCTGTAATCGAACCCACAATTGCTGATGCTCCAGATACTCAACTAGTCTCAAGAAGGCCAGTTTTATTGCTTCTTTAATCAGCACAACAGTTTTCAGCTATGCTGACCTGTTCACCAGATGTGCTACCTTGTCCCGGACCTGCTGTTTTTGTCTTTCTCTCGCTCTCTCGCTCTCTCCCTCTCTCTCTACCGCACTTGCTGTCTCGACCTCTGAATGCTCGGCTATGAAAAGCCAACTGACCTCTTGACGACATTCAAACGACATCCAACTCGGTGACATGTATTAGATATGTATACTAGTTACCGGGGTGGCGGTGGTGGCCCCTGAGGTACAGTAGAAGCCAGGGTCACAGAGACCCTGAGGGGCAGAGAGACCAGCCCTCCTGCAGAACCAGCCTGCATCACAGGGGCTGCAGTGCTGCACCTCCTCTCTCCCTGGTTGATCTGCATAGGAGCCCTACACACACACACACACACACACATCACACATACACAATCGTATACACACACACATACGCAAATACACACACACCAAAATAAAATCCATTAAAATGTCAGAGCGGGTGTCACTTTTTATCACCAGAGGTCAAGTCATAGGCTACTCACTGGAGGACAGGGGTGAGCCCCAGCATATCCGGGGGGACAGTAGTGTCCTGTGGGACAGAGTCCAGGCTGTGACATGCCTTTCTGGTTACACAGCCTGCCTCTCTGGCACTCCAAACATGATGAACAGCCTCTACCCTGAAGGAGAAAAAATACATGGAAATACTGTCCATGTGAAATAGTACATTTCCCTGTTTGTCAGTAGACTGCGTGGCATCCTAAACGGCACGCACTCCCTACATCATGCACTACATGATTATATATGTACTGTACCGGTTGGAAGGTGCCAAGGGGACAGGGCTCAGGTCTCACGGCCCCTTCCAGGGTATAATGACCCTCCTCAGCCTCATTCTGAGCAGGCGATGCAGAGCCACCCGTACAGTAGAAACCAGCAGAGCACAGGCCAGTTGGAGAGGTGTTATTCGAACCTAAACAATAGGACCTAACACAAAGAAACACATTGATGATGATATATACAGTGGGTGCTTTTCTATAATTTTCATATGACAACATTAAAAGGTATAGCTGAATCAGATCTCGAAAATAGATGGGGCTAGGAGTTTTTCTGACCATGTGACCTGACTGGGAAAAAACACCAGGCCCTAACTATGAGTTCTTACCCAGGTGGGCAGTCAACACACTGCTGGGAGTTGCGGAGGCCAGTGCTGTTGCTAAAGGTGCCTGCGGGGCAGGGGGAGGGGTAGGGAGAGCCTGGGGGGCAGTAACTTCCTGCTGGACACAAGCCACCAGTTGGCCCATCAGATGGGGTCTGCAGAAGACAGAAAATCTTCAAAATGCATAATTTCTGGTAAAGGATATTGTCAGAATGTAATTTTTTTAAGGATTTCTTCATGTTTAGATCCTAGCCAAATCAAACACTTGTCTTTACAGTAGGACGAGTTACGTGTAAGGCCAGTGAAGCCAAGTTAATGATAGAAAACATTTTCTTACTGCTGACGAGGCTCTCTCCCTGCAGTAGAAGCCCTCTCCACAGTCCCCTGAGGGCCCAGTCCTTCCTACTCCACTGCAGTACCGGCCCCCGCCACAGGGAGCGCACTCTGACACATCACTGAGAGCAGGACGGGAACTGTAGGTGCCCTCTTCACAAGGCCTTGGAACAGTGCTTCCCTCAGAACAATAGAAACCCTATAATAATATAAAATATCAAAATATAGATGTAACTTATCATATAAAATGTAGAAATAGAACATACTGTACAATGAAGTATATGTGTCGCTGTCAACCTAAAAACTGTTTGGAGGAAAGTGTTTGGATTCAATTATGAATGAATACAGTGAGTGGTAGTCCTACCTGTGGGCAGACAGTGGGTGTGGATGTTCCTGGACTGGCACAGTAGTACCTGGCTGGACATGGTACACACACATCCCCATGGTGACCGTGAGAGTTGTTCCTGTAGAAGCCAGACTGGCAGGGGGACGTGTATGGATACCCAGTACCCAGAGGGCAGTAATGGCCATTAGGGCAGCTCCCTGTCTGAAACACAACCATGTTGAATGAAAGGGTGGCAAAAAATACCAGGAAAAAGACAAAAACATAAAGGGGAAAAAAGCCCCAACAGAATAATTACTTATACCTTTTCCTATTGGTGCCTTGGGGCATATACAGTACAAGTCTCAACAAGAGATGTGCATTGTGAGAGAGAGGGCCAAAAGTGAAAGAATTGTCACTGAACATAACAACAACTTACTGGCTCAATAATAGGCTGCTCCTGTGGCTGCTGGGAGTAGCAGTATTTTCCCACGGGACACTCTGCGCACTCTGTGAGGTCACGCAGACCAGGCTGCCTGCTGAAGGTTCCGTTTGGACACGGAATGGGGTTTGGGTCCTTCAATAACACAGAGGGCAAACGTCAAAATCTGAACAAACCGTTGAATGACCATGACCCTGTATTCTACCTGTAAAAAACTTTAATTGACTCACACTTTTGACTTGCCTTAAGCACTTTTGCACCTTTTAGTCTTATCTGCATTGATGTTATGTTTTCTCTGTTTTGTTGTTTTTAATGATGTTAGATGTTTTTATTCTGTTGTAACCAAATTGCCCATTAATGTGACAATAAAGAGCTTTTAAACCTGAATCTGAATCTGACAGAGACTGACTCACGATGCCTCCCCCAGGGCAGTAGAAGCCTCGGGGGCAGAGGATGGCAGATCTCTGGGGCTCTCTGGCCAGGCCCTGGGAACACAGGAAGCCTGGAGGGCAGACCATGACACTCAGCATGGCCTCCTCACTGGTCGTCTCGTTACTGCAGTAGTGGCCCTGCAGACAGGGGAAGCACTCCACCGAGCCCTTGTCCTGAATAAAAGAAAAGAAAGAAAAGAGAGTGAGAAGAGAAGAGAAAAGAGGAAATGTATACGTTAAGCATGTTCAGGGTTGAGTCTGGGTGGCAGCAGGTACCAGAGGGTTACACACATTTGTAACCTTGGCTCATAGAATTCACACACAATGAAAGTGAAAGATCAGATATCGCTAGCCCTTAAAACAGAACCAAGACTAAAAATATAGTTTTACTGATAAGAGCTACTTTTTAAGATACTTAGTGCCCCAGCAATTAGAAAAGGAACATGTCTACCTTTGTATTGAAATAGGGCAATCAGAGTGGCTTATGAGAAAAAGCCTGAAAAACATGTATATTTCTGTTTGTCTTGCAGTCGGTCCACCACTCAAAGGGGACGTCATGTTGTGAACTGGGCCTTACAGAGTAACTGCCAGCTCCACACACTCTGGGGCTGATGGTGGCTCGGAGGGGACAAAAATAGCCTGCTGGGCACACAGAGCAATCCTCCAGGCTCTGCCCTCCTTTCAGACGGCGAAATGTAGAGCTAGAAGAGACCGGAAACAGCAGTAAATGACTTGTAGCATCATCCCCATTATCTTCCTTCTTGTCCTTCAAATCATTCATCATCACCATCTCTTACGGTGGGCAGGGTGTAGGCTTGGAGGTGCCCTCTGGACAGTACGACCCTCCAGGACAGAAGTGGCAGTCCTCTCTTTGTCCGTTGCCCATCTTGGTGCTGTAGGTGCCAGGGGGGCAGGGAAATTGTGTGCCATACGTTGTTCCTGGGGACAAGAGTACAGATGAAAGACATGGCTTCCAACACTAGCTGCAGTAACCCATGGGGAGGGGGTCACACTCGGACAATCAGATGGGGCAAATTATTGTGGCCCTGGTTGCACAAAATAATCGAAAGGTCTGACTGCACAGAGATGCTTGGGAAAATGGTCTCAACGGGGGACCAGCGTGTGTGTTTCATGGGAAAGGGGTGTATCTGTGCTCCATCAGCTAGGACTTGCCATTGATTCATCAAATCTCCCCATTCTTGCTCAATTTTGCATGCCTTCTCAAACAGCTACAACTGCATATGCATTCGCACATCAAGTCTTCTCTTGAGTTGGGCTCGGGGATGGATCTACTGTTGAACATCTGAGTTTGTGGTTGTTTGTGGGGGAAGGATGGGGAGTGTGTATGAGTGTGTGTGTGTGTGGGTGTATACCACATCTGTTGCTATGGGGTAATGATGTTCCGGACAATATAGGATGAATCACAATAATTGTTTGCCAAATTAATTATTGCTTGCCAAAAATGTAATTTTTGTAATGGCAATCCTGGTTATAGGTAACAATCCTTTGTATGAACTGCCTACATTATTACGCATATTATTAGTTAAATGTGAAAATAAATGAAGATATGCAAGATTTTTTTATATATAATATTTTTAAATAACTGTACACAATCGTACACAAACTGTACACAATCGAGATGAGGGTGTTGGAAATGCTTTTGGCAGTTAATCTGCTTCAGTTCTGTGGGTGCCACTGTGTGCTCTTTTTAAAAGATGGGTCCCAATCTCTCAAAGGCCCTAGGATCCAGGTGGACAGGGGTGGTCTGCCAGTCACTGGGACGACAACCCAACATGGGATGGGGGGAGGTTTTAGCGGGTGGAATAGTGGAGAACAATTGGAGGTTTACTTAGTACGTGCAAATATCATAGTACAGCTATATGGACACTCAATCATTATGGTACTTTTTGATGGTAAGTTTACAAAACATACAGTACCAGTCAAAAGTTTGGACACACCTACTCATTCAAGGGTTTTTCTTTATTTTTACAATTTTTTACATTGTAGAATAATAGTGAAGACATCAAAACGATGAAATAACACATATAGAATCATTTAATAACCCAAAAAGTGTGAAACAAATCAAAATATATTTTATATTTGAGATTATTCAAATAGCCATCCTTTGCCTTGATGACAGCTTTGCACACTCTTGGCATTCTCTCAACCAGCTTCATGAGGTAGTCACCTGGAATGTATTTCAATTAACAGGTGTGCCTTCTTAAAAGTTAATTTGTGGAATTTCTTTCCTTCTTAATACATTTGAGCCAATCAGTTGTGTTGTGACAAGGTAGGGGGGGGTATACAGAAGACAGCCCTATTTGGTAAAAGACCAAGTCCATATTATGGCAAGAACAGCTCAAATAAGCAAAGAGAAACGACAGTCCATCATTACTTTAAGACATGACGGTCGGTCAATACGGAAAATGTCAAGAACTTTGAAAGTTTCTTCAAGTGCAGTCGCAAAAACCATCAAGTGCTATGATGAAACTGGCTCTCATGAGGACCGCCACAGAAATGGAAGACCCAGAGTTACCTCTGCTGCAGAGGATAAGTTCATTAGAGTTATCAGCCTCAGAAATTGCAGCCCAAATAAATGCTTCACAGAGTTCAAGTCACAGACACATCTCAACATCAACTGTTCAAAGGGGACTGTGTGAATCAGGCCTTCATGGTCGAATTGCTGCAAAGAAACCACTACTAAAGGACACCAATAATAAGAAGAGACCTGCTTGGGCCAAGAAACACGAGCAATGGACATTAGACCGGTGGAAATGTGTCCTTTGGTCTGGAGTCCAAATTTGAGATTTTTGGTTCCAACCGCCGTGTCTTTGTGAGACGCGGTGCGGGTGAACGAATTATCTCTGCATGTCTAGTTCCCACCATAAAGCATGGAGGAGGAGGCGTTATGGTGTGGGGGTGCTTTTCTGGTGACACTGTCTGTGATTTATTTGGAATTCAAGGCACACTTAACCAGCATGGCTACCACAGCATTCTGCAGCGATACGCCATCCAATCTGGTTTGGGCTTAGTGGGACTATAATTTGTTTTCCAACAGGACAATGACCCAACACATCTCCAGGCTATGTAAGGGCTATCTGACCAAGAAGGAGAGTGATGGAGTGCTGCATCAGATGAACTGGCCTCCACAATCCCACGACCTCAAACCAATTGAGATGGTTTGGGATGAGTCGGACGGCAGAGTGAAGGAAAAGCAGCCAACAAGTGCTCAGCATATCTGGGAACTCCTTCAAGACTGTTGGAAAAGCATTCCAGGTGAAGCTGTTTGAGAGAATGCCAAGTGTGCAAAGCTGTCATAAAGGCAAATGGTGGTTATTTGAAGACTCTCAAATATAAAATATATTTTGATTTGTTTAACACTTTTTTGGTTACTACATGATTCCATATGTGTTATTTCATAGTTTTGATGTCTTCACTATTATTCTACAATGTAAAAAATATTAAAAATAAAGAAAAACCCTTCAATGAGTACGTGTGTCCAAACTTTTGACTGGTACTGTATAATATATATATATATATATATATATATATATATATATATATATATATATATATATATACTCAGTTGAAGTCGGAAGTTTACATTCACTTAGGTTGGAGTCATTAAAACTTGTTTTTCAACCACTCCACAAATTTCTTGTTAACAAACTATAGTTTTGGCAAGTCGGTTAGGACATCTACTTTGTGCATGACACAAGTAATTTTTCCAACAGTTGTTTACAGACAGATTATTTCACTTATAATTCACATTACCACAATTCCAGTGGGTCAGAAGTTTACATACACTAAGTTGACTGTGCCTTTAAACAGCTTGGAAAAGTCCAGAAAATGATGTCATGGCTTTAGAAGCTTCTGATAGGCTAATTGACATCATTTGAGTAAATTGGAGGTGTACCTGTGGATGTATTTCAAGGCCTACCTTCAAACTCAGTGCCTCTTTGACATTTCTAAGTGACCCCAAACTTTTGAACGGTAGTGTATATATATATATTTATATATACATTTTAGTCATTTAGCAGACGCTCTTATCCAGAGCGACTTACAGTTAGTGAGTGCATATATTTTGATATATAAAAGACATGGCTTCTTCATTATCGTTATACTGTATATTTCTATCCAAAATATCTACTCAGAAAAGGGGCTTCTATTCCATTATACTATATTCTACTCTATTCTCCTATGGATGTGTTTCAGTCCTTACCTTCAGGGCAGTAATGTCCAGAGCTGCACCTCCCAGTCGGCCCCCACACCCCAGCCAGGCAGTACCAGCCACGTGGACATGGGCGGCACTCACCCTCTGCCTCCAGCCCACTGCGCTCACTCCACGTGCCCTCTGGGCACTTGTGCTGGGTAGGGAACATGGTTCCAGGTGGGCAGTAATGCCCGGGAAAGCAGGAGAGAGGAGGTCTCTGAGAACCACCTGTACCTGTGTAGGACAATACACAAGTATGCAGCTGGTGACACATTTTCTAATGCCAAATGTAGCTATTGGTCAATGTACTGTATTTAGCATAACGTATTTGAAGCTGGAGCAAAGAAATAAGCAAGCTAACAAGCTAGCTAATTGACTGAGTGGCACCTCGTAGACATGCGTATCGCGCAGGACACCGCTGGCACTGAGCGGGGTCAGTTAGGTCAGTGCGGTTGCTAAGGGTCCCAGGTGGACAGGCATTTGTCAGAGCATTGGGTCTGGAAGAACCAGGAGGACAGACAAATCTAAAAGAGACAAAAAAGTAAGTTGGGCTAGTATGTTGAAAATTTTAATATGTTATAGTCATATTATTATTTTACACAATTCAAGGGATTCACATTTCCAAGACAAATCTACCAGGATTCCAAAAACATAAGAAACAGAACCTAAGTAAGAACAGATGTACAGTATTGTCAGAAGGATAGCTGCTAGACAACATTAACTTTTCAGCCAGTAAGAGTCTGTCAGAAGGAGTTACCCTTGCATGCAGTCTACATCCGGAGCCTTCAGGGCTACTTGTGTGCAGGCCTTGCCCGGGTAGCACTCCCTGCAGTCAGTAGCCTCATCTTGCCCTTCCAGGGGGTTGAATGTGCCCGGCTGACAAGGCATGGGGTCACGGATACCCTCTGGGCAGTAGAAGCCAGCTGGGCATCTTAAACAGTCCTTCACACCTAAAGATGTTAAAGACTTGTTGTTCTAGGGACCTGAGTTTTTCCTGATCATGTTGTCATGAGTAGGGCATCACATAGTTATATGAGGAATCATAATAAATACCTGTTATCATCTATAATTGTGTTGTAGTTATATATTGAACAAAAATGTAACCCCACCGCCACCATGGGGCACTCAGTTCTCAACGTTAACATCAGCAAACCACTCTCCCACACGATGCCATACACGCTGTCTGCCATCTGCCTGGTACAGTTGAAACCGGGATTCATCCATGAAGAGCACACTTCTCCAGCGTGCCAGTGGCCATCGAAGGTGAGCATTTGTCCACTGAAGTCGGTTATGACGCCAAACTGCAGTCAGGTCAAGACCCTGGTAAGGATGACGAGCACGCAGATGAGCTTCCCTGAGACGGTTAATGACAGTTCGTGCAGAAATTCTTCAGTTGTGCAAACCCACAGTTTCAACAGCTGTCCGGGTTGGCCAGTTTCAGACTCTCCCACAGGTGAAGAAGCCCGATGTGGAGATCCTTGGCTGACGTGGTTACACGTGGTCTGCGGTTGTAAGGCCGGTTGGACGTACTGCCAAATTCTCTAAAACGACGTTGGAGGCGGCTTATGGTAGAGAAACTAACATTCAATTCTCTGGCAAAAGCTCTGGTGGACATTCTTGCAGTCAGCATGCCAATTGCACCCTCCCTCAAAACTTGAGACATCTGTGGCATTGTGTTGTGGGACAAAACTGCAAATTTTAGAGTGGCCTTTTATTGTCCCCAGCACAAGGTGCACCTGTGTAATGATCATGCTGTTTAATCAGCTTCTTGATATGCCACACCTGTCAGGTGCATGGATTATCTTGGCAAAGGAGAAATGCTCACTAACAGGGATGTAAACTAATTTGTGCACAGAATTTGAGAGCAATAAGCTTTTTGTGCGAATGGAAAATGTCTGAAACATGGGAACAACACTTACATGTTGCTTTATATTTTTGTTCAGTATAGTTAAAGAGATGAAGCAAGTGATGCCTTACTTAGAGCCCCTTGGTGAGGAGTAAAGGTGCCCCTTGGGCACATCACTTCCTCCAGTGTGCCAGCTGGGCAGAACCTCCCACGGGCACAGGGCAAGCCATGGCCTGCAGAGCCTGCCACATAAACAAAAGGATGGTAATAACCCTTCAAAGAACAGCCGACAACATAGTTTTATGTACTGTTTAAGTAAAAAAATCTCTCAGACATCGGTACACTACACTACATTTTAAACTTTTTGTTATAAACATCTCTTGTAATAAATAGATACAGATATATTTCTGCAATATATTGAATGCTCCATTCCAGTAGCTACGTGCAGTGTGTTTGTACTGTGCAGTTTGCTAAGTGCAGTGTGTTCGTTACCTGCAGGACAGAATCGTCCCTCTGAACATCTCCGGCAAGCTGTTCTACTTGTTTGGCCCAGTTGTTCTCCTGCAGTGCCAGCAGGGCAAGGTGACCCGTGGGGCGTCTCTGTGCCCTCCTCACAGTAATACCCTTGTGGGCACATGAATTGGGAGCCCGGTCTACGTGAGCTGCCTTCCAGACAGTAAAACCCTGATAAAGTGTATTATTATAAGTGTCACAATTACTCATCCATTCCAGCCGATAGAAATAACATAAGATGACATGACATGACATGACATAACAAAGCATAGCACAGCAGAGCACACGTAACATCACAAAACATACCATTGGCATAACATCACATAAGATAACATAAACCACAAACGTTGCAGATCTCTGCAGATCAAACTAGAAGCAGGAAATGTACATTTTTCTACTGTATGTTCTACATGTGTTTTTTGTAGTTTTTTTCAGCCGCTGGTACAACTTTTATATTCATTGACTATACATTTATGTTGGTATTGTAGCTTTACTGAATCCCCACTGTGGAGATGACCTGAGGATGGTCTGATTACCTGCTGGACAGGGGGGGCAGTCCCTCACCCTCTGTAGGGCCTCTTTGGGTCCATAGGTTCCTGCTGGGCACGGCAAAGCAACACCTCCAACACAGTAATGACCTGTGAGAATACATTTTATAGATTTACATTTATACCAATCACTGTCAATTAAAATATTAAAATCGAAGAGTATTAGTGGAGTCTAACTGTAATGTATTTTATTACAGAATTTTATGGAAATCGAATGACGTCACCTAAAGGACAAACGATGCAGGCTGCTCCCTCCTCACTGTCCCTGTGTGTCCCAGGAGGGCAAGGGGGAACAGGCTGTCTTGACCGCTGAGCTAGCTGTGCCCCTGTCCTACTCCAGCGAGGTACCACAGTGTCTCCACATAGAGAGGTCCTATTGCAGCTCTTGCACTGTGTTTGGCCAGGCATTGAGTACTGTCCAAGGAGACAGGCCAAAGGCTGGGAGGTCCTTTTGTGTGGGCAGTAGCTCCCTGGAATTGGGAGAAATGACTTTCAGTTAATCAGGTTTAACTGTTCCATCCGGCTTTGAACAATCCTTCCGCTAAAATATCTGGGGCTGCTTTTTCTAAACATTTAATCCAGATCAAAGTGATAATGTGTTGTCTCAATCATGTTCCACCCCATCTGAATTTGTTCCCCCTTCATTTAGAAAGGAGGGACCACATCTGGATTAAATATTTTGAAAAACTTAGCCCAGAAGGTAATAACTGGATCACTAATCTGGTGTCTGCATTAAAACCAATTAATTGAGGGAAAGGCAGAGGATTGCACCAGTATACACTTTTGAACAGGGCCAGGAGTTTTTCCTGACCTGACCAGGGAAAACTCTGTGCTTCTACTTATAACTTAATAATTTTTCCATAACGGACAGTCTTGGTGACTTGCCTGCTGGACACGGATGACACTGGGCAATGCACAGATTGGAGAAGAATCCTGCTGGGCAGTATGTGCATTCCGTCTGGCTCGGGTTGGGCTCCTCTCCAGGTCCACACTAAAGTGGTAAGAAAACAGAATCACAGATTTTTCTTTATCCTACTCATCCTTGTGTATTAAAGATCACACCACACTGATCGCACAGCCGCGAGCTGCCCAGTGACACAAGACTTCCAGACGAGCTAAACCACTTCTATGCTCGCTTCGAGGCAAGCAACACTGAAGCATGCATGAGAGCACCAGCTGTTCCGGATGGCTATGTGATCACGCTCTCCGTAGCCGATGTGAGTAAGACTTTTAAGCATGTCAACATTCACAAGGCCGCAGGGCCAGACGGATTACCAGGACGTGTACTCCGAGCATGTGCTGACCAACTGGCAAGTGTCTTCACTGATATTTTCAACATGTCCCTGACTGAGTCTGTAATACCAACATGTTTCAAGCAGACCACCATAGTCCCCGTGCCCAAGGACTCTAAGATAACCTGCCTAAATGACTACCGACCCGTAGCACTGACGTCTGTAGCCATGAAGTGCTTTGAAATGCTGGTCATGGTTCACATCAACAGCATTATCCCAGAAACCCTAGACCCACTCCAATTTGCATACCGCCCCAACAGATCCACAGATGATGCAATCTCTATTGCACTCCACACTGCCCTTTCCCACCTGGACAAGAGGAACACCTACGTGAGAATGCTATTCATTGACTACAGCTCAGCATTCAACACCATAGTGCCCTCAAAGCTCATCACTAAGCTAAGGATCCTGGGACTAAATACCTCCCTCTGCAACTGGATCCTGGACTTCCTGACGGGCCGCCCCCAGGTGGTAAGGGTAGGTAACAACACATCTGCCACACTGATCCTCAACACGGGGGCCCCTCAGGGGTGCGTGCTCAGTCCCCTCCTGTGGACTACAGGAAAAAAAAGAGGACTGAGCACGCCCCCATTCTCATCGACGGGGCTGTAGTGGAACAGGTTGAGAGCTTCAAGTTCCTTGGTGTCCACATCACCAACGAACTATCATGGTCCAAACACACCAAGACAGTCGTGAAGAGGGCACGACAAAGCCTATTCCCCCTCAGGAGACTGAAAAGATTTGGCATGGGTCCTCAGATCCTCAAAAAATTCTACAGCTGCACCATCGAGAGCATCCTGACTGGTTGCATCACCGCCTGTTATGGCAACTGCTTGGCCTCCGACCGCAAGGCACTACAGAGGGTAGTGCGTATGGCCCAATACATCACTGGGGCCAAGCTTCCTGCCATCCAGGACCTCTATACCAGGCGGTGTCAGAGGAAGGCCCTCAAAATTGTCAAAGACTCCAGCCACCCTAGTCATAGACTGTTCTCTCTGCTACCACACGGCAAGCGGTACCGGAGTGCCAAGTCTAGGTCCAAAAGACTTCTCAACAGCTTCTACCCCCAAGCCATAAGACTCCTGAACAGCTAATCATGGCTACCCGGACTATTTGCACTGCCTCCCCACCCCATCCTTTTACGCTGCTGCTACTCTGTTAATTATTTATGCATAGTCACTTTAACTCTACCCACATGTACATATTGCTTCAACTACCTCAACTAGCCGGTGCCCCCGCACATTGACTCTGCACCGGTACCCCCCTGTATATATACCCTCCCTACTGTTATTTTATTTTACTTCTGCTCTTTTTTTCTCAACACTTACTTTTTTTGTTAAAAATAAATGCACTGTTGGTTAAGGGCTGTAAGTAAGCATTTCACTGTAATGTCTGCACCTGTTGTATTTGGCGCATGTGGCCAAGAAAATTTGATTTGATTTGATTTGAATATCTTATTGTATAATGTATTTAGTGATATATACAGTACCAGTCAAAAGTTTTAGAACACCTACTCATTCAAAGGTTTTTCTTTATTTTTACTATTTTCTACATTGTAGAATAATACTGAAGACATCAAAACTATGAAATAACACATGGAATCATGTAGTAACCAACAAAGTGTTAAACAAATCAAAATATATTTTATATTTGAGATTCTTCAAATAGCCACCCTTTGCCTTGATGACAGCATTGTACACTCTTGACATTCTCTCAATCAACTTCTCCTGGAATGCTTTTCCAACAGTCTTGAAGAAGTTCCCACATGCTGAGCACTTGATGGCTGCTTTTCCTTCTCTCTGCCGTCCGACTCATCCCAAACCATCTCAATTGGGTTGAGGCCGGGGGATTGTGGAGGCCAGGTCATCTGATGCAGCACTCCATCACTCTCCTTCTTGGTAAAATAGCCCTTACACAGCCTGGAGGTGTGTTGGGTCATTGTCCTGTTGAAAAACAAACTATTGTCCCACTAAGCCCAAACCAGATTGGATTGCGTATCGCTGCAGACTGCTGTGGTAGCCATGCTGGTTAAGTGTGCCTTGAATTCTAAATAAATCACAGACAGTGTCACCAGCAAAGCACCCCTACACCATAACATCTCCTCCTTCATGCTTTACGGTGTGAACTACACATGCGGAGATCATCCTTTCACCCACACCACGTCTCACAAAGACATGGCGGTTTGAACCAAAAATCTCAAATTTGGACAAATTTCCATTGGTCTAATGTCCATTGCTTGTGTTTCTTGGCCCAAGCAGGTCTCTTCTTATAATTGGTGTCCTTCAGTAGCGGATTCTTTGCAGAAATTCGACCATGAAGGCCTGATTCACACAGTCCCCTCTGAACAGTTGATGTTGAGATGTGTCTGTGACTTGAACTCTGTGAAGCATTTATTTGGGCTGCAATCTGAGGTGCAGTTATTCTAATGAACTTATCATCTGCAGCAGAGGTAACTCTGGGTCTTCCTTTCCTGTGGCAGTCCTCATGAGAGCCAGTTTCATCATAGCGCATGATGGTTTTTGCGACTGCACTTGAAGAATTGTTTGACCTTCATGTCTTAAAGTAATGATGGACTGTAATTTCTCTTTGCTTATTTGAGCTGTTCTTGCCATAATATGAACTTGGTCTTTTACCAAATTGGGCTGTCTTCTGTATTCCCACCCTATCTTGTCACAACACAATTGATTGGCTCAAACGCATTAAGAAGGAAAGAAATTCCACAAATTAACTTTTAACAAGGCACACCTGTTAATTGTAATGCATTCCAGGTTACCTCATGAAGCTGGTTGAGAGGTATGCCAAGAGTGTGCAAAGCTGTCATCAAGGAAGAATCTCAAATATAAAATATATTTTGATTTATTTAACACTTTTTTGGTTACTACATGATTCCATATGTGTTATTTCATAGTTTTAATGTCTTCACTATTATTCTACAATGTAAAAAAAAGAAAAAAAAGAAAGAAAAACCCTTGAATGAGTAGGTGTTCTAAAACTTTTGACCGGTAGTGTATATACTGTAGGTGTTGGTTGGATTCTCAATTGCAGTGAAAAACTAAATACCACAACCTATACCTTTTGAGGGTATCCATTGGGGCAGACAGACCCAAAGGGACAGGGCAGGCACTGAAGGAGTCCCTCTGAAGAGTGCTGTCCTGGTGGGCATGGTTCTAGTGTCCCAGTGGCTGGATCACAACGGAACCCGGCAGGACAAAGTCTGCAGTCTACCCTGTCCTCTGTGCTAACTAAACCTAGCAAACAGGGCTAAAGCAGACAGAGGAATATCATAGATATAGTATGAATATAAGTACGTGCATATTAGATATGGTGGATAAATAGTAAAAAGTCATATAATACCTTGCAGTCTTCAATGCTACTTCTTCCTGTGTAGTGGTTGTACTGTCCTGCCGGGCATCTCCTTGGTGCAGACACATTTCCAAGACAGCTACAAAGAAAAACATAGAATTTTCTAACCTTTCACTTAACTTATTGACTTTTTTGACACTTAAATCATAAGTATCTGCTTATGCCTTATGAACAGAACAGTACAATGGAAGCCGACACATTGAGTTACTGAAAGAATAAAGATTGTCTGGTACTCACAAATATCCTGAGGGACACTCCACACAGAGTTCTGCTGAAAAGTAGGTTCCCTCAGGACATGGGCTACGGTGTTGCTCAACACTAAGGCCCAGATCAGGATTCACTTCCACAAGACCTACATGAATGAATGTCAGGGACAAAAAAGAGGTAAAACATAATTCACTCATAAGTTTGTCTCTTTACAAAGTTCTGTTACTGTATTATTATTTTTAAGTGATAACAAATGTATTGCACAGTATCCTGTATGCCTTTTAGTGAACACAAGTATTACATGTAAAGTACTGCGGTATATAAAACAACTTGAGAAAATACCTGAAGCAAGGGCAGGTTGTTTCAGTAGAGGATTGATCCATAATGCTGAGAGACCCAACAGAAGAGACCCAACACTATACCACTCATACATTCTTAAAAATTGTAAAATAAATTCCACATTGCGCCGTTAATCTGTATCTCAGTTTGCCCAGTGTAGTCAAATGGTATGAGGCCGTTTGATCCAAAGGATGAAACTGAGACCTCAGTCACTGAAAGTGAAATGTGAACCATGATGCAACCTGATTCCAAGAGGCCTCCTGCTCAGTCATATAATGGTATTCAATGTGCTCTCCTGTTACCTTGCACTTTCAAAGTGAATGCAATGCATCTAGAAAGCTATGCCAGTCAAGGCCTCTTTTCGATCTGGACTGATTCTTCTTGAGGAGGTAATCAAGGATTCCTGATCATGATGACACTATATGAAAACTAAAAAGATGTTTCAAGAAAGTTGATGCCACTAATCAATCAAATTAAGCTCAGGTTTTTGCTGATATTATGCAACACCTGTCACAGTGTGGAATATCATCCGTGACACCCCGGTAACCTAGACACTCAGGATGTTCTTAAAATGAAACACAGCTTAAGTGTAAAGGTGAAGTGAAAAGTTGGTGACTAATTACTGTTTATTAACGCAGGTCAGACTCAGACATGCAATCATCCTCATCCTCACCAAGCTTTGGAACAAATGCGGTGACAAAACTGCAATAGGTTTATCAATAGTTGATGCAGCAAGCCGGGAGACTTGGGCACAATGTTTCATTTGTTTCGGTGCTTCGAAAAGCCTTGTTTTCACTATCCCTACTTTCCAACAGCACAAACAAACACAGAGCCAAAAGACAACCTACACAGTAACACTTAAATGAAAGGATCGAATCAGTCCTGGGCTGAACATTTTAATAGACATTTGAGTGATACTATCAGCCTAATGCAGCAGCAAATGTAGTGTGTCTATAGTTTTCGTCTTTTGTCCCCAACATACTCAATAAAATACTGTTAAAATACTGTATGCATGGGTTTGATCTTTTTGATATAATGCTGGTGTACCTTTGAAAGGTGATTTGAGTTGAGTTTGTTTACAACAGAACAACCCTAAATACCACTCATTCGGAAAGTATTCAGACCCCTTCCCTTTTTCCACATTTTGTAACTTTACAGCCTTATTCTAAAATGGATTAAATTCATTTATTTCCTCATCAATCTACACACAATACCCCATAGCGAAAACACGTTTTTAGACATTTTTGCAAATTTATAAAAAATTTAAAACAGAAATAACTTATTTACATAAGTATTCAGACCCTTTGCTATGAGACTTGAAATTGAGTTCAGGTGCATCCTGTTTCCATTGGTCATCCTGGAGATGTTTCTACAACTTGATGTCAGGGCAAAATCCAAGCAATGAGGTCGAAGGAAATGTACGTAGAGCACCGAAACAGGATTGTGTCGAGGCACAGATCTGGGGAAGGGTACTTAAAAATGTCTGCAGCATTGAAGGTCCCCAAGAACACAGTGGCCTCCATAATTCATGAATGGAAGAAGTTTGGAACCACCAAGACTCTTCCTAAAGCTGGCCGAACGGCCAAACTGAGCAATCGGGGGAGAAGGGCCATGGTCAGGGAGGTGACCAAGAACCCGATGGTCACTCTAACAGAGCTCCAGAGTTCCTCTGTGGAGATGGGAGAACCTTCCAGAAGGACAACCATCTCTGCAGCACTCCACCAATCAGGCCTTTATGGTAGAGTGGCCAGACGGAAGCCACTCCTCAGTAAAAGGCACATGACAGCCCGCTTGGAGTTTGTCAAAAGGCATCTAAAGGACTCTCAGACCATCAGAAACAAGATTCTCTGGTCTGATGAAACCAAGCTTGAACTCTTTGGCCTGAATGCCAAACGTCACGTCTGGAGGAAACCTGGCACCATCCTGTGGGGATGTTTTTCAGTGGCAGGGACTGTGAGACTAGTCAGGATCGAGGGAAAGATGAACGGAGCAAAGTACAGAGATATCCTTATGAAAACCTGCTCCAGAGCGCTCAGGACCTCAGACTGGGGTGAAGGTTCACCTTCCAACAGGACAACAAGCCTAAGCACACAGCCAAGACAGCGCAGGAGTGGCTTCGGGACAAGTCTCTGAATGTCCTTGAGTGGCCCAGCCAGAGCCCGGACTTGAACCCGATCTAACATCTCTGGAGAGACCTGAAAATAGCTGTGCAGCGACGCTCCCCATCCAACCTGACAGAGCTTGAGAGGATTACATTTACATTTTAGTCATTTAGCTGACGCTCTTATCCAGAGCGACTTACAGTTAGTGAGTGCATACATTTTCATACTGGCCCCCCGTGGGAATCAAACCCACAACCCTGGCGTTGCAAGCGCCATGCTCTACCAACTGAGCTACACGGGGCCCTGCAGAGAAGAATGAGAGAAACTTCCCAAATACAGGTGTGCCAAGCTTGTAGCGTCATACCCAAGAAGACTCGACGCTGTAATCACTGCCAAAGGTGCTTCAACAAAGTAATGAGTAAAGGGTCTGAATACTTAGGTAAATGTGATATTTCCATTATTTATTTTTTATACATTTGCAAAAATGTCTACAAACCTGTTTTTGCTTTGTCATTATGGGGTATTGTGTGTAGACTGGTGAGGGAAGAAAAAACTATTTAATCAATTTTAGAATAAGGCTGTAACGTAACAAAATTTGGAAAAAGCCAAGGGGTCTGAATACTTTCCGAATGCACTGTATACTGTATAACCTACATTATGTGCAAAGTACAAAACATTAAGTCAGAAGACAACAACGTTAGACTGACAAAATATAATTATTCAACATTTTGTTACATGAAGCATTCTTCTATTTCTTGTGGTAAAGTGAATGTTGGATGTTTCCTGTTTGTGTCTCACCCTCCAGCAGTGGGTGAATTGCTGTGCAAAGATCTAGCTGCAGGCGTTAACACAAAGCCTACTGTTGTTTGTTAGTATCAAAAAGTGGACATTGTAAGTCACAGTACTATAGGCCTCCAATAATTATTTAAAAAATAGTCTAATTTAGTCATATTATTTTAGGTGGTATTAAAGCCTACAAAAATACTTTGGATATTTAATCATATTGTACATTTACTTTACATTTAAATATCTGTGTTGACAGCTACATACAGTACAGACAGTACCCAAACAAAACAGTAATTGGATATAATGTGGAATTTATACATTAGCATTACATTAAGTATTATACTCCAAAGAAAAAGTTGTAAAAATTCTCTATCAACGAATTACCATTCAAATGAAGAAAATAACATGGGTATACCGTAAAACACCACACGAATGTCATTGCATTTCAGTACGTTTTTTTAAATGTTTCCTATGGATCTTTCCATTACCCAAATCTACAAAAGCAGATGTTTGAATGGAAAGTTAAGAACACTTTTATCAGGCATCCTGTTGAACACCACTTCCTGTACCTTCTACCTGGTACATACTGTAATATGAAGGCACAACCCACTGTGACACCAGTGGTGCAAGTGTATTTTTCAATCAAGCAAATTCCGAGAGCTAACCTATTCATATAGTTTAAACATTTGGACAGGATGCTAATCTTAGCCCACTTGCCATTGCTTCTTCTTTTGGGAAACCAAGGTAAAATAAATTCCTCTACTTTTTACTTGATGTGTTTTCGGTTTCTGGCACATGGATGATAATCAAATGTCCTCAAGCTAGATATTTATATCCAAGGCCTACTGACTGAAGAATCGTTGCCTCAATTTATGACTTTTTCATTACAGATTCAGTAACCTGTATCGACCTGGAGAAACAGCATGAAGTCATCCATGCAGCAGTTGGAGAACCTCTAGTATTGAACTGCACCTACAACTGCTCCTCTGGATTTGTCCATGGCCACTGGATCAAATTCCCAGACTGTCGTCATTGCCCTAGGCCAAGGGAAACAAAAAAATTCACAAAGAATGGGGACCTCTGCACACTACCATTGTATTTTCCACATCTGTCCACGGAAGATTTTCAGTACAACTATATCTGCTTTTCTGAAGATCACGAAAGCGAACAGTTACCACGCAAGATAGAGGTTCTGGTATCACTGCAGGCACAAGGTAGGCAAAAACTGGTTGAAAGGACCTACACTGTAGTTCTAACAGCAGTATGAAAATGAATGCACTCACTAACTGTAAGTCACTCTGGATAAGAGTGTCTGCTAAATGACTAAAATGTAAAATGTAATGTGCATTTTACCTCTAAAAACAAATTGTGTTAAAATGTATTATCTTAATTATGTTCAAAAAGAGGATACATTTATAGTACATTTATACATCAGTAATTACTGGATAATTGTTTTAAATTATATTGTATTTTCTTTTGCCAGCTCGACCTAGTGCCCCGGCCCACAACGGTCACTACTGGTAAGTCTCACAGGAGAATCTGTTACTGAGACTTTATAAGGCTCTGGTCAAAAGAAGTTCACTATATATGGAATAGGGTGCCATTTGAGATTCAACCTAAGTCTCATTTTCCGTAGTAGTCTAATTGAATTGCTCTGAGGCTGTTGAATGACATAGGCACAAAATAATATAAACCCATCATATTTCACTAGCTTACTTGATCCTGATGTCTACCATTTTCTGTGTTTTAGATGAATCTGTGACAGCGTTGGGTAACCATGAGGACTCAATAATAGATCATGGTGAAACATGTTTAAATGTATTGCAAACAACAAAAGTAACCACCTGTTTGAGGCAATGATGAATAAGTTGCAAATTGAGTTTCAATAATAAAATTGTCTCTGTGCTGTCTTCAATACAGAGGAATTCACAGGCGTCAAGGTGTTGGCAACAGTGACAGTTATTGTGGCTGCGGTGTTGGTAGCCGTGGCTGCCTACTTATGTATGAGCCGCAATCGATATAGCAAAGGTGCGTATACATGTTGTAAAATCAATTACGAACGCCCAATTTCTGAATCAGAATGTTGTAAAATATACTACTTTCCAAAGTTGTTATTTAATTAATAACTACAGTATATTTCATTAACGCAATTTATTTTGTATTTCAGGAAAACCTGCTCTTATCTGTACAGGGTATGTTTTTTTCATACAATGTGGCATGTTTGCTAAGGCATTTTAACACACTTTTCATTGGCAATTATTATGTGGACTTCCTATGTGGAATTTGTTTTATCAGCACAACATCAAGAGAAGAATCTGGTGTTGGTAGGCCGACAACAGGTAAATATTTGTTTAATTTTACGAAATTGCTGATACAACCAGTTCACTCAATGTCGTAACTTGTCATTCTAATAGGTTACTTAATATAATATAAGATACTTACTTATCTTATTCTTAACTAATTGTGAGAGGGTGGCACTGAGAATAAGTCTGGCTGGTAAGTTAATGGAATGTACCATTCATTTTAGTTACTAAACTGGGTGTATGCTAAGAAAATCTACAGTCCAAAACATTGCATTTCCTGTTTTGACCCAGATTGCCAGAGTGATCATGAGGTTCCTTATGCTGACATCATGATTACTATGCGAGGGGCCAGCACACCTGAGCTCACAAAGATCTCCTACCTGGCTCCGGGGGACCATAGAGAGGTGAGGATGGGAAACTATCGCTTAGTGATTTCTGTATGAAATGGAAAGCGCTCTACAATTAAAATGTATTATCTATTATTATTATTATTATTATTATTATTATTATTATTATTATTATTATTATTATTATTATAACTTCATCGACACCACACCACATTATTTTACATCAACACCACCATATGTCACCATATGTCACCATATGTGACCCTATTACTGACATTCACTATATTCAACGTAATATGTCAGTGGAGGTTGCATAATGGCTATTATTGGCTAATGCAGCCACAGTCACAGGCTGAGACTTTATATGAACCTCACCTGAAATGGAAACCTGTGTGTTTCATGTCCCCCCTGCAGAGGTGGAGAGAAGACGCAGGCCATGGCCCCAGCACCGGCCCTGAAGCTAGGTCCCACCTGCAGGCCTCCCGCTCAGCTGACAGACTGCATGTCCAGCCCCGAGAGGTCTCCAGGAAGATGAGCACAAACTCTGAGTATGCTGTCATCACCTACTCTTAACCAGTGGGGCTGGAGAGGGATGGAGAGGATAAAATAGGGAATCAGAGAGAGCAAGTGAGAAATGACTGTCACTGTACTCATATTATTACTCCTTGGCTGTTTTGTTAGCATTTTTTTTACTATAGCAAGTTGTATCTATAACTGTATATTTTTTTTTTACTGTGACTATTATCCAATAAAGTCGTACTTTTGTGACATGATGTGGTTTCATGTGTCATTTGGTATCTCACTCACTCAGTTTGAACCTCTTTAGTTACCGTAGTTAGAGCCTTGTTGCCTAGCAACAAGCATCAACACTCTGGCATCAACTGTTGCTGATGCAAAACAAAAGTTTTGCGAAGCTGTTTGAGGCAAAAAAAAACATTAGCTAAACGTAATGTAATGTTCAATGTTATTTATTTCTCCATGCAGCAGCCTCCTGCTAGCATTGCATCCAATCTTGCACTGCATAAAGTTAGCTAACGTAGCTAACTAACGTTAATTTCACAACATTAGTTATTTTTTTTTATTTTTCGTTTATTTAACTAGGCAAGTCAGTTAAGAACAAATTCTTATTTACAATGACGGCCTACACCGGCCAAACCCGGACGACGCTGGGCCAATTGTGCGCCGCCCTATGCGACTCCCAACCACGGCCGGTTGTGATACAGCCTGGAATCGAACCAGGGGGTCTGTAGTGACGCCTCAAGCACAAGAACAAGGTTAGACCTGTAGAGCTGCAGCAAAAGGACGCTGAGAAAGAGACAGGGGACACAGCTGAGCAACAGGATGATACAGACGCAGTGGAGTACAGGGAATCTGAACTAAAAAAACTTGGCAAAGAGGACACAGTGACCCATTCTCAGGACACAGAGCAAGCTGATGACAACCCAGAGCACACGCCAGATAAATAAAGGACAGCGTGGACAAGACTTATGACAAGGCAAAGTTAAATGTTTTGATGATTTTTTTAGAAACGTTTATGTACAGTACAGTCATTTACCCACTGTCGTTCAGTATTTCATTTATCCACTGCAGGTTTTATATAATGACACAGGTCAGTTTGGAGTGGTCATAACGGCTAGAAAAGCTGGGTGTCAGCTACATCTGATTGTCATTGGGAAAATCCATGTAGCAAGCAGACATTTTATTATTGCAAAATATATCACTTCGGTTATACAGTGTACGTATAAGTTTGGCCTACAGTATAACCACACTTTTATTGGAAACATCTTCCCTAACAGACAGTATAGGCCGTATGCTAGTAGTTACAGTTTATGCAGACTATTCACCTGGTTCAGAGATTAACTCTAATGAAATGTGTCCTTTGCAGACTGCTCCCATTCCTGTCCCAAGTAGCCTGTATTAAAAAATAAACCCTTCAAGGACATCTCTGTTTTACAACATCGCTCTGTACCTCTCCACTCAGGGTCAACAGCGAGAGGTGATTGAAATGCCCCCAAAATAGTTCAGCTTCCTCATGATGACGTTTAGGGAGTTTGAATGTCATCTTGAGGTACATTATCTACCATTCGCCTTAAGCCGACACATTTCCAGTAGGAGTCTTTTCAGACACATCACTGTGTGTGCGTGTTATGGTTGGGCCATATAATGATATTATTGTCTATCGACAATTATTACATATACACTGAGTGTACAAAATATTAGGAATACCTTCCTAATATTGCATGGCACCCCTTTATGCCCCCAGAACAGCCTCAATTTTTTTGGGCATGGACTCTACAAGGTGTCAAAAGCGTTCCACAGGCATGCTGGCCCATGTTGACTCCAATGCTTCCCACAGTTGTGTCAAGTTGGCTGGATGTCTTTTGGGTGGTGGACCATTCTTGATACACACGGGAAACTGTTGAGTGTGAAAAACCCAGCAGCGTTGCAGTTCTTGACACACTCAAACCGGTGCGCCTGGCACCTACTAACATACCCCGTTCAAAGGCACTTAAATCTTTTGTCTTGCCCATTCACCCTCTGAATGGCACACATACACAATCCATGTCTCAATTGTCTCAAGGCTTAAAAATCCTTCTTTAACCTGTCTCCTCCCCTTCATCTACACTGATTGAAGTGGATTTAACAAGTGACATCTATAAGGGATCATAGCTTTCACCTGGGTTCACCTGGTCAGTCTAGGTCATCAACCTGGTCTCAGAGCATTTTGTTTTATTCTGTACATAAATCCGAGACACACATTTAGTATGATATGTTATGTTTCGTATGGTATATATTAATTTGTGGATGTCCATCGCCCATTTCGTATGATATGTTACAAATTACAATTTGTATTATATGTTACGAATTTGCAAAACATACAACACGTCTCCCGAGTGGCGCAGTGGTCTAAGGCACTGCATCGCAGTGCTAGCTGTGCCACTAGAGATCCTGGTTCGAATCCAGGCTCTGTCGTAGCCGGCCGCGACCGGGAGACCCATGGGGCGGCGCGCACAATTGGCCCAGCGTCGTCCAGGGTAGGGGAGGGAATTTGGCCGGCAGGGGATGTAGCTCAGTTGGTAGAGCATGGCGTTTGCAACGCCAGGGTTGTGGGTTCGATAAAATAATGTATGCACTAACTGTAAGTCGCTCTGGATAAGAGCGTCTGCTAAATGACTAAAATGTAAATGTTACGAATTTTCAAAACGTACGATATGTTGCAAAATGTATGATTTGTTACGAATTCTAGCTAGGTGGCTAACGTTAGCTAGCTGGCTAACGTTAGCTAGGCTAGGGGTTAGAGGTTAAGTTTAGGGTTAAGTTTACAAGGTAGGTTAAAGGGTTAAGATTAGGTTTAGGGTTAGGGGAAAGGTTCGCTAAAAGGGTTAAGGTTAGGGGAAGGGTTAGCTAACATGCTAAGTAGCTAAAAAAATTGTAAGTAGTTAAAAAGTTGCAAATTAGCTAAAATGCTAAAGTTGTCTGTGATGAGATTCGAACTCGTAACTTTGGGTTGCTAGACGTTCGCCTTATACCATCCACCCCGACCAACCACCCTACTTTTGTTTTTGCCTTAAGTAACCATCTGTCTAATGTCATGGGAAGAGTAGGTGTTCCTAATGTTTGTACACTGTGTATATCACGGACACGCCTTAACTATCTTGTGTCTAGCTGTTTTAAAAAACAGGCTATATTCCCTTCTCTTTCCATTTGATAGGCTATGAATATGATTTTGGGCTAGGCTACGCTTTCATCATTTTATGCATGCATGGCTTTCTCCCGATCAAACAATGAATGAATCTAACGGAGTTCCATCCCCCCAAAAAATGATTAGCCTTTAAACGTAAGGTAGCCAGGCGACTAATAATGAGGGATGAACAAACCATATCAATAGCATATAGAAAAATCTTAAGGTAGCTAACTCAGTTTTGTACATACAGTGGGGAGAACAAGTATTTGATACACTGCCGATTTTGCAGGTTTTCTAACTTACAAAGCATGTAGAGGTCTGTCATTTTTATCATAGGTACACTTCAACTGTGAGAGACGGAATCTAAAACAAAAATCCAGAAGATCACATTGTATTTTTTTTAAGTAATTCATTTGCATTTTATTGCATAACATAAGTATTTGATCACCTACCAACCAGTAAGAATTCCGTCTCTCACAGACCTGTTAGTTTTTCTTTAAGAAGCCCTCCTGTTCTCCACTCATTACCTGTATTAACTGCACCTGTTTGAACTCGTTACCTGTATAAAAGACACCTGTCCACACACTCAATCAAACAGACTCCAACCTCCCCACAATGGCCAAGACCAGAGAGCTGTGTAAGGACATCAGGGATAAAATTGTAGACCTGCACAAGGCTGGGATGGGCTACAGGACAATAGGCAAGCAGCTTGGTGAGAAGGCAACAACTGTTGGCGCAATTATTAGAAAATGGAAGAAGTTCAAGATGACGGTCAATCACCCTCGGTCTGGGGCTCCATGCAAGATCTCACCTTGTGGGGCATCAATGATCATGAGGAAGGTGAGTGATCTGCCCAGAACTACACGGCAGGACCTGGTCAATGACCTGAAGAGAGCTGGGACCACAGTCTCAAAGAAAACCATTAATAACACACTACGCCGTCATGGATTAAAATCCTGCAGCGCACGCAAGGTCCCCCTGCTCAAGCCAGCGCATGTCCAGGCCCGTCTGAAGTTTGCCAATGACCATCTGGATGATCCAGAGGAGGAATGGGAGAAGGTCATGTGGTCTGATGAGACAAAAATAGAGCTTTTTGGTCTAAACTCCACTCGCCGTGTTTGGAGGAAGAAGAAGGATGTGTACAACCCCAAGAACACCATCCCAACCGTGAAGCATGGAGGTGGAAACATTATTCTTTGGGGATGCTTTTCTGCAAAGGGGACAGGACGACTGCACCGTATTGAGGGGAGGATGGATGGGGCCATGTATCGTGAGATCTTGGCCAACAACCTCCTTCCCTCAGTAAGAGCATTGAAGATGGGTCGTGGCTGTGTCTTCCAGCATGACAACGACCCGAAACACACAGCCAGGGCAACTAAGGAGTGGCTCCGTAAGAAGCATCTCAAGGTCCTGGAGTGGCCTAGCCAGTCTCCAGACCTGAACCCAATAGAAAATCTTTGGAGGGAGCTGAAAGTCCGTATTGCCCAGCGACAGCCCCGAAACCTGAAGGATCTGGAGAAGGTCTGTATGGAGGAGTGGGCCAAAATCCCTGCTGCAGTGTGTGCAAACCTAGTCAACACCTACAGGAAACGTATGATCTCTGTAATTGCAAACAAAGGTTTCTGTACCAAATATTAAGTTCTGCTTTTCTGATGAATCAAATACTTATGTCATGCAATAAAATGCAAATTAATTACTTAAAAATCATACAATGTGATTTTCAGGATTTTTGTTTTAAATTCCGTCTCTCACGGTTGAAGTGTACCTATGATCAAAATTACAGACCTCTACATGCTTTGTAAGTAGGAAAACCTGCAAAATCGGCAGTGTATCAAATACTTGTTCTCCCCACTGTATGTGGGCAACCGTGGCATTCAAACGAGGCTGCAATGAAAACTAATGGGACTGTAGCGACTGTGTTGGCATCAAAATCCGGGATGTGAACTAAGTTTCGATTCAGCGTTGATTGACATGGTCATGGACCAGAAGTATTGGAGAAAAGTTGAAAAAAACGGACTCCGCTGACGCTGTACGTTAAAGTTTGACATGTCACGACGTAACGTATGGCACACATTATTCAACTCATTCTGTGCCGTACAGCCTCTTTCCACCAGGTGTAGCGCTTCTCTCGCAGATTAAAAACAAGAAATGATCAATGGTGAATGTAATAGTGAGTGTAAAGTTAATTACTCGAGCCATCATGACTCTCAAAAACCGTGACAACCACAGTTTAATTGTGAAGATAAATTTAACGCTGCCCTAAAAACCCTATTCAAATTCAACACAAACCTTCAAATAGGTATGTAATGAGACATTATATAAACTCTTCATAGTGTTTTATTTACATTTTAGAGGTGATAAGTTGGACAAATTGGGTGAAAAAAGCCGGTTCTCCACACAACATATCTCCCCCTTTCACTATGACGCAGTAGCTTTCGCTTCCCCACGGCGGAGCTCCATTGCTTTCTTCAATCATGCAGAGACGGGCAGCATGAATGTCTCGTCATTGACTTTGCTGGAAAGGGGAGAAATTGTGCTTTACAATGGTATTCATATTACAGTTGATCTGGAAGTATTACGTTTTTGGGGCGCTAATATAAGGTCAAATGTACGGAACAGCGCGATGTACAAAAGTGTGTTAGCTACCGTTAAAGGCAAGTTTAATCAAGTTTAAGCTTATTAAGAAAGAAATTATCCTTGCGGGGGCGGGAAAATCCCTTCATGCGAGGTTGAAAACCAAATGGCCAATAATCTATCCTCCTACTAGGCATATCATGAAAGCTTTAAGACAAGTTAAAATTATGAACAGTAGCCTATTTCCCAAATATTATAATAGCCTAAGAAGGTGTTGTCCTAAAGTTGCCACTTTCAGAAAGAACAATAATGAAAGTTGGATATTCTCAATCACAGCTTTATGTCAGATTAAACCAACGATATTAAGAGAGGAGGATGAGGCAAATAAAACAAGAATATAGACTTTGCTTCTATCCAGCCCATGATTTATAACCTAACGGCAAGACAGCCCGTTCCTCATCAGTTGCAGCTGTCACTTTGCTCTGTCATGTGCGCGCCACACAGACACAGGCAGACACACACAAACCTGTTCCATGCTGAATCTTCACCCGAAAGGAATATTAGAAAAGATTTGCCTGCACTTAGCCTCAACCCAGCCTCAACCCAGGCCAACAACATTAGGCCTATCTTTCGTCATGATTCATCCAGTTTTAGCATGCAATTTATTTCGATAGCCCAACGGTGGTTTGACATCATCCAACCCTAGTGCGTGTGTTTGTTTGTGCATAGCCTAATATATTTGATCAGAATTTTCAGTGCCATGTTTGTTTTCCAGTCTAAACGATCAATGAGCCCTAAACAAGATTTCTGAGCTAATGTGAATTGCATGATTTAGACTATTACCACTGGGCACAGACGTCAATTCAATGTCTATTCCACTTTGGTTCAACTTAATTTCATTGAAATGACATGGAAACAACGTTGAATCAACCAATGTGTGCCGAGTGGGTTGTCACCAATAACCCATTTGATATCTTTGGGCCGATGTGGTCTTAGGCTGGGAGGTAGGGAGAGTAGGATTTAGAGGGATGTTACCATGGCAACTTGCACCATCCTTTCCCCCTCTTAGTCTTATCAGGGAAAGTCTGGAAGATGCACATGATGAACTACCAGTAGATAGTTTGCTAGACAATGCGAATTTGTGCATATGGCTTGTGGGTTTGTGGCAAAAAACGCAGAAAAGGGAGACCGGTTAGTTTTTATTCATTAGAACACTGTATTTTGCAACTTTACTTATCTGCAGCATATCCATCCCCTCTCTCTTTCTCACCTTTAAATGTAGGCCATCTACTCTCACCTATACCAAATGTCTTGTCCAGTGACTTTGTCCACTTTTTTACTCTTCTTTATTCCCAGGGACATTATGACTGATCTCTATCTGTAGGCAAAGTGCAGTTTAGTCACTTTGTACTGTACTCATCCTTAAGTTGGTTTTGATAGATTAACAAGGTGACAATTAATGACTCACACATAGGGAAAGTCAAATATACACTTATCACATGTCACACACATATCACACAAATACACACACACGTCACAACCCAAACCAAACAGTTTCATACATTTCTAACATACACTACCAGTCAAAAGTTTGGACACCTACTCATTCAAGGGTCTTTCTTTATTTTTACATTGTAGAATAATAGTGAAGACATCAAAACTATGAAATAACACATATGGAATCATGTAGTAACCAAAAAAGTGTTAAACAAATCAAATAGCCACCCTTTGCCTTGATGACAGCTTTACACACTCTGCATTCTCTCAACCAGCTTCATGAGGTAGTCACCTGGAATGCTTTTCCATTAACAGGTGTGCCTTCTTAAAAGTTAATTTGTGGAATTTCTTTCCTTCTTAATGCGTTTGAGCCAATCAGTTGTGTTGTGACAAGGTGTGTGTGTGTGTGTGGGGGGGGGGGGGGGGGGGGGGGGGGGTATACAGAAGATAGCCCTATTTGGTAAAAGACCAAGTCCATATCATGGCAAGAACAGCTCAAATAAGCAAAGAGAAACGACAGTCCATCATTACTTTGAAAGTGTCTCCAAGTGCAGTCGCAAAAACCATCAAGCGTTATGATGAAACTGGCTCTCATGTGGACCGCCACAGGAATGGAAGACCCAGAGTTACCTCTGCTGCAGAGGATAAGTTCATTAGAGTTACCAGCCTCAGAAATTGCAGCCCAAATAAATGCTTCACAGAGTTCAAGTCACAGACACATCTCAACATCAACTGTGCAGAGGAGACTGTGTGATTTAGGCCTTCATGGTCGAATTGCTGCAAAGAAACCACTACTAAAGGACACCAATAATAAGAAGAGACTTGCTTGGGCCAAGAAACACGAGCAATGGACATTAGACCAGTGGAAATGTGTCCTTTGGTCTGGAGTCCAAATTTGAGATTTTTGGTTCCATCCGCCGTGTTTTTGTGAGACGCGGTGTGGGTGAACAAATGATCTCCACATGTGTAGTTCCCACCATAAAGCATGGAGGAGGAGGAGTTATGGTGTGGAAGTGCTTTGCTGGTGACACTGTCTGTGATTTATTTGGAATTCAAGGCACACTTAACCAGCATGGCTACCACAGCATTCTGCAGCGATACGCCATCCCGTCTGGTTTGGGCTTAGTGGGACTGTCATTTGTTTTTCAATAGGACAACGACCCAACACACCTCCAGGCTGTGTAAGGGCTATTTTACCAAGAAGGAGAGTGATGGCGTGCTGCATCAGATGACCTGGCCTCCACAATCCCCCGACCTCAACCCAATTTAAATGGTTTGGGATGAGTCGGACGGCAGAGTGAAGGAAAAGCAGCCAACAAGTGCTCAGTATATGTGGGAACTCCTTCAATACTGTTGGAAAAGCATTCCAGGTGAAGCTGGTTGAGAGAATGCCAAGACTGTGCAAAGCTTTAATTTTACATTTAAGTCATTTAGCAGACGCTCTTATCCAGAGCGACTTACAGTTTGTGCATACATTTTTTTTTTCTCACACTGGCCCCCCGTGGGTAACAAACCCACAACCCTGGCGTTGCAAGCGCCATGCTCTACCAACTGAGCTACACGGGGCCTAGTGTCATCAAGGCAAAGGGTGGCTATTTGAAGAATATAAAATATAACATCTATTTTGATTTGTTTAACACTTTGTTGGTTACTACATGATTCCATATGTGCTATTTCATAGTTTTGATGTCTTCACTATTATTCTACAATGTAGAAAATAGTACAAATAAAGAAAACCCCTTGAATGAATAGGTGTGTCCAAACTTTTGACTGGTACTGTACATCTAGTGAGAAGATCAGACCATAAGAAAATATATTGGTTGTACATTCAGATCGTTAACTCAAAGCTGAAACAAAGCATGACCAGATGGGTTTTTGAAAGGTAATATATTGACATAATGGGATGAAACAGGGGTGGCAGTGTAAGAGAGGAACACAGACAAATGGATGTGTTTGCTGTTTCTCCCTCTCCTCCCTGTCTCAGAGGCAATGAGCGAGGGCGGTGGTGGCAGCTGGGATCTGAACGATGGAAAGGGTTTTTTCTTCTCCCTCTAACTGTGTACAACTGAGCAATTATTTCCATTTGTTTTTCTCAACAAAACCAGTACTACATGTTCATGTCTGTACATTGTGTTCGTGGTTTCTCTTGGGTTTTCCGGTTACACTTTACTTGAAGGTTATGTGAAATAAGTATGTATGTGGTACAGTATGTGGCATGTACTGTAAGTGGCATGTGCCAAATGGTACAGTATGTGGCATGTGCCAAATGGTACAGTATGTGGCATGTGCCAAATGGTACAGTATGTGGCATGTGCCAAATGGTACAGTATGTGGCATGTGCCAAATGGTACAGTATGTGGCATGTGCCAAATGGTACAGTATGTGGCATGTGCCAAATGGTACAGTATGTGGCATGTGCCAAATGGTACAGTATGTGGCATGTGCCAAATGGTCCAGTAGGTGGCATGTGCCAAATGGTACAGTATGTGGCATGTGCCAAATGACCAGACACAATGTGTTAAAGTGGACTTTAGCGTGTCATAACTTACAATTATCACTTAATAGATTTTTGCAATGTGTGAGACCCTTAGTTATTGTCTTTGTCATATACTGTACTTTGAGGTCAGGTAAGTCTTTGAAGTGAGGAGGACAGTAGGTCTGTGGGAGCACAGCAGGTTATCAACCTTAATGAGACTGGGAAGATAGACCACATGGTTTGTGTGCTTGCAGGAGGTTGTATCACACTCTCTCTTTCTCTCTCCCACCCTCTCTCTCACACACTCTATGCAAGCGTATACTAGTGAGCATAAAGTGTCTGTTAGTGGGAACGAGACGTCTCTAGTGGAGACACAAGATAAATCTTTCTCGGTCAACACTGAGTACAGGCAAAAGGCATTTTAAGTCAGTTCATCCGAAGACTGTCATCTCTCAGATTGCTCATCATGGACTGCCACGTTGTGAGTACATGCTTGAAATTAAATGTATTGTGTAATATATTGAACTAATATCTAACAAGTAACCACACAAAACTATTCCTTTGTTACAGCTTTTTAACAGAATTACAGCTTTTTTATATTATTCTAATTGGATTTATTAAAAGGCTTTTATATATGTGTTGACAGAGCTTTATATTTTAGGAACCCTCAGAAAATCATTTGTTTCCTTGTTATGGTCTTTTGGCTTGCTTGTTTCATTGAGACTCAGACTATCAGCCCTGAAAACTCCAGCTGTCTGATCTACCAGATGTCCACCTGCTTCAGCTTTCTTCACAAGGCAACTTTCTGCCAAATTGGTACTATATTATTTGCGTATGGATTGGTTGAAATGCTTTAAATTGATACTTTATGAATATCTATGGTAGGATGATATTGATAGCCATAATGAGTATAGGTTGTTAAAAGTATGAGTATGTTTCTTTTTTTTCATTGATTGCAAGTCATTTGAGCTTATTGATATGACACATTTAGAGCCTACTGTAGATGAACCCCTTGAAGAGTTAGAAAAATCTCACGACGTAACGAAAAACACTCCTGTCTTTCTGCTGCTGTAAGATATGCGAATGTTGGCATCCTACTCAGCCGTTAGACCTAAGCTAATGACTGCTAGCTGTAATGCTATCTGTAATAGTGGGTGGTCACACTCCCACACTAAGGGGTTTCACTGAGGACACATTCAAATGCATCTCCTTACAGTGCAGTGGGCTTTCTTTGTTTCGCTTATGCACCACATTTTAAAGAGGGGATGAGCAACTGGTGGGGTGAAGCGGATGTGTTTGGATGATTGCTGACAACCATGTCACTGTTCTGTAACCACTTGTGAATAAGGAGATTTCTACCTCAGCCACCTACCCACCACTCACCAACCCTGCTTTGTGTATTCTGCCAGTAATACGCTACATGGTATACAATGGTGCTGTCTTTGTGTTATGAGAGTGTCAGAGAGAGAGAGAGTCTGAGAGATCTAAAGTTGAATTCCCTTCATGTTCTTCTCACTCTTGATGGACAGTCTGGCTGACTGTCAACTTTTGAAATTGTGAATCACTTTGAAACACACAGGAACAGAGAAACTTATTTCCTTTCTGTGCATAGTGTTGAGTGTCAGGTTAAGCAGTTTGGGAACATCGTTTACATAGCCGTTAACCCGTTCCAGTTTAGCAATGGCAGAAGTTCAAGCAATAGGTGTGAGGAAAAACTCCAGAGAAGATAGAGCTTCTGTCCGTAGAGTTACAATGTGATTTAAGGGCCTTGTAGACTTTTAAGCCCTTGGACCTTTTAGGACCCTGAGGATGCAATTGAGGAGGATATTTCACTATCACTGACAACCACAGAGAGCCTGATATCCACTGGTGTTGTTCTCAGGCGGTTTTAGTCATTTTGGGCCCCTAGGCAGAAGTTAATCTGGGGCCCTTCCTCATGTTACATTACCTCAACCAAGCCCCCTCTAAATCACCTAACTTCTCAGATATACTTGTCCTCTTATAGGAGGAATGCAGCCAACCCCAGGAAGAGGAGGACATCATGGACATACCTCTGGACGACCCTGAGGCCAACAAGGCAGCTGCCAAGATCCAGGCTGGCTTCCGCGGTCACATGACCAGGAAGAAGATTAAGCCTGCTGACAAGCCTGAGGGGGAGGAGGAGGATGAGGAGGTGAGCAGCAGTGGTGAGGCTCTCAACGGCAACCAGGGGGAAACAGGTCAGTGACTCTAGTGTCCGCTGACACACACACGTAGACCCAAACCGGTTTAGACTGGTATTAGCATTAATATCACCCTCAGGACTATCAGGACTAATCTGGTGTAGGCCTATGTCATCAGTAACAGTTATAGACAAATTATTGCAGTGTATTTTCATCTAGTAACTTTCACTTTGGACATTGGCTGACAAACCAGTTATGGATCTGATGCTTGTGTCCCTGACATCCCCTACATTTTGTACATCCAGATTTGCACACTATTAACAACGTAACAGGACAACCATTTTGTGTCCATAACAATATTAAATGCATTTATTGATCTGTTTTCAACATCAAATGCATACATTGTATGCATAATAATACAGGGAGTCATAAAGGACCATCATTTAACACTGCTTGAAACCAATTTAAAAGCCATGCATTATTAACTAGGTCTATTAAAGGTACCTAATGAGTTATTTCAATGTAAGTAATGTGACACACCATCCAATTCTTTAATCACTCCATAAAGGCTGCAGTGCCTGATTGAAATCTACAGTGGATGTCTTTGAGGTGATTATTAATGAATACTCCACTAGTTATATTGTCAAATAGATGGATACATTCTAATGAGAAATGTTGATAACAACTCAGACGTGTGAGAGGGTGTCGGTGCCCAGAACCATGGCAAATCTTATCTAGATGTTCTGAGATAGTGTTCAAATATAAAGTGAATAACATGCCTTTCTATCTAATCAACATCTTTTGGGGTGAAATATATTCATGGTAAAACTGTACAGTTTGCCAAATAAATGTTGAAAGTGGTTTGCCACAATATTTTTATAGTTGAGCTCCAGTAAATTTTTTGTCAGTATTTATTTAAACATATCAGCTACTGAAATGTAACTTTTTTGGTGGGTGACTAAAGCCTCGAATATACTTCCAGGAATCAGAAAGTGTACATTGCAGCTTATTTCAAGTTCTGATTCCAGGGGCAGAGTATACAACATTAGTGTGTGTTCATTTTTGTGTTGAGTGTGTGAAAAAATGGGACAGGGGTTAGAATATTATCCAGGTCCAGTTGATTCACCTCAACAGTATTTGAATTGGGTTTAGCCCCATCCTTGAGAAAGACAGATAAACTACTTTCCAATGTAAGCCTTCTCTGAGCCTCACCAACCCCCAGCCCAGTTCTTGGTTGCCAAGCATCTTTATGTAGCAGTGTTATTTTTAACACCAGGTGCCTTATACCGCTGAGACACAGTAGAATTAATGTTCCTTGTCGTAGAGGCATGGGCCCGCTAAATCTCTCCCTCTTGGAGTAGCCTCTGCTTTTCACTTGGGTTATTGGTAACGCTTCCAATGAATACAGTCTTTATAATGCATTATAAGGTCATTTATAACACCTAATGCATTATAAGGAGGGTATTCATAGGAAGTGTTTCACCAGGATTAATAATACCAATCAAATCATTACAGTATGTTTTCAGTACTATCATGCTTATCACAACCTTTTGTGAGAAATCTCATTCTTGCACCTGTCATTATAGCCTTGCTACTGTTGGGGGTCAACATCACTATGGCGTGTGAGCGAGTAATGGCAACATGAATGCATCATTCCATCTGCAGTGCTAAAATCTGCTTCTTCTTCGTCTGTTTTAGAATCGGGAGGATCAGAAGGAGTAGAGAGAGATGACACATCAGTGCCGGAACAGTGAAGCCTCTGACCTCGATGAAGATAAGAAGAAGAAAAAGCATGGCTGTACCTTTTTTTTTTTCCATGGGAGCAACTTTCTATGTAACACAAAATAGTAGTATATTATCCAGATTTTGGGTTGCGTCATCTGATTTGTGAACTCTTTAACACTTTCCTGCTTCCAGTCCCAATTCGTGTGGATCGTCTTTGACCCACATTTGCATCCCTCACTGCATGTACTTGTGAAACTTCTGGTAGTGTGCTAGTCCAGAAGATATGTGAGGCTGATAATAATTGTTTTCTCATGCTAAACAGGGCTAATTTGAGTTGATTATAAAGTTTGTGTACAATTATGCATTATGAATACACGTCAACTGCTGGAATGCTTGTTTCTGCGTTGTTTCAAGTGCTTGTATAATTACAATTTCATTATTTTTGGTGTACACAATATCGCTAAAAGGGAGGTAGAGACCCTTAATGGTTATTGGAAGGCATACTATTTAAGTTGATAATTAATTTATTGTTATCTAGATTTGCAGTCTTTTAAGTGTTGTGCACTGTAATGAATAATGGAATTACTTTCACATATTGGTCAGCGTCACCATTTTCTCCAAATCAGATCTTCCAACACAGTAAGCATGCAGTACAATGTACTATAGTTTATTTGCAGATAGTAGTACTCACATACAGCTTTATCCTGGAGATGGAGTCATATCCTCTGCTCCAACAGTATGTTTATGGGTACAGAATTGGTGTTTTATATTAAATATTGACCTAAATCATGTGTATGTTTTATCAGGGGTTGGAACCAATTGTTTCGTTCTGAACAGAACCATTCATTTTTTTCTTTCCGTTCCACTGTTCCGACCTGCAAAGTTCTGAACCGGTTCTTACCCCAAAAAAGTACCAGTATATATCTTTCATTTCTGTTCCTTTATAAACCTCTGAAATATATCTTTTTTTTACATTAGCTCGACATTAAATAACTTCACCAATCAGTGCGGATAGAGCTTGCTACGGAGCGGGCAAGCAATAGTTGTTTTAGTCTAGGCAGCCGATAGTGCATGGGCGCTAACGGTTGCCTAGGCTACAGTTGTTTACATGCGCGATGGACGGGCAAGTGTAGGGCATGAGATGCAACTGAAATTTTGCAGGTGGGGAGAGAGCGAGAGATGCTGGAGGAAGAGGCTTGGCTTGAAGCGCTGGGCATTGTTATGACATGCATTATCTGAATTAGGCCCACAGAATTATACCTACGGAGGAGCGGTTTCTATGGAGGAACTTTGAATGTCTTTGAACTTCAGAGAGTTGGCTTAAAGTTGGACCAGAGCTAGCTAGCTAGCTATCTAACAAGCTTGTGTGTGCAGAGCGGCACCAGAGTTAAAAACGCATCTTACCTTTTTGTAGTTAATAAATCCAATGTGAAACGTGATAGCATTGAAAAAGTGAATCCATTCTTCTCTAATAAAAAATCTGAATTTCTGAATCATGCTTGCAACTTCAGTAGGCTACAGTAGACTAAGATTTGGAGGGAGAGGGGCAGGTAGCCTACACATGCACACACACTGGGAAAGATTTTCAGCTGGCAGGCAGACACTGGAATACGTTTTTGAGTGACAGAATGAGGGCTTTGCATAGGCACCTTCTTGCATTTTTTGTGGGACTGAACAAATGCCTGGAACGTAAAATAACGTTATTAATCTAATCCCATGCTTTTAAAATAACGGTTCTGTTCCAGAACAATATAGATCACTTTCGTTCCCGGTTCTGATTCTGTTTCTCAAAAAATGTAGTTATTTTCTGGTTTTCGATTCTGTTCCCTGAACCGGTACCAACCCCTGATTATCATCATGCTTCATGAACAGATTTAATTAAATCATTGTAAAGGAATAACATTTCCCCTGTAGCTCAGTTGGTAGAGCATGGCGCTTGCAACGCCAGGGTTGTGGGTTTGTTTCCCACGGGGGGCCAGTATGAAAAATTTATGCACTCACTAACTGTAAGTCGCTCTGGATAAGAGCGTCTGCTAAATGACTAAAATGTAAATGTAAATCAATAAATCTATAAAAATGTTTGTGTAGGAAATCATTTTCAGCTGTTCAGAGCACCATATATGAGGAATATATAATTCATAACAAAAACAAGTCTTGACCCTTACCCACTCAGGGATATGGTGATGGGTGTTTGAAAAAGATGAGTCATTTATATGTAGAAGCAGTGATTAACACTTGACCCGCAAATGACTGTATCCAAGGTTATTGAGCTAGGATTATGGAATGAATCAAAAATAACAGCAGCGTCTTCAAGCTCTATCAACATGATTACAAACATGATCACGCTGACTACAAGTTATTACAGAACATGATCTATCACCTGATATTGAATGGTGTTTCATAGAATGCATCAACCCTAGTTTTAAAGGGAAAGTTCAGGATTTTACAATTTGATGTTAGATGGTTACTCACCCTGAAAGTAGCCTATGGTCCAGGAACAATTGTAATCTGAACTTCCCCTTTAAGAGTTAAATGAATTCCAAAAGTAATGTAGGGAATGCAATCTCAAGACAGAACTGTTTTTTTTTACTCAACCTGTTTTTTTTTTTCACTCAACCGTAATGCAGCATAAGCATAGCTGTTAATTGGAAAGTCCTTCCCACCACTAAACTGAAACAAATGGTGACTGGTCTTCCAAAAGTTTTCTCTGTAGGGGAACACCAGGAATAACTCATATCACATGACAAGTAGTAGACTTGCTTGATTGTTTGATTAGTTGCACATACTGGTTTTGTGAGTGATGGTTGAACAGAATCTCATCTTTCCCCAGTTTCCATTCAAGTTGCAGCTTTGAATACAATACATATAATGATTATTCTCTGAAAAATATTGTCATTGTGTCTCACATTTCAACAGGTGCATCAACTGTTAGACTGCTGTCAAATATCTTATCATCTTACAAATAATAGTAATAATTAATAATAATTGATTACATTTCTATAGTGCTTTTCATAACAATCTCAAAACAACAAATGACAGGTTGTGTCAGCGATGTCCTTTACAGTGAATCTGGATACTCCTTTAGTCGAAAAGATTACTTTCATAGTCAGTGTTGTTTCATTGGCTGAGGTGCTCTTTCTGTTGCCTTTTTTCTCCATATGAGAAAAGCAGGGTTGAGATATGGAAGGAGGAAGCATAAGACTCACTCACAGCTCACCCACGCTCACTCCCACACACATCTGAGCTCAGCCCAGCCACACAGAGGCACTGAAGGAATCTCTCCCACTCCGAATGGGTTCTGTCTCCAGCTGCTGAATGATAAGGCATTAAAGAGACATTCTACTGGTTTTCCATGGCAACACAAAGCCACAGAAGACAGCACTAGTTTCTCAGCTTGACACAGCGCCTCACCACTTCTCCCAGTGTTCCCACAGGTATCCAGACACAGCTATGTAATGACGCTGAGTGTAGAATCAATATGCCAGACAGACACCTCCAAACATAGCACTTCAGCAGCAAGGAACGGTCAATTAATTTCTAAAAAGTTTGATGGAAAGCTTAGTCCAAAAGAGTTCAAAATCTCTTAGTTATGTTGTGTATTTCACCATGGAAAGATTAACAGCATCCAAATACAACAATTTGTTAATCAATGTTTTTCAATGCAGAAACAAACTGTTCCAGAAATAAAATACTTCAGCTGAGACAGAATGCAATCTCTGTAATTTGTAATCTATTTTGATCTCATTTTGAATGTAAAATAGATTTTTAAAAACAGATATGTGGTTGTGTTTAGTCCTTTAAGGGCTGGTGAATGTTGTGGGGAAAAACAATCAGTCGGTGTGTTTGAAACTCGCATCATATTAAAGTCTGATAGTCTATTTTTTAAATATTCATCTGGATTGATTCGCTCTCTTGGTTCCCTCACACAGCTTGCCCGTGCAATCACTGTATTCTCCTGGGCAGCAATTAGTGGTGGAAGTGAGCCAAACTCAACAGCAGAGGGCACTTCTATGTTCTATTGGTCATCACGGTCATCATCATCATGTCTACGACCTCACTCTTTAAGAACAGGGCTCGTATTTATAAAGCGTCTCAGAGGAAGAGTGCTGAACTAGGATCAGGTCCCTCATGCCCATGTAATCGTATTCATTTTTATTTTATTTTACCTTTATTTAACTAGGCAAGTCAGTTAAGAAAAAAATATGATTTACAATGACGGCCTACATCGGCCAAACCCGGACGATGCTGGGCCAATTGTGCACCGCCCTATGGGACTCCCAACCACGGCCGGTTGTGATACAGCCTGGAATCGAACGAGGGAGTCTGTAGTGACGCCGCAAGCACTGAGATGCAGTGCCTTAGACCACTGCGCCACTCGGGAGCCCATTATGATCTAAAGGGCTAAACTGATCCTAGATCAGCATTCCTACTCTGAGACGCTTGGTACATTCGGCTCCAGATTTCTAGGTTATCCAAACTGTGGGTCATTGGGGGTACGATTGAACACAATATGAATTTCACTGATTACAGGATCGCTCAGCCCATACTGAAAAGGTTGCAATACTGCATGATGCACACTAGCTCATGAATACTGAAGAGCTAAATTAATTGGTCGATTTGATCAAATTAGACCTAATAGAGGCTAGCCATATCAGGGTTAGGAATAGGCCTAACCTACATATACCATTGGGCTAAAGTTCTTCCTTGCTGTCATCACAAGAGTCATACACACTGCATCTATAAGGCTGTGTGTAGTGTACACAGGCAGCCTAATTCTGATCTTTTCCACTAATTGGTCGTTTGACCAAACAGATCAGCTCTTTTGGCCAAAATATCAGAATTTACCTGTTTGTGTAAAAGCAGCCTTGGAAAAGGATTCCATGTCCACATCCAGTCTCTCGGACTTAATTATAGTCTGGTCGACAGAGACTTGCTGTGTGTCTTCTCTCTGATATCGTGACAGTGTCATACTCTCTGTTTTATATTGACAGCCAGTGTTTCCCTTGATTTAGGAGCCGTTAGAAGATGA